GGGGGGGGGGGGGGGGGGGGGGCGCCGGGGGCTATTGGCCGTTAAGGGAAGTAATATCACCATTGACTACCTTGTCGCACCAATGACTTGTAGTAGATAGAGTAGACAGCCCCTGTCAATCCGATAGTATGCGGCAGAGCTTTTGAATGTTTTCTCAAAGACGGCTCACTGGATACTGAATCATTTGAGGGTCAGCATACCATGCTCATCAATGTCCAAAACTTCTCTTTGCTAGCTAGACTCTATGCCCAGAATAACTCAAATACAAATTATAAACCTCAAACAAAAAACCCCAATTTGGCAAAGATAAAAGAGGGTCCAATATCCACTTCCGGAACCCCCATTCCCACCCCGAAGTTCCTAGACACCCCTAACAGAAGCTCAGACCGCCTTCCACACCACTAACATCCCGGAAAAACCAACCCCCGGTTATCAGATAACGGCAACCAAACCGCCAGCTTTTATGCAAGCTCCCTCCCCAATAATCAACACACCAATCAATACGCTTCACTACACTTCACTACACTTGACTACCCAACCACCAACAAACCCTATAGAAATACCACAATACAATACAATGCCCTCCTCCTCTCTAGCCGACTACCTCGCCAAAAACTACCTGACAGCCGACCCCCCCACCGAGCGCCCCAAAAAGAAGCGCAAGAAGACCAAAGAAGTCGATACAGCCGCCGCAGGCCTGATTATCGCCGATGACGACCCACCCGATATCAAGAGCTCGGGGATGGGAATCCATGACGATGAAGACGGTCCATCGGTTGTGAACGCGCGGAGCGCGGAGTTTCGACGGACGAAGAAGTCGAATTGGAAGACTATTGGCGGAGGGAATGAGCAGGATGCTGCGGATGCGATTATTGCGTCGGCTGCTGCTGAGAATGCGGCGCGGCGGGATGAGGGGGCGGAGGATGATGCGCCGGCTCTTGTTGAGGACGATGGTAACAATGAGGGTAACGATGATGGGATGAGGATGGAGTCCGGGGCGAGGGCCGGCTTGCAGACTGCGGCGCAGACGGCTGCTATGGTTGCTGCGCAGGAGAGGCGGAAGAAGGTTGAGGCCGCGCTGTATAAGGGTGGGGCTGAGGGGGAGAAGGCGCAGGAGACGATTTATCGTGATGCGTCGGGGCGGATTATCAATGTGGCCATGAAGCGGGCGGAGGCGCGGAGGGCGGAGCAGGAGAGGATTGAGAAAGAGCAGCAGGCTAAGGAGGCGCTTATGGGTGATGTGCAGAGGAAGGAGCGGGAGGAGCGGCGACAGCAGATTCAGGAAGCGCGGGCGATGCCTGTGGCTCGGACGGTTGAGGATGAGGATATGAATGAGGAGTTGAAGGCGCAGCAGCGGTGGAATGATCCGGCGGCGCAGTTTTTGACGAAGAAGGGTCCGGGGAAGAGCGCAACCGGGAAGCCGTTATACAAGGGGGCGTTTCAGCCGAATCGATATGGCATTAGACCGGGTCATCGGTGGGATGGAGTGGACCGCAGTAATGGGTTCGAGAAGGAATGGTTTGCGGCGAGGAATAGGAAGGGGAGGTTGGAGGCGTTGGATTACCAGTGGCAGATGGATGAATAAAATGATAGGGCTGTTTGTTAAGGCTTTTCCTAGTGCTGGACACTGGAGAGATATGCGACATTATAATTTTGGTACATTACTGGCATACAATGACTCAAACCATGATCTTTCTGTACGCTACACGCCTCACTTGTATCCGGTTGCAGATTTCACTCGATATATACCAGCCCTCTATCCTATAGCGTGGTTGATACTGAACTTCTCAGTAAATGACATATATATCAGCTGAGCTTCCACTTCCTAATGGTTACACTAAACTTTCACTGTCAGGTAAGCATTTTGGTTTGGCAAGTAGTGCATAGAAAGATCTACGGTCTGTGCTTATTCCTTCATAGCTAAAGCTTCTTGAGATTTAAGATCTATAACGTTGATTGGGTTTATGTTGAGGGCACGTTCTTTGGCCCAGCGACATGATACACCAGATTCAATTTATCGGACTTTCCACTCCAAAGGGGGTTGTTCTGCTCTGCGCTAAATTTAATGCTTTCTCCACCGGCCCAAATAACTCTTTCTCTACCCCATTATCAAGTTTGGGGAAGCGCAAGCGAACAGCTACGAGTTTTCTCTCCTAGCCTACCAGCAAAGCACAGATTGTTGAGTCAGGCCCTCTTGACCCGAGCTCGAAATATCGAACTCATTCAGGAGGAAAGAGCTCAACACCTAGTCGCTTGGAAACATCCGAGATCCCAGCCAGCAAGTCCAAAGCTGCTTTCCAACTCTATCTCATCCCTAGCAGTATCGGCTCTCTCCCAAACAGTCAATAGAGAGCGATGGCGCCCAGCACAGTTCACCTACGCTTGACTCACAGGGATCCCCCTCATATCCTTGAATCAGAACCACCCTACTAGCGCCGCTAACACGAAGGCCAAACCATATGTCTCGAAGGAGAAAAGAACGGGGCCTTGGAGATGAGGTCTGTCCACTACCTACTCCGCGGAAGATCCCGGATTTCTACGTTGATAGACAAAATACAACCAAAATGGTGTGGTCGACAAGGTGAGTTAGTAGTGATAAGTTATATGGGAGGATAGTGAAGTAGAGTAGCAGTTGCCTCTGCACATATATCCCTTGTTGACTAGACATGGCCTTTGGTTTCTGCTGCCAGTATACCAGAAGACTCGCCGATCACCAGCGAGGCTGATGACTGTTATGCCTACAGCACTTCTGTACGCTAGTTCGTTACTAGAAGTCCCGTGTGTAAGAAGCCGTGGGAAAGGATTGTAGATTGGCACGTCTTATTGCCGCTTTCAGTAGGTTGAAACGAACGGGAGAAGTCTAATATATTGCTAGACACTTAACCCTAAGACTATATGACCTTGCAGACTTAAACTCTCTCAGCGGGCCATGTGGGAGACCAATAGGAATTTTTTAACGGAATTAGGTTAAAGAGACGAATAATAACAGGCTGAATCCTTTACGCATGGCAGTGGAGGGGACAAGGATGTTATTCGTTTCGTAAAAGCTTGTGTAGAGCTATGAATGTGCTGTGCATACGCCCACGTTTCCGCAGCTATCTTGTGGGGTGTGACATGGTAGGGACTATCTTCATGATACACCTTTCAAATGTATATTTACAGCCTTTAGATTTATAGAAAGGATACTTGACCAGTAGGGCAGGCTTTCAAAGAACATAGACATAATGTAAGTAGGCCAAATCGATCTATATCCATCCAATCTAAGGTTTGTGAACCCGCCGTTTAGAACCGACGATCATCATCAAATGAGACGTCCAAGGTAATTCTGATCGACTTCCGCCCCCTTCATTTATCCGTTCAATTTGTTCATTCAATGGGAATAAAGCAAATCTGCAACTGTTGGGTACGCGTATACAGTTGTCGGAGAATGCTCGGAGGCTGGCGAAGCACATCTTTTCCACCATAACCATGTTCCGAGATGAAGATGAGAATAGGGGAACATCGTGATGATCAGAATGGCACGTTCACTGTAGAGTAGCATCTACCATAGTCCTTAGGTATAAGATTGGAGTGTTCGCCCGTTGCTTTATGCCATCAACAAGCACCCAACTCATCAACACTTCAATCACCAAGAGTCTTACTTTCTTCTACTTCATCCTTCAAAGCCTAGCATTATGAAGACCTCTTCCGCTGTTTTCGCTCTCTGTGTTGCCGCAGCCTCTGCTGCTTGGACCCCATCTCATCACCACAAACGGGCAGAGAACTGTGGCCAGTACGATATGATTCATGTTGGCAACTTCAAGCTCTACAACAATATGTGGGGCAAGGACAGTGGCTCTGGCAACCAGTGTGTTGGGCTAGACTCTTCCGTCAACAGCAGCAATAGCGGAGTTGCCTGGCATACTTCCTGGAGCTGGTCTGGTGGGGATGGCCAAGTTAAGAGCTACCCGAACGTCGAAGCTCAACCCGATAAGAAAAAGGTATCCGAGCTGAGCAACATCCAGACTACCTGGAAGTGGAGGTAAATAGTCATCTCACACACTTACAAGTACATACTAACAACTTTAACAGCTACAAGGGAGACAACCTTGTTGGCGACGTGTCGTACGATATCTTCACCTCCCCCACTGCCGGTGGTGATGCTACCTACGAGATCATGATCTGGACTGCCGCCATTGGTGGTGCCGGCCCCATCTCTACCACCGGCTCGCCGATTGACACTCCCACCGTGGGTGGTAAGTCCTGGAAGCTGTACAAAGGAACCAACGCCGCAACCACTGTATTCAGCTTCGTTGCTCCTAAGGCGATCCAGGATTACTCGGGTAACCTGGCCGAGTTCTTCACATACCTTACTGAGAAGCAGGGCTTCCCCGCCGACCAGTACTATCTGAGTATTGGCGCCGGCACTGAGCCATTCACTGGACAGAACGCTGTCTTCACTACTGCCTCTTACACTATCACGTTCTAGGTCGCCTCTTATGTGACCACCCGGACTTTTGCGACATATAAGTGAAGGAACACCCTCTAGAAGGGTGTCAAACTTACCATTGCTGTCCAAATAAGCCTTTTCTTCTGTTTCTTGTCAGTCCCTGCCGCAGGCCTTTTGTGTACTGAGTACTCATTTGCAATTCTAATTTTGTTTTATTAAAGGGGCCCCCTCTGGCGCTGTTTTTGTTCCCGTCATACATAGGATTATCCCAATGTGGTTCCGCCATGGAGGGCCAACAAGGAAGGGCTATTCAAGATTGCGTAGTAGTATGTGCGAATATTCTATCTAAACAGCGGGGTATCAGGGAGGCAATGGACATTATAGATCCCTTGTAGTAATATGATGATCTTATCGCATGGTAAACGGAACAGGCCTTTGTTAAAAGATGATTACAACGTCAGGCATTTTAGAATTTAGTATACATAGAGCCGGAAAAAAAAGAAAGGAAGAGAGAAGCAAGAGAAAATAAAGGAGAAGAAAAAGTTTCTATGCAAGAACAACGGTCTCAAACTGGGGCTGTGCTGTGATCCAAACCTTCAGGTATGCTTCTGCAAGACCCACACGTCGGCTAATGCCATTGTCCGACTTCAAGACCATAAGATAAAGCATTATCGTACAGTCCTCTCATCGGGATGCGTCGATGGAGAATAACTTAACGTGGTCAGAAGAATTCTCCTTCCGAATCTCGCCAGTATATAGTGGCTACATCAGTCTTCTCGTTATAGCCATCGAAGTAGGGGAGTTTGACTCGCAAAGATAGTGCGAGAACATCCACCCAAACGCTAGTGTTTTGTTTGTAGGTACTGTCAATATTTTGTCGATCTGTCCATTTGCCAAGGAAGAGTGCTACAGTATTACCCTTGTCGCCTTGGAGCCGGTATCTGGGTTCGTGGAGCAATGGCGACCGCGACAATGGGAATGCTGTGCGTAGACGAAGCGACTGGGTGTAGACTAAGAGTGTCCCAGGTTGAGAGGCTCTTTCAATGCATTCTTTGCATATTGGCATGTGGCTTTTATGTTCCACTCTTCATTGTTGCAGTTGTCCTATTACCTACAGTTCACGAGGAGCTTTATCACTACGTTGCCAGGGTCCGACTTCCGATGGTGACGGTTGGAGGATCTGCAAAGAAATTGGTCGCGGATTGGCCATGCTATCCTGCTTATTGTTGGTCGTTCGTTCTTTCTAGAATTACGGTATTACTTTAATAAAAGGGCCTATTATTGTCCCTACTATAGGTATGTACTTACCTAGAGAACCCTAACTACTGTGCATGGCTGACAGACGAGACAACCAAACAGGAGGCACTATGCGCCAGCGGGTCACGGCGATGGATTTGGTCCCAACGTAACTAGCATGACAAGTACATAAAGAGGACCGAATGTGTTTTGAGTGCTACATTTTGGAACTGAGGAATCTTTCAGATTATTCCGCTGATTTACTATTTTCTTACTTCAGTACCCCCAATAATCGGCGACTGCAGACCATATCTTGGATGTTGGCCTTCTCTGACCCAGCATTATAGAGGACCACCAGTAATACCTTCCAATCAAACTATTTACAACACGGCGCCCCAAAAACAAACCTGGTTCATAACCGGCTGCTCCAGTGGCTTCGGGGGAGCTCTTTGTTCTCCAACTCCGCGAGCTGGGAGACAATGTATCGTCCAAGGATACCAAGAGATAATGGCGTGCTGCCGTCATGGTCATGGATCTCAGTGAAGGGCGAGGTCAACATTCTTTTTAACGACTCCGCTTGAACTTGCATGGCATGGCGGGCCTGTATCTGACATTGCCGCGTCTCTAGCGGTATGGGCCATTTTCACCGGGGACTCCAGCAAGATATTCTTGAATTTCATTCATGAAATTGATGGTCAAGAATCACCACCACGGGATGCTGGAAGCGGTTATTTCCATCGATCTACCTTCCTTAAGGTGCTCACGATGGTGGTGGCTTTAAGCACGGTTGCCTTGGAGGAAGGCTTCCTTGGTCCTATATGCCAACACAACATGGGATCGATACAAAAAGATCATTCGGCGGAAATGGTCATCATTTAGGTTAACGTGCAACCAAGCACTTGGGCGAATGTTCCGTAGTATTAGAGACTGGACGAAGAGGTTGCTGGCACGTAAAAGGCTGTCGACAGCCGGAAATCATTCTGGTGGATAATATTCCGTGTTGTAAGAACTTTTCCGGGCTTGCACTCCTAGAGAATCAAGCTTATACTCTACACCCTGACCCACCGGACCGGCAGCCAAAACCAGCGCAGCCCAGGCCCAGACCCTGCGTTGGCCCCCATCAGTTCCGTATGCCAATCTAAACTGCTAGAGGAGTGTGAACAGTGCGAAGAATGTCCAGAGTGTGAAGAGTGTACAATGCCTCGTAAGAAAGGGCGGCACGACTAAGTCCGGAAAATCCCTCCCATGATACACCTGCACTCCCAGAGGTGCTTTACGAGGGCAAGATCCGTCTCGCAGAGCTGACACCTGTTGATAAGAATAATCCAATCCATCTCAACCTTCGGATTATTGATCTGCGACATTCTCGCGTTCCAGAATATGACGCGTTATCGTACTCATCTGCTACTGATACGTTTTCCAATACCATCTTCCTCGGGCCCTTCTGGGACGTTCTGCATGCACCATCCTATTTCCAAGCTGCCCTATGCTGTATCCAGAGACCCAACTCAGTCCGGCTAGTTTGGGGAGATTACATCTGCATTGATCACCAAACTATCCGCGATAAAAACCAGCAAGTGAGTCTCATGCGTGAGATTTACATGAGCGCAGAATTAGTACCTGCGTGTATAGGAAGGCCGTCAGCAGACAGTGATCTGGTTCTCCAGACATTGAAGGAAGCTGCTTGGGGTCAAATTGTGGACTTGGTGAGTAAGAACTCTCGTGATAGCTGGCTTTGTTTCTTTCAGAGACCGTTCTTTACCCGCGTCTGGACATATCAAGGGATCCTCTTGGCGAGGCAAATAGAATTCTTCGTGGGGGATAAAACTATCGCCTGACCAGAGCATCCCTCTATGCAATACTCGCCTGTATTCTCTATCCCGCGTGCGCTTGCGAATCGTTAGTCTCGGATGATATCTGTGGATTGCAAGCTGCTCAATGCTCTACTAGACGCTTCACGATATCGCTGCCGTGACCCCCGAGACAAAGTATTCGGTATTCTCGGACTTGTCTATGAGAATGTTCACCCGGATTATGCGCTCAGCCTTGAGGTTTATATCAGCATCGCTGCATATTTAGTCACACAGCTCCATAAGATGAACGTTCCTGCTCTGGCAGGTTCTGGCAAAACAAACCACGGCATGCCCTCCTAGGTACCATACTGGTCACGGAGACAGACTCTGTGTCTTCCAACACGCCTTGCCTAGTTCGTAGAGATGCTTGACCATCCAGACGTACCAACTAGAACCGCCCTCCCGTTTGAGTTTCCTGGTATGACTAGCATAAATCCCGAAATGCGTATTGATGCCCATACAGGTGCACTGGAATGTCGCAGTATGAAAGTATACGACGTGGAAGGAAAATTAGTTCAGGCAGGAGAGTATTCTATTACCATCATACCGAAAGGGTGCTACGGTGTGTGATTGTGGCCTCCTCGACGATATCAGGGCTTACCATCCTGGGAAGGACTCGATGATTATACCAAATGGATGGAGCCGTCCGGTGATCCTGCGATCACACTCTGGGCCCGAATCATTATACATTAATGGCAGGCAGTGTGTTCGCTATGGTATGCTGATCCAGGCGAGGGAGATTAGCTAATCCCATAGGGGACGCATAACTCCATGGACCTGTCCCGCCAATAGTATATGTTTCTCGGTTCACTGTGGATAAAGGAAGGTCCATTAGGAGGCTTGATTCAGCGTTGACTGGCGCTCTCTTTCAAGCTACCCCAACGCTCGATATCCAGAGCTATAGTGCGCCTAAACAACTCTGATCCAGGTTCCTCGATTATGCAATATTGTCATTAACAGATCTAGAGGGCATGGAGGCCCATCTGAGAAGATTATGGAACCACTTCGACAAGCAAATAGGATGGATGTTCCTGGACCAAACCGCTGTATGGTCATTCCTCCAATACCTCAGTCACCAAGCCCATGATGCTTTGAAATACATGATCAAGGAGCCGCCACGATCGAACAATATTGCGGGATGGAAATTCTTCTCTCATACACATGGGACATTGAACGATTCAGCCGTTCATTTCCGCAGAAGTCCGAAGCCGGCACAGACAATCCGACATTTCGCGACCTCCGATCGCGACTCCATGAGATCCAGAGGTGGACACAGGTAACGGACCAACTTCTGCGAATATTTTTGCACACTCGAGATGTCCTATGCTCCATTTGGCCTTTCTTTCCACGCGGTACACTTCCAGAATAGTGGCATCATTCTGGACCTGAAACTAACCCCTGGGACTGGGCCGAGTTTCGGAGCGTTCTGAGAGCAAGAGAACGAGTGCGGAACCAAGAACTACCGATGGAGATAGACCCTGAAATAAACAGTTGGTTGACGATTCATCTAACTATGAGAGACCTAGGGTTCTCGCTTGAGGAGTCAGAGGTGACAACTGTGTAAGCGTGACAGTCATTGGACGATGCCGTGGCTTACAAGTTAGTATATCCAATTACTGGCCAATGAAATCCCCGTCATGTACTCTTAGCCTTTTGACTCCACAGTTTCTTGGCCATTTTATTTCCTAATCGGGTAATACGAATGACTATCATCCAGAGTAATGATATTATCTATCAACGAATAACAAATTCAAAACAGAAAGAAATTACATCGTAAACAAGGGTGTGTCTCAATTCTAGTACTCTGAATCACTTTACTGCTTGAACTGGTTCCACATCTTCCGTCTTGCCCTTCCACCAACGCCAGATAGCCTTGCACCAGAACCAGGTCTCCATAGTGCCCAAACAGCATAGGATCACAATTACAGCTGCCCTCGATCTCTTGCTTAAGCCCATCGCTTCGAAGTTCAAGGCTGGAATTTCCAGCGGTTCGTTTGAGTCCGAGTTTGACGACCCTTTCTGTTTGTTTGCGAGAGGAAAACGGGTCGAGAAGGATCTGAGAGGGAATGTAGGCGCTTGAGGTGGAATGCGGTATGACATTGGATGGGTGGAAGAAAGTCCATTGCGCTGAGCTGCATATAGTGATAGGAGGGCCCTTGTAGGGATTGAAAACATCGGGATTGTTTGTTTGAGTAGGAAGGGGTCAAAAGAGATTTCTATGATTTTTCGCGGTAGTCGGTAATGTTCTGAGAATTGAATGCATGTATAGGGCAAGAAGAAACAGAGTCTCAATATTTATAGTAATGTAATGGTCAGATGACGCGGTGGAGGATTCCTCGTGTTCCTCGGCGATCACAGTAAGCAATGTAAAACAATCTAGTTGGAGTGTCTCATTGCTGGGCTTAAACATAAATACAGGACCATCACCGGGCTAGATCATATTGATCCATTAGCTCAAGGACACTCTCCGAACAAGACTACAATCATGTCCATCGGTTGCCGCCGTTTACTACGCTCAACTGAGGGTATTATTTCATTATCAGCAAAGAGAAACGCATCCACGACTTCTCCGCCCAAATTGAACCAAAATGTACCTTCAGTATCCCAAACATCTCCATCAGTAGACCCCGCCCAGCTCGATCAGACCCTCACCCTCTCTGACGGCCGCACCCTCGGTTTTGCTGAATATGGGTCCCCACAGGGAACGCCGCTTCTCTACTTCCACGGCTTGCCAGCTTGTCGTTATGAGATCGACTTTCATGAACTTGGCCTCCGACACGATGGCCGAGTTTTTGCCATCGACCGCCCCGGGATGGGACTGTCAACGTTCCAACCCAACCGAACACTCCTCGACTGGCCTGCTGATGTAAAAGAGTTTACCCAGAAACTCGGTCTGGACAAATACCGGGTTCTTGGTGGCTCGGGCGGGGGACCATATTCCCTCGTCTGCGCAAAGGCACTCTCCAAGGAAAACCTCAAAGGCGTAGGTGTACTCGCCGGGATGGCGCCCCTTGCAGCCGGAACACAAGGCATGTCTCTCCGTTCGCGGATACTCTGGAATCTAGGGAAACGGTTCACTCTTCTGGGGCAGCTTTACAGTGATTGGGTTCTTGTACCAGCAGCTCAAAACCCAGATCCGAAGGCTATGGAGAATTTACTAGCAAAAACTGTGAAGAGGAATTTCAGCAAGACGGACTCGTCCGTCTTTGACGATGAGAAGATCCTCAAGCACTCGGCTAAGATTTTGCGGGAGAGCTTTCGGCAGGGGTCTCAGGGGTATGTTCATGAGTGTAGGATTCTTACACGGTCGTGGGGGTTTGACTTGCGGGAGATTGATTTTCCTGGGGTTCGTCTGTGGTACGGCGATAGTGACCGACATACTCCGATTGGGATGGCGAGGTGGATGGCGGAGAGGATTGAGGGTTCGACTCTGACGGAGTGGAAGGGGTACAGTCATTTCACCTTTACTGATGGTCATACTGAGGAGATTGTAAAGGGGATACTAGAGACATGAAGTCGGGGTCTAGTCAATCACCGGTTGCTTGCTTTGTATATAGTCTGGCAGAAGCTCTACTCTTTCTAATCTCCATTGTTCGCCTTTCATATGTAGAAGTCCATACAGAAACTTTCAATATTATTTGAGGTATTAATAAGGACAGATACAGCCGGGTAACTAAAGTGTAGGTCTATTATGAATATAGTAGGAATCGTAGAGGTGTTCACGCTGAGATCCATACACTCTACTCAAATGGGACACCAGCGTGCGGGGCAGCTGACTAATGCCACACTTTTATGTAATATAACTATAACTAAGTTAGTTAACTAGTGGGGCATAGCTGACTCAGGCAGAATTATGCCGGATTGAGTCACTCTTCGACCGAGGTCTAGATAGTCCAGTCAGCAAAGCTGCAGGTGACCTTCCATGAGCCGCCCAGATGGAGCGAGAGTCATCTGCAAGGTGATGGAGCATGATAAGCATCGTGAACCCCAATAGTTTGGTGACGCAAGCCACGTCCTGGAGTCCGGTTTCCAGGCCATAATAATGTGTAGAATTCTACAACAAGCTGAAGAGTGTTATCCTCTGCACACTTTCTTTTTACCCTTGCCCTACGTCATATTTGATAGACATACCTAATGAAATAGAAATGGAAGATTCTTGATAAGTGGCCTGCATTGCTGACGCGATGGCCAATCAGATCACGGGGCGCGGACTGTGCCTGAGGCAGTGGGGATCCCATTGATGGCGAATCCTAATGCGGAGATCGCCTTCACTCATCCCCCCAATTCAAGTCAGAGAGGATGAAACAACCATGGTTCGTCTGTGGCGTCAGGGGGCGTACACGCCGATGAGGAATATGATTCCCCCTCGCAGTCACGATAAGGAAGGCTGATCGTCATAGGATGGGGCGTTTATCATCTCCTCTCGGAGCATGACTGCATCGCCTCGCTCGGTCCTCGTGCTGCGGAATACGATAGTATATGAGATGATATGATATGAATGCTTTGTCCTCTTTCTCCGCTTCGTCTTCTACTTCATCTTTCTCCTCTTCAGGAACAAAGATCGGTCAAAGACGTGCTTTTGCTCCACATTCCCCCAGTGTTAATGAGTCTATTTTTGGGTTGGATGAGCAACATTGCCGGACCATTCAAGGACTATCGGTTGTTCGATGACTCCTGGTGACACTCGGTGACTCAAACCCAAGGCCCCCTAAGGCCTCCTCGTACAAGGTCGCCATCTTACTCCGGTCCTTTCCCCCCTTTCTTCCTCTTTCTCTTAATAGCCTCTTTCACCTCGCTCTTTCCCTCATCTGTCAACGCGCCATACCCTCCACCCTCCCGGCTGACCCGATCCGACTACGTTTATATTAACCTCATTGTATCACGTGTCCTTCAAGACCTACCCTCTATCTTCCATCTACATCTCGCCACAATCACCATGTCTGGCACCAGCGATCTTCGCCATGACGGTACTGCGGCCAAGAGAGTCTATAACCACAAGATGAACAAGTTGAAGTGGGCTCACCGTGGCCGAGCATCCTTTCCTCATCGCGATGTATCCATCTCTGACCCGGTGGCCCGACCGGTGATACCTCAGACTCACTCGCTGAAGTATGTTGTCATACGGTCTTATCATATCATGCTGTTCATGAAGGAGACTGACCCAAGACAGGTATACCCGTCTTTTGCAGCTCGACCGGAAGGCCAAGTCCAACCAACTCGCCACCGATGCCAAACTCACCCTGCGACGTGACGTCCGCGAGGCCCTTGACAGCGGCTCGTCCGATTCCTCCTCGACGGAAGACGTCGATGATCCCTCGTCCGCACCGGACGTTTTGGGTGTCCTCCAGGAAGACGATTCTATCGAGCCGTACGAAGTATCGGGACAGACGATCCTATCCGATGCGATCAATAAGGCTGTAGAGAGGTTTGAGACACAGGAGACCGAGAAGCTCGTCAAGGAATATGAGGTCATCACTCGCGAGAGTGAGATCGCTCTGGGCTATCTCGCTGACGATGATTTCGAGTTGGTTAATCATGATCACGCAAAGGTGTGATTTGTTTCGATACTCTAACTTCGTTCGCATTTGCCTTGCCTTGACGTGTTTCATTGCCACTACTAGCGCCGGTTGTGGAGTTGTTTAGAATTTATCCTTTCTCGGTGGTTGTTTCATTATCCTTTCAGTGGAGTCATTTCTGTTTCCACGAGACTATTGTTACTATCGGTATAGTTGACACGGTATGGTCGGTTCTTGCCTGATTTTTATTCTTCCTAGATTGTTTATATCCATACCCTTGATCATACTGATGCCTGTTTATGTGAATACATGATCATTACGAACATATTATTTATTTATTCGAAAAAAAAAAAAAAAAAAAAAAAAGTTCCTCTTGACCAGTTAATGTTCATCTGTAGAGACCATGAGGCTATAATAAGCTACCTATGTAGAAGGAAAGAGAAGACTATTGTTGTGAAGGGAAGAGACGTATCATACCCCGGTATTTCTCATTTTGAGTCATATGTGAGGCTGATAGATATACATTCCCCCTGCATCACTAGTTAACAGGTGCCTCTCTCTTCACTTGGTTCACCGCTACCTTTTTAATATTTATTACTTAATAGTTTCATATACTTTGTCGAGATCGGGGCTGAAAGAATAAAAAAAATAAAATACAAAAGATAGAAAACAAGAGATCTTACATGCTGAGGTACATGCCGTTGCTAGGGGCGTGACATGGATCTGACTAACGTTGTTTACCATCACCGATCGGGAATGGTCCAAAATTCGCCGATCGAATGGCATCAAGGCAGCTTTCCCAAATCTTTCTCTACCGTTCCTGTCATTTCCCTCTCTCCCACTTTTGTTCTTGACATTTTCTGTTCCATCGTCCAAGATGGATAAACGATCAGCTGAAAGTCCGATGGACTTTGAATGGCAGACGAGGGCGCCAGGAGACGTGACCTCGCCCTTCTACCAGCTGAGCATGCAGCATGACAACCAGAAGAAACGTGCGTTCCTTCATGCACTACGCTGATTATAACCATTGCTAATACAATCTCCTTTTGACACAGGACCCCACAGTATCTTTGATTCCCCCGGAAAGCAACAGACACCAGCCTTGCGCGAACCCAATTCACAGCCCTTCCTCTTCTCCCAGCCGCGGGCGCAAAACCCTCCTGGACCCCCGAAATCCGCCTTTGGCCAGTCTGCATTCATGACCCCGCGCAAATTCGATGTGGACTTCTCCTCCGGCCCGGAAAATATGTCATCGCCCGAGAACGCGGACAATGAGGATACGCCGGAGCCGGCGATGAAATCTGGCCATCGAAATTCACTTTTTAACATGTATGGACGATTTGCGCCGAGTCCCGGACGGGGCGAGATTCCTCGCCTGAATCATTACTCGAATGCACTGGTTCGGCGGGTACAGAAAAGACGACGCAGGGATAAGGCGTTAGATGTACAGTTCCGGAGGGAGAGCGATGATGAGAGCGACAGTGAGCACGTATCCGGTCACAAGCAGAATCAGAACCAGGGACAAGAGGGGAATAAACCAACATCGCGGTTGTCATCATTTTCGGATTTCTTCGCTTTACTTGAGGCACACCCCAACGTTCCGAGTATCCTGTCTTGGTGGGCTCAGTTGGTCGTGAACCTGTCCCTGTTCTCACTGGCCGTGTATGTGGTGTTTGGTTTTGTGTCAGCGATTCGGGCAGAATTTGAGCATGCAGCGGAGGAGGTGTCCGATAAGATCCTAGCGGAGATGGCGGCCTGTGCGAAGAGCTACGTGGATAACAAGTGCGGTGGCGGGGATCGACTTCCGGCCCTGGAGACGGTCTGTGAAAATTGGGAACGCTGCATGAACCGAGACCCAGCCAAGGTTGGACGGGTCAAGGTATCGGCGCATACCATGGCGGACATTATCAATAGCTTCATCGACCCAATAAGCTGGAAAGCGATTGTATGTTTCCTCCCTCCCCGTATAGGCAACTTTCAGCAACTAACGCTTCAAAGATGTTCTTCCTCGTGACCATCTCGACAGTGACTGTGGTCAGCAACTGGTCTTTCCGTTCCTTCAGAAACCGTTACAATCAACACGAGTATACTCACCCTCCCGCTCCCAGCTTTTCTCGGCAACCGTCTGGACAACATCATCCTTCGCTGCCACCATCCCAGCCGTCATACCAGCGCCCCGTTGGTTGTGATTACCAAGAGCATGTCCCGAATCTTAATCATAAGCAAGAAGCACCCTTGTTGCTGGAAGAATCGCCTACTCGGGACTTTGTGGGTGAACGGAGCCGCAACCGGGAAAACCGCTTGCGCACTCCCAGTCCTACGAAGAGAGATCGGAAATTGCTACAGAACATGAGGTGATAAAAGTGTGTATAACATTGCATTAGCGGGTGGATTCCGGCGTTTATTGTATATTTGAGATCGGTGTTTGGGCAAAAGAATTGTTCGCTCTTGATTTTATAAGTTACTGTATGATGGCATATTCAGTGCTAGCCTTGCCTCCTCACCCTGTGTGTAAAGACATTTTTTTTGGTAATAATTCGCATATCTGTTTACCGATGGCATTCACACTCGATCACATATGTTCCTTTTGGAGTTCTTGTAGGAGCAAAGATAAGCAGGTTGCCGGTTATCGGAGGGCGGGAAATGGCGGGCGGAATAGACCAAAAGCGCGAATGCTGACTCTAAATAAACCGCGGAGACTTATTCTCATTTCTTATTTTCCTCCGACAGGATGACAAGGAGATCTATCGGAGATACGCTGTAAACCGTGTGCCGGGTTGCTAGTTTTGCACCGAAATTATCCCGGTCATAAGGACTAGTTATGACTGAGCCTGAACGGCGGCGGCGCCGACCAGCTGTGTAGGTCCCTTAAATCCGGCCCATGTCCTGGTATCGCGCTGACAGCGGAGACATGCAGCTCGTGCACTCTGTGCAGGAAACGGAAGATTCGATGTGATCGGAAGAGTCCCTGTGTCAATTGTGTTCGGTCAAGAAATGCGGCCTGTATTTACGAAACTCGCCCATCTGACGAACCGCGGCCGCAAGTTAATCATGGCCAAACAATTACACTGGAGACCCGAGGGAACACCTTCTCAACGGCAACTGGCACAACTTCCTATGTAAACAGACCCCCAGGCACAAGTCATACGTCTGAACCCAGAGTGAGTACCTCAACCAATGCAACAACTCCTGGGAGTCAAACCTCTACTTGGGAAGTGGACGCCATGAAGAGCAGAATCAGAGACCTCGAAGAGCAGCTGTCTAGAGCAAATCAGATGCCTATCCATTCCTCTGTTCAGGCCCAGACTCAGGATTTAGGGGCAACTCATCCACATGCGGGCGAAACTTTGGGCGATGTTGATAGTCGCTTATTCGGGGAAACCCAGGTCATCACTCGCAGTGTCATACACAAGTCCCGCATGTTTGGTCAAAGTCATTGGATAAATGGTGTGATTGGTATAGTACGTTATTGGACTATCTTCTATGCTCCACGGAAGAGTACCAGGCTGAACATTTCTTAGTGTCGAGACGTCTTTCAGATGATTGAGCCCCATGTGCGTGACGATACATCGGGCGCTGTTAGTAATATACAGAGTTGCAAAGCTGTAGCAAGAGTTATCAAGTCGCGGCGGACACCTCCGTGGCCCACACCACCAACAGGTCCTTTACCTTCAAAGGATGTGACCGATGAACTCGTTGACTGTTACCTTAGGACATTCGAAACCGTTTACCGTGTGCTCCATATCCCCACCTTTCGGAGGGACTATGACGCACTCTGGGTATCGGATACGGCGCCCGATGTGGCGTTTATGGTCCAGGTCAAGTTAGTGCTTGCCATTGGGGCTGTTACTTACGATGAAAAGTTCTCCCTACGAGCGTCCGCCATCCGATGGATCTATGAGGCGCAGACTTGGCTTTCAGAGCCGGTCTTTAAGTCCCGTCGGAGCATTCCGTTTTTGCAGAACAATATCCTCCTTTTGATTGCTCGCGAACTCGTAAATGTGGGTGGCGACACGATCTGGACATCAGCAGGGACGCTGCTTAGAACTGCTGTGTATTGGGGTCTTCATAGAGACCCAGCGGTCCATCTATCGAAGAGGACGACAATATTTGTCGTCGAGATGCGCCGGCGCCTGTGGAATACTATCCTAGAAATAGCTGTGCATTCGAGTATAGCGTCGGGTGCGCCTCCATTCATTTCCATGGATGACTTTGACACTGCACCTCCCGAGAATTACGATGACGACCAGCTCATGGCCGACGCCCCCATGCCAAAGCCAGAAAACGTGCTGACTCAAGTGTCCGTCGTGATAGCTCTCCGTAAAACCTTTCCACTCCGTCTTGCAATCACCAAATTCTTGAATGATATCGGCTCGAGGAGTACATATGAAAAAACGCTGCAACTGGATGCGGAGTTCAGGATGTCGTACAAAACCCTATGTCGGACCGTTCAGAGACACAGTGCGGGCACGGGATTTGTATTCAATCAGTGCGCAATGTGCATGGTGGATTGTCTTATGCTCCGCTATCTCTTGTCTCTTCACGTCCCGTTCTTTGCTATGGCGCCGCAGGAAACGGCCTACGCATTTTCCCGCAAGGTAGTCGTTGAGACATCGCTCAGAATTTGGTGTGGAGTACACCCATCTTCGTCCATCATGGCGAGCCACGATGCGTCTGCGACAGGTCGCAATGATTTTGAGAGACTCGCAATCTGTGGAACTGGATTCTTTCGTACCGTTGCCATGCAGGCTAGTTTTGTCATTGCGTCCGAACTGAGCGCCCAGTTACAAGAGGAAGAAAGCCTAGGCCCCGTCCCTTTACGGGCAGATCTGCTTTCAGTTATAGAGGATGCCAAAGAATGGGTCTTTCGATCTATTGAAGCCGGAGAGACCAACATAAAAGGCTTCTTGCTCATAAATCTTATTGCGGTAAAAATTGACGGACTCAGACGAGGCTATACGAACGAACAGCTGTCCGGGATATTGGTTAGGACCGCAGAAGATGTTGAAGCAAGATGCTTGCGTATTCTCGAAGACATGGCAGGTCAGACAGAGGGCATGGTAGCCGGACTTGACCAAACCGGCCTAAACATAACCCCAGAATCGCTGGACGACTGGGACCAAATGGTATGTGATGATTTAAATCGACATGTGATCATAGCTCACCACGATCTTAGATGACTAATGTCCTACTGAATCAAAGCACTGCGGAGCCCATGAACTGGGTGTTCGACGAAATTCCCATGGTGCCGTTGCTTTAATAATTTAGAACTGACCTCTTTACCTATTTGCCCAAAGCAATGAGGCCTCATGACTGATTCACATCCTCGTATCTTGTACTCCCTCAGATGTTGTGCAGGAGCTATGATTGCCCCCCTCCACGACTATGGTTCTCCTACCTGACGGGATTCCATTTGTGGAAGAGCATCATTTTAGTGTTTCATGAGATAGCGTGTACGGCTCACGCTCTGAAGGTACGATACGAGGTACGGTGAGACGGCGGGGCCGGTTTAATGACCCTATCCAAGTACCGTTCTCCCACGGTTGCTTGAGATAATGAACCAGCTTCACAATATATTTTTTGTAAAACCGTCTATTTGGCAAGTGTTTCCTTGCTTACACATGTACATAGCTTCTCCATACCCTTGAAACCTTTGTATAATAATGCCTATCTATACCCAGATCTGAAATCTCCACGATGGCTCACAGGAACAAGAGCAACACATGCCGTGCAGTATATTGCAAACTCCGAAGATCACAAGCTCATCGAGCGTTAGATGCTGGTATTAATGCATTATTCCCGGTAGATCGGGGAGGTCTCATTGCCCGAGGGCTCGATTATTTAAAACAAAATGGACGATATCAGAAGCATGTTATACTACCTATCGATAATGCACTTCACGTTAGATATTTTTTTGCGGAACAGTAGGGTTTTTCATTCATAAATCAAGCTGAACCATCTAATAATGCTGCACACGCCATTTACCATGCTATTCTGATGATCTCGCTCATGAATGAAGGGACTAGAAGGACGTTGTGCAGAAAATGGTGCTGCCTGTGTGATGAGGAGAGGATAGGGAGGCATGCAACAGAGAAGTCTCGTTTGAGGAACCGCCACAAACGGAATCGACCTGGATATTCTCGCAACCATTCCCGGTCTTTCCTCTCTAGTCACTTACCTTCTTCTTGTTGTGAGAGCATTTTGCACCACAGTCATTTATGCTCTTCCTCTCTTTCCTTGGTGTTACTGTGGAGTCTGGGTTGCCTGCGTCGAAAACTGTCCACGTGTGAATTACTCAACCTGATGGCTTTGTGTCTTCCAGAATGGCGATGCGCTGCTGACACCACGCTTCGTCAACGAGACCGCAACGCTGATAGGGGGTGCTACACCAGTGGGTTTCACCGTTCAGCTTAGTAAATGAGAGGTTCCCAGTTGACAAAACCTTTAGCTCGCGTCTAGAGTCTCGAAGTTTCTCCAGGGACTGCTTGGGCTTGCCGGGTAGGGCTTTGGACCATATAATATACATATTGCGTGTGTAAAGGCGACATAGGATCACCGAATCTGAGAAGATTTAATATCAGAGAATTGTTTGCGGTATCATCTTTATCCCGGGGTTTATGCTTACGATTTTCGGACGAACACTTCAAGTCCTTTGATATGTACCCCGCGTACACATATGGAGACTATACTTTCTGCAGACACAGGCCTACCTCAATGCCCTCATAATGTTTTCCACTATTAGCGGATCTTGAAAGATCAGCAAGTATTCTGACAGTGCACAATATCCGGACCCGTTTACCATGGATGAAGGGGCGTGTGTGAGTACCTTGGAAGCGAAATGGAAGGATTCATGGACGAGATTCTAGTGGTCGGCCCGCTTTTTGCATTTGTCAACCCAACGTAATTTATCTGGTGGAACAGAATCTAGGACTTTCAAACATTATTCCATAGCCTCTGGCCGACCACAGCCAAATCCAGAAGCGTGCAAGCGGACCGTCTTCGTCTGTTTGAACCGAGACTTTGTAGCTTTGTAGTTCCAAGGTTCCCTGAGTTTCACGCCCAAAGATGGGGAGGCAGATCATGTACCGACAAAGCCGTAGACCTCTTTCTTCACTATACAATTCTAAGACCGAGCTCAACCTTCGCAAGAATATAGTCACTACTGTTCTCGAGTAGTCAACGCCCTCTTTACGTGACGGAAATGAATTTGAGGGCTATTTTAGCTTCATACACGCAGAACAGATTGGTTGTCTAATTAACCGAAAAAAAAAAAAGAAAAACAAAAGGGAACGGAATAGATGCAACTTCCTGGAACCCCCGGAGAAGGTGGCGACGGCCATCTTTTTCTTTCTAAGACCTCGATGTTACGCATACATCTACTGTGGAGCACATTGCTCCACAAAAGCAGGAATGAGCGGCTATGATTGTCCGCGCACGTTCGACTTTCAAGGCAAATAATGTCTAATGAAACTGTGAAGTTTAAAGGCGGAGCTAAGTATAACAAACAGTCTAGAAAAAGGCTGACCTTCGGCCGAACCATATGGGCTGCATCCCTACGGAATAATCCAATAGCGAGGCAGCCGTTAAGGTCCATGATGCAACGAATAACCTTCTCTTGGGTTCTCGAAAGATTTTAAAAGTAGCCACGCCAATGGCAGCTTTTTCAGCTGGGAAATAATATTGGGATTGGTGGGACGGGGGCGGGATATGGAGCCAGTCCTGTGTCCGTTCAATGTTCTGGACCTTCCCCGAGAAAGTCAAGTCGAGCACCCAGAGATAAGATACACCACTGTGGCTGGAGGTTGGAGGGGTTTGTTTCTTTTCTTCTTCTTTCTTTTTTCCCTGCAGATCGGAAACTCTATAGAGAGACAAGTGGGTAGATCACTAACTCTAAGTATGTCTGGTATGTGGTCCATTTAGGGTAATGGCATTCCATGCACATATACTGTCCGTTAGGATTAACGGGTGACTTGATTGCAATTGAGAGGCAGAAGAATTGATATCTTATCTGCCGGATGATCTGACTCGAGCTCAGCGTTATACTATGCATGCAGACAACGGGATCGCCTTTAACATCCACAGGGAGTCCATCGGATGACCATTGTATACATTTCCATTGCATAAATAATATGAGTTTCAAGGGTGGGGCAGATCATACAGCCGAATGGGACAATTTTTGTCAACACGCAGGGTTCGACAAAGTTAAAAAAGTGAGCAATAAACCAGGAAGCGTCAGGATTTGAAGCCATGGATATCACATTTGCATTTTCTCGTCTCATGTGGGAAACCTTACGCTTATCTTGGTGAAGGACTGCCCTTTAGACTTTTGTACCTTGTGCGAACCCAGTAGCGTGTGGCTCAAAAGGGCCCATCACCTTGCCGGTCATCTTGGCCTCGATAAATTAAGGGATGACGGGATTGAGCTGGAATTTTAAGGTAAGTGTCAAGGAAAAAAGTTCGTCGTTGAACAACGTTTAACCCAAAATTCTGGGTCCCATATTGGCATGGCCATGTCGATTTCGAAAAGGTACAAAAGCTTCCACGACCCTCAAGTCTTTGAAAGAGACCGTAACTACGACACCAGGACCAGAATTCACACATTTTGTTTGATTCATGGCTAGTTAGCTATTATGTCTAAATTAGACAACCCAATCGACACAAGTAGCAAGTGTCATACACAATCAGTCGGCGATGAAGATCCAGCTCGCAGGGGGTCACCGTTCGATTTCGATCCCGGTCACAGATTTCATGGCAGTCTGATAATAGAGGAAAGCGTATCACACACAAAAGGACATAATATATCGACTGCAGAAGAACTTCGGCAAAATTCGAGCCTCCTTGGAGAATATGAGGATTATTTCGACAAAACACGTATCGTGAAGAGGAAGTTATCGCAGAACGACCCATAGGTATAACTCTGGGGTAAAGATATGACAAAAGTGAGAGAAGCAAAAACTCGAAATCCTATCCCGTGAGTACGCTTGGGCCTTTCGTGCGGTGTTTTCCATATACGACTTAGCATTACGGTACGTATATAGATGGTATTCACTCTTCCCAGCTACGATATTGACCCGGCCTAGATAGACTCTGTCCTTTGCATACATACATTGCTTGTGGTCCTTATTTATCGCCCTGTGGCCACGTGGTTCCTCCTAGAAGGTGTGGTATACGTTCACGGATTATTGCCCCAGATTATGTCTTCGTATTGCGGGATATACTGCCGCTTCAGAGAACCGCGGTTTGCTTAGATATAAAGATGAAATTCATGGTTGGTTCATAGACTGCTTGTGTTCACCCAGTAACACCTTTTCAAGAGTAATTGGAACCCCCCACTCAAAGTGACTGATTGTGGTTGCCACTGGCCGTGGAGGGTAGTTCAAGGTTTAGTATATTGGCCTCGATTTTGGAGCTTCGAGGGAGAGTTTCACCCATGAAGCTTAAGTGACTATGAGTCTTTTAATTAATTTTCCATTTGTCCCTCGGTGCGAACGGGTGTGTTTAAAGTTCAACTCATCTAAGGACCACCGGTTATGCGAAGCGTAAAAGGTCCATGGGTTCGATCGCCGGAAACTTTGTCACCATGGACAATTTTTCTTTTTTATGATCACCAGTGAACTATCTGTCCAGAGAGACTCCCCACATAAAAAACATATATAATATCATGTATACCCTTTTGTCCTTTTCCACCGGGTGATATTGATCGAAATGACGAATGGTCGTATGAGACAGGCCGTTGCCTTTCTATACATTAGCCGGTGGCAGCTTGGTCAGTGCGCAAATAGTTATGGATCGTGGTCTGACCGGAGAGCTATCCCCATGTGCAGTAGGGATATAACCTTAGCGACCATGACATCTGCCGATGATTAACCCAGTGTTGTAGTTGCAATGTCTGCAGAAGACTGTCCCGGAAGTGTCCTGCACACTCAATGACATTGCTTGCCAATGCGCGAATGAAGGCCTCCTTAAACTTCTGTCACGCTGCATGGTTACGAACTGTACTATGCTCGAGTCACTTGGTAGGCAGACACCATTCTTTTCAAGACCGTCCGATGTCACACTGACCTTCTACATCCAGAGCTGGTCAAACTCGAGGCGGTACAATGCAGCCTACCCCGGAATAACCACCACCAGCTCGTCGTGGGGTTTGCAATTGCAACGCCAGTTGTGACTTTCACGATGTTATTCTTGCGGGTTATATCTAGGTTATGGATCATCCACGGACTGTGGTGGGATGACTGCATGCACATCATTGCGGGTGTAAGTTTGCTCCTTGGTACCAGTTCCCAGGTTCTTTGGCACGAGCTTAAGACTGACCCTGGCGGCTCATTATTGAAGGGATTTGCAATACCTTTAACCGTTTTTGCGAACCTCTGTAAGTGCCACTCGTGGCCGACTGACCCTTGGCCTGTCTAACGTCCTAACTCTATTGAAAAGGCTCCGATAATGGCTTTGGATACCATCTCTATGACATCGACGTCAGGTCATCCTCGCAAATATCGCACCTGATTTTCTGGTGTAAGTCCAGCCAGCAGTCTTATGTATTTTCCCATTTTCCTTGCAAAGCTAACCGGGTGTTGCTCAGGGTATCTTTGTATGATATTATGGCCTTGTACGATCTTTTTCATTAAGTTGTCTATCCTCTTTCTTTATCTCCGTATCTTTCCGCACCGCACTTTCAAGGTGATGGTTTACATCTCCATGGGCATCTTAACTTTGTCTTTTCTGGTCCTTATGCCAATGGCCATTTGGCAATGCAACCCGATTCATGCCGTCTGGGACTTCGACATCAAAAATGCACATTGTTTGAGTATATCCAATATCGCGTACGCCAATGCTGCCGTCAATATCGCAACGGAAATAATGATATTCATTCTCCCCCTGCCCGTGCTCCGGACACTGCATGTCCCCAGCAAAAAGAAGATGGCACTCTGCAGTATATTTGGCATTGGTGTAATGTACGTCCGTTTCTTCCCAATACGGTCCTGGAGTCATTCGTTGAACTAGAAACAGTGTCATTGCGATCGCCACGGCACGCCTGGGCACGCTCTCCAGTGTGGGAACGTATAATGACCCCACTTACTCTCAAGTTCCTGTTTACGTCCTCAGCTGCGCCGAGACAGGGATGGCTCATATCTGCGCAGCTGCGCCGGCGTTGTACAAATCTGTTGTCGAGACCAAGCGTAATGCATTTCCAACAACCGAGCCCGCTCCTGTCGCTTTCGCGCAGAGGCTTTCGGAGACAAGCTCTCCACCGGGGTCAAGTCAACAAGCAAAGAACAAAATTTACCATTCGTCGATGAACCTGTCGGACCTGGCGATTATGGGCCGTGCTTGGACACAGGATCAGGATATCGAATACACTCCGTCGTCTCCTGCTCACCCGGACGTCTCGCCATGTATTGACGCTCACCACGCCGACCCAGAGTCTGCCTATGGGCTAAAGTAAAGTTACGGCCATTTGACACTTATGGTTGGGTTTTATCTCTGGGTACGATTACTTCACGGGCTTCCATATTTAATCTAGTTAGTATCTATTTGTGGCGACTCAAATTGAACCTGTTGAAGTAAGACGCAGACTTCCCTTTTCCCGTCTCGTGTGAACTAATTTGTGGAAGTAATTGTCCGTCGTATTCAATTAATGATTGATATAATACACAATACAAGCCCTTTACAGATATAATTCAACTCCAGCGCATCAATCCTCGCCTTTCCTCTATCCTCAAGTTTATACGTTGGCATTTATTTATGATTGTCCGCTTTTCTGACGTGTCACAATATAAGATGTCTGGTCCCGGCACCCTTTCCAACCTCCTCCTAACTAGGAACACGCACTCAATTCCATCTAATACTTAAAATAACTAGTCGCACCATAGTTCAAAGCTAGGCTATTCCAGCTATTTAGCATGCGACCTACGCTCCGGACTCGCTATGTCCTTACGTGCGAAGCTGGAGGAGTCGATGCTATCTGTGATGCCTGTCGGCAGATTTCGGCAAAGCGTTCCACGTTCCTCTGGCCGACAACAGGATATACTTGGAAGACAGGGCCTTCTTATCGTCAAGGTTGGCTAGACTAGCAAGAGCTCCACAGTTCCTGCCGGGTGTTCTACTCAGTAGCAAATGATGCTAGCAGGACTAATGATCGAGTACAACCCGTGGAGTTGTGGGCCGGTAAAGATGGCAATAGTGGCATTTCACTATTGATCCAGAAAAGTCTAGAGACGAGGTGCTTGGCATCTAATTCTCGAGACCCTAAACCCCTTACGTGCGACCTGAAGTACGGGAACTCCTTTCAAATGCATGTTGCTCCCCGGATGTATAACCCTTCTCAGAGGATGTTCGAAGTTTGATATTGCATTGCAACAATGCCGACTGGACACGAGATCATAAAAATTGCACTTCGGAAAGGTATGAAATCCCGAATATGAAACTGATCGATTGCCAATCTCCCGAAATAGTGAGGTCGCACTCGTCGAAATGGGTGGCACTAAGCTATATCTGAGGTCGTTCAATTACTGCTGTTGGAGAGCCATCTGGTTCATCAATACAGGCCGAACAACTACAACCTCCCAGTCTTCCACAGGTCGTACACAATGCTATAGATGTAACAAAAGCTCTCGGACATCGGTTTCTCTGGATAGATAGATACTCCATCAACCAGGCCGACACGGCTGGGAAGCAGCAGGTCATGCTCATGGAAATGATTTTACAAAGGTGCAGCGATCACCATTATGGCCGCAGCTGGGAGTCACCGAAACGTTATCCAGGGAAGATAGTGGTCACTATGGAATATTCATCAATACAGAAGATGACACCCGAACTCCCATTGTGAGTGCCCCATATAAGGGCGGACCTTATATCCCAAAGAGTTGGAGTTCACTGGAAAGGTAATTCCACCGCAATTTCTCGAACTAGAAATGTATGATAACGAACCTGTGTTAATGTACCTTGGGAACCCAGTTAAATTCCATCTGTTCCGAGAAGCAGGCACACCGAGTCATTTCATAGATCCATTACAAACGGAGGAAGTGGAAGCAGTGTTTCTAGGGAGGTCACTAATCCATATCTTTCTGCTCGTTGTAGAATGGAGACAGGAATGGGCATCTCGCTTGGGAGTTGCAGAAGTGACTCATGATAACCCTGATTGTATACGCATGAGCGATGAATACGGAGGGTTTCCTAGCTCTATTTGGGAATTAGATTCCCGGACAAAAAAGATTCGACTTTTGTCCAAGTGAAACTTGATGTAGAATTTGAATTTCCTAAATTTTTTTTATTAATATGCTTGTTCTTTGGTAGGTGTTTGGTATCTAATGGAAAATATCGCTTTCGCGGAATCACTCTCCATATCCTCTCCATCCGTAATTATTCCCCATAAATTGATGCATTTGAATTTTTTTATTTTTTATTTTTTTTTTTGAAAAGAAAAAATACACGAAAAGAAAATAAAAGATATAGAATTTGTAGACTTAATCATGATCCCTGAGAATGGACACAAGCATACGCATGAGCATTGAATATTCTGGAAATCTAGGGCTTTGTTATACGACGATCTCACTCTGAACTAGGTTTCAAGGTTTATCCTCGGCACATCATTATGTTGTTGTTTGAGATAGATCGCAAGCAGCCCCATGAGAGTTAATGGAGGCCTGTAGTAAGCTAGGCACTGCCGGCCTCTGACATGAGTAAAGATTAGAGGATCATGTCTCGCATAGAGACACGGCATGGAATGACAGACACAAAAGGCAACAATGCCTTCTTACAAGTGGTAGTTGAAAATGTACCGAGGGTCTCGAACTTCACGAATCATGATCTCTACCAGCCCTATCTTCCGGTTGACCTACTCTTTGAATTTCTCTCCAAAGCACAGATCACAAGCCAAACAAAAGGGCAGGCAAACGTAACCAACTGATGTCTTAGGCCCTCGTATTCAACGATCGAAGTACGACGGCCCCAAAACCACCCTTGGCATCAAAAAGCCATAGATTTCTCCGATGACATGCCGAGAACTAGGCAAATTCCGTATCAGATCCCTCACCCATGGATAATACCCGACTTTGCACGAATCATACCTGCAAATGTGAAACGGACGAATCGGTCCAGCAAAGGCCAGCTTGTTTTAGCGCTAGCCCTAACCTACATAGTTTGGTCCTTGGACATAGAGGTGAATCCTCCGGGACCCACTAGGGTTTGGTTCCCGTTTTCCTTTCTAGCGTCGAGAGGTCTGAGGCACGAAAGGGGATTATCATGGATATTTTAGACACAGATGTGCAATACGGCGGCTTCATGTAAAGAGCGTCAGGGTCATCCCTACATTCCATATTGAGTGTGACTAGCCCGAGATCATCTACGGGACCTTTGTAGGAATGAGATTGATCTGAAGACATCCCACATGGCATGGATAAACTTTGACCGTTCAACCCCAATAATAGGTTCAAGTGGACCCAACCCAAAATGGGATGGAACTCCGGTTCGATCGCTTTAGCTATTGCTTTGGATCCCCAAGACCGATGAATTTTGCCCAAGCGCAAAATGCCGATTGGACGTCAGATGGGGGAATCAGGGGTTCGTCGGAGACCTTGAGACCTTAAGACTATGGATTTTCTAGTGGGAATCGGGATATGACCGTCTCGCAATAGTGCCGTTAGATTGCTAGGATACCTGACAGGGTTTCCACTTTGAAACAGGGCCGGGCTTTGTCGACCATAGGATTTTTTCTTAAAAAAACCAGAGTTAGGATAATAGTAATACCCTCAACCCATGGCGCAGCAAATAAACTCAACTTTGGGGTTGAAGGCCACCGGTGGATGCAGGGTAAACATCGGAGGTTTGCTAGGATGATGGGTCTCGAATAGAGAAATGGTATAGGGTGTATATATATAGGAGCATTGGTCCTTGAGTCCATCATTGATTCTCCAGGATATCTTCCACAGGCTCCTCTTTAATACCCCTACGTACCATATTACAACACCTATCCAACTGAACAAGATGGTGGCTTTGCCGTCTCTCCTCATCTCCGCCCTGGCTACTCTGGCAGCAGCTAGCCCCATCGCTGAGCCTGACAGCCAGTCCCTGGAAACCAGACAGTTCGGCATGACCGCTAATGATCTCGGCACCGGTGCATGCAAAGATGTAACACTGATCTTCGCCCGAGGCTCTACGGAAATGGGCAACATGGTTCGTTGACGTGTCGATATGTTACCTATATACCACTGACATAGACAGGGCACGGTCATTGGACCCCCTCTCTGCTCGGCGTTGAAGAGTAAGCTCGGTGCCGACAAGGTCGCCTGCCAGGGCGTGGGCGGCATGTATACCGGAGGGTTGATGCAGAACGCTCTTCCCCAGAACACTGACCCTGGTGCCATCTCGACGGCGAAGTCGCTCTTCGAGCAAGCCAGCACTAAGTGTCCCAATACCAAGATCGTGGCTGGTGGATACAGGTATGACTATCTCCTATCCTTACGCTGTAGACTATAATGCCCAAACACTTACTGATGAAAATCTTAATCCTTAGTCAAGGCAGTGCTGTCATCGACAATGCGGTCCAGCAGCTTTCCTTCGACGTCAAGGATAAGGTTAAGGGTGTTGTTTTCTTCGGGTTCACCCGTAACCTCCAGGACAAGGGCCAAATCCCCAACTACCCCAAGGACAATGTCAAGGTCTTCTGTGCGATGGGCGACCTTGTCTGCGATGGCACGCTTATTGTCACCGCTGCCCATCTGACGTATACCATCAATGCGCCGGACGCTGCGTCTTTCCTTGCCTCCAAGGTTCAGTTGGCTTAGTCTACCGAGCTTGGCAATAGATAAGCTAGATGGGACACGGTTGATCGAATAGTGTGTGCTGGTCACTTTCTTTCTCGTGTACTGTGTACCTGTGTGAGATATGGTATTAAAGAGGGAATTCTTGTAAAGTAATAGTTCTTATTCCTTGCTAGTGGCCCTGTTAAGCCTTGTTTCGTGCTCAGTATACTATATAGGAAGCTTTAGGCAATCCGCGTCTTAGTATAGGCGAACAGGAAATTCACTCTGCAGATACCAAGTCGGTAAGTGCGCGAGGTACGAAATTGGTCGGCAGAGTACCGTAGGGCTCAGTGAGTCATATAGGAGAGTGAGCTGAATATGTTCCCATCATGTGGGTAGTGAGACAACCGCACCGATTACAGAAACGTGGTGCCTGGACCCGTGGCTAGAGGGTTTTTGAAGGATTTAGTCACGAATTATTAGTGCGCTAGGAGGAGGCCAAGCAACACATGCACAATAGATATCTTTGACTACTTTTTATGCCCGCTGAGCAGTTTAGTAGTAGAGACGGATGTGGCACTATAAGGCAACGTTTACAATAATGTGGTTGGGGTTGCTTCTAGTCTCCGTCCAGGGCCAAGGCATGCGAAAGGTCCCTTTCATCCACAGGGCAGTGTATGTAGTTGAGCTGAGGAACGGGCATCTGGAATTCTTGATCTGGTTGACCTCGTACTATCCTACTTCTAAATACAAGTAGCAATATCCTCACAGGACTCAAAATCTGCTAATGATCTGACGCGGGGAGTAACTGGTTCTCCTATCTTGTATACCGCTGATCAGGCCTTCAAATTCCTGGCAATGGCCTTGCTGCATTCTGCAATCAAGCCCTGACGTATTCTTCTGTCCACTTCTCTAACTCCTTGATAGCTTTTACATCATCGAGTGCCCATGGATCAGCAAAGTCATTTAAGGTCAATTCAGAGCTACGTCCCCGAATGTTGTTCCAAATTCTCATCCATTCACTTTCCTCAGTGGCCTCTTTAGCAACTTTCAATCGCCAATACTTCTCTGTGCCTAGGCGAGGAGCGAAGGCATTTATAAGCCCGCAAAACGGGAGTTGGGTGCTTTCAGTGTTCGTAGCGAGGGCAGCAAAGCCTCTCATCGCATCATTAAAGGTAAGTCCGGGCTGGGATACTGCTACGCTGGGCGCCATCCCAGTCCCAATGCTCAGGACGCAATCGGCTTTTCGCTGTAGGCCGTACTCGGACAGGCCCTTGGTTCAGAGCCATGAACGTTAAATCGCAAATCAGGGTAGGAAGATAGTCAAGACGTCTATAGGATGGAGTACTACCATCCTACCTGATTGTTGGCTAGCAGCCCGCCGTCCACGAGCTTTACCTTGCCAACCTTCATAGGTGCAAAGTACCCTAGTGCGGCCAATGCAGCGCGTGCAGCCTGCCACACCTTAATCCCGGCAGGGTCAGGATGCGGCGGATCGGAGTCACTCGTATACGAACGGAGGAAGACGGGCGCCCGGTGACTACCGCTTTCTTGGCATGCTGCCATGAGGAACCTGGGATGGGGTGACCAATAAGGCATCCGGCGGATATATCAAGGAACAGAAGCTTGTATAGTACACTTTGCATGAATTACTGTTTCCCAAGAGCTCCCCACGAAGCTTCCGTCTCCTACCTAAGCAAATGCTCTTGATCCTATGCTATTCGTGTGGCTTACCCACGCTAGCTACACCCCCTCCTTAAGCCTGTGGTCACTGGAAGACTCATGCTTGTAGATGGATAGTTTTAGTCACGTCTCATTGCCAAATGCACGGTCGTTGTTGTGGCCTTGATCATGCGCATCGGCGAAATTTTAGATAGTTTGAATATATTTGCGTACATATTTATCAAGACACTATGCGTAAGAGGTGCAAATCAAGAGGGAAAAATAATCATTAGAGCCGAATCGTTGTCATTGTATTATGTTAAACACGAAGCTTACTGGAGACTTGGACCATGCCTTGTTCGCAGGATTCAAGCCGACTACCGTGACAGGTGGATGAAAATGATGATTATTTGTCTCTTCGGGGGCAATAAATAATTTCCCTGACGTAAGTTGTTACTTCTCATTCGCTTGCCCGGGGGGAATGATTCTAGCGTTCGGAGGGAAATGGGCGAGGAGGGGGAGGGGGAGGTTTAGAACGATAAACCATGTCTGCTGGGGCTCTTGGTAAGTTGTTTTGAGCTTTTCTTATGTCAGACACTATATGGATTAATATAGCTTTCGGAAGCTAAGATGAAAACGAGCCTAGAGGTAAGGTAGAAACTCCATATTTGAACTTAGAACGGAAAGCCGAGAGGGGTTGGACATCTCACCTTGCATGGAGCTAAGCAAAGACATCCTCACCACTTGCAACTGTAATCCATGTTCATCCAGGGCTATTAGTGTAGTACCTTTTTACTTTCTGTTCCCCAGCCTATAGAAGAGCGAGGAGAGTGTCTCGGGTGATGTGCATGGTTTAATCTATTGAAACTATACTGCGGGCTCCTGGAAAAGGTTGTTACTTTCTTGATCGCTTCCTGCATATCAGCCTTGAACACCCATATATATGACTGTCCTCTAATGGAATAACGACTATATCTGAAGATCGACTAGTATGCATATAACCATAGAGGGTCCTCTGGTATACATTGCCGAGGTTCTGGCTGTTATCGTGCACATCCAGTTATAGGCCAGGTTCAAAGCCCTTAAAAAGGGTTGCGCGAGGTGATATATTGCATATAGCATCGTAGCATTTGTTTGATGAGTCCCCTTCTCCACCACAACTCACTTGGTTTTCTCTGTCATTTGTGATATCTCCTGTTGACCAGTGAGTCAGTGGCCACTGTAGCCGATATGTAGGTTTAGTTGCGCCCTTCTCAAGCTAGTTATGATACCATGTAACCATTCTCCAACATATGTTCGTGATGCCGAGCCGCTATTTCATGTACTGACTCCTCTCGCTTGATAGCCATACATTATCTGCCAATAGAGCCTTAGAATATTGCTGCCTTAAGGCCACAGCCTTCCTAAAGCGGAAGGCACGTGCGAGCGACTCCACCAGATGCAGAGAATTCAACGCTCATCTTCATCGTTTAGAATCAGCTAACAACAACTCGTGAATATTTTCCTATTTCAGTAGACCGAGATGAAGCCTTGACATCTTTTTGTTACCTTGCGAGAACAAAAAAAATCGCCCTTGCCCCGTGGCCTATATTGACACGGATTCCGTCACTGAATGACCCAGTCTTTCAGACCGGGCATGAACAGCCCCATCCATTGGACGTATGTATATAGGGCAATGTAGTGAAATCTAGGTTAAGAATGTCACACATGGCTTGTCTGTCGACATCCGCTTGGCATTCGAAGAGTTCTAGGTCCAATTAGCCTCTGATGTTCGCGGCGGCGTGATAGCCCCGAAGCTAAAGTACTTGCAGCGGGGGAGCTTCGACTTGGAGTAGTGCTGTAGTATTCAATTACTTAAATTAATTTTCAATACGAAGTCCTCGCAATTCCCTATGCGGGACACATTGTTCTAGCAGTTTTAGGAAGGTTACCTTTTGGGACGGGGAGTGGACGGTTCCGCAAGGATGTGTGCGTATCACGACATCGTCAGCAAATGAACGGGCTCTATCAGACCCGATCTACACACACCAGACCCTTGCGCCATCTGGGGTTGCGTAGTTACAAAATATTTGCCATTTGAAGAAGTTTAAGAATCTTCTTTCTTCCATGGTTATATAATTAACTTGTCGGATCAGCTACAACCACGAATTTAGGTGTGCGACTTGATAGCCAATGGCTACCAAATTCGGGAAAGATGATACTATCAAGTATCAGACAGGGTCCAGTGTGGACGAGGAGGCTCCCCGCGAGGAAGTCGGGGCTGTTGACCCCCTCGCAGCTCCCTTGAAAAGAAGCTTGAAGTCGCGGCATCTGCAAATGATCGCAATTGGCGGTAAGACCATTTTTGTCTTTATTTGTGGGTATATTATATCACTTCTCTAAACACAGTACTATAGGTATTATCGGCCCGGGATTGTTGGTCGGTTCGGGAAATGCACTGAATAAGGGTGGCCCGGCCGGATGCTTGATCAGTTTCTCGCTTGTCGGGATTATCGTCTATTTTGTTATGTAAGTCTATTGTGGATATATCGTTCGCGTCGTCGGCTGGTCGCTAATAGAGAGAATAGGCAATCGCTGGGGGAATTAGCAACGGCCATCCCCGTGTCAGGATCTTTTACCGAATACGCGCAACGATTTGTCGACGACTCGCTGGCTTTCGGACTGGGATGGGCGTACTGGTATTTATGGGTGACAGTAAGCCTGCCACACCCCTTCGCTAAGATATATGCTGACCGCACAGATTCTGGCGAGCGAATATAATGCGATTTCACTTGTTATCGGCTACTGGACGGATGCGGTACCTCAATGGGGCTGGATCATTATCTTTTGGGTCCTTTTCTTGGGGTTATCCAACCTCGGTGTCCTCGCTTATGGCGAGATGGAGTTTTGGCTATCATTGTATGTGTCTCGCTTCGTTGGCCCAGTTGCCTTGCTGACACGCTATCAACAGAATCAAAGTGCTGGCACTGCTTGCTTTCTTCATTTTAGCCATCTGTATTAGCACGGGCGGTATCGGGCCTGGCCCTATTGGGTTCAAATACTACCATGACCCAGGCGCATTTGCCGATTCCATCAACGGTGTCGCGAGGACATTTGTCGTTGCTGGTACACTCTATGCGGGCACAGAGATGTAGGGTCCTACCCTCTCCATGGCAGGTAGACGAGTTCTAACAATCGCAGGGTCGGTGTGACTGCAGGAGAGTCAGCAAACCCGCAAAAGGCTGTACCGGTTGCTATCAAGCAGGTGTTTTACCGTATTCTGATCTTCTACATCGGTAACCCTCGCTCAAATCGTTACCATACGGCATGAACGAGAGGCACTGACAAGCAGCAGGAACCTTCTTCTTCCTGGGAATCCTACTCCCATACAACCACCCAAAGCTCCTCAGCGCCAGCTCCACCGCAGCAAGCTCTCCCTTGACAATCGCCCTCAGCGATGCGGGCATCCTCCCAGCCGCGCATCTGATCAACGCCTTGATCGTAATCAGCGTCATCTCCGCCGGAAACGGATCACTGTATGTCGCATCACGAACGATGCTCTTCATGGCTCGCAACGGCAAGGCTCCGCGTTTTATAGGCCGCACCAATTCGCGCGGTGTTCCCTGGGCGGCTCTTATTTTCTCCAATATCTTCACATGCATCGTGTTCTTGACTCTCTCCTCGGGCGCGGGCCGTATCTATTCAGCGTTGATCACCCTGGCTGGGGGTGAGTGAAACTCCAACCCCCCTTAAATCCCCTAATACACACTAATCCGAAACAGTGGCAACCTTCGTGGTTTGGGCTGTCATTTGCATCGCACACATCCGTTTCCGCAAGGCCATGGTCGTACAAGGTGACGATCCATCTCGACTGCCATTCCGTGCGGCACTCTATCCGTACGGAACGTATTTTGCCCTAGGTGCAACGATCTTCCTTATTTTCTTCCAGGGGTACACAGCTTTCTTGAATCCATTCAGCGTCGACGACTTTGTTATCAACTATATCCTACTTCCGGTGTTTGTCATGCTGGTTGTGGGGTACAAAATCTGGCATAAGACGACGATCGTCAAGCTTGAGGAGATGGACATCTGGACAGGGAGGAGGGTGACCGTTATTGATGAGACGGCCAAATCGAAAAGCTGGAAGTCTACATTGAAGGATATAATTGTTGGTTGAATGCTGTTTTATTTCCGATAGAAATGAATTCATGTCTGCCATGGCATAGTACTGATATATCGGGGTTAAAAACTTGTAAACCCCGGGAGTAGATTTCAAGCAGAAATTATGGATAGAGATCCTACGCTGGAGTGTTCCATAGTATTGAGATCGGGTCTCTTGGTAGTCGCTAAATTAAACCTCACACTGCTACCGTATCACTTCCCTTAATGAAAGCGATGATTCCTAAAGAAAACTGGTTGTATTTGCCTAAGCTTGAAAACTTGACTTCGTTGTCATAAGTAAAATGATGAGAATGCAGATAGGAAGAAGATCCAGTAAAGGCGGTGTCAGGGGCGGTCCATTTTTATGCCTAACAGTATTGAAAACGTAACGACCAGTTTCCAATTTGGGATGGTACTTCAGTGCTAATAGAAAAGTTCCATTCACATATCCTAACATAATTGGCCGACTCTAGCTCATTCGCTGTACCTATCATCCTGCCATAGGCTCATCAGTATCGGCAAGGGGCTTGACAATATTGAATCCCGTATTTGGGATGGTAAGCAGTGATAGCAGGATATCCCAAACCCCCGCGTCACCAGCATAGTTGAGCCCCTCTATAGTGGAACGCTCACCATTGAAAAGCTGCACGAGTTCCTGATGTGTCACGTAAAGCGTCAAATCTGCTGCAGGAGCTGATGAAGTCCCAGGTCCCTGGTACTTGATGACATGGCCCGTCAGAGCACCATTGCTCAACCTGACGTGATAGCCCTTGAACTCTGGGTCGGTCACCTTTCCGTCATTGGCGGGATATTGGACCATCAGGTTGATGGTAAAGGCTTTGCCCCAAGCCTTTGGCCCCTCAACTCGGATGGCCATGGTGTCAACCAGCTCATCCAAACTGAACGCATACCACGCCTCGGGAGCCATGAGGTTGATGCCAGGCTGAACATCACCCACCAGCTCCTTCGCACCGGTAAGATAGATATTTCGCCAAGTTCCGTTTTCTGCGCCGTGGCCAAGCTTCCGGTAAACGTGGGCCAGGGCCACTCTCGCCTTTTCAGGATTCGGGTCAGAAAAGACAGCATGGTTGAGAAGAGTAGCTGCAAAACGCAGGTCGTTCTCGTTATCAATGTAACCTTGAGCGAGATCCACCACTTTGTCATATCCACCCATGCATTGAACGTATCTCGCCGCTTCAGCCTTCGGGGGATGTTTCCAAAGGTTCGCTGGGTTACCATCGAACCACCCCATGTACTTGTCATAAATGGCCTTGACGTTGTGGCTCACGGACCCGTAGTATCCCTTAAGGTCCCAGACATCGCGGAGGGAGGGAGGCAGCTCAAACACCTCTGCAATTTCCACCGGCGTCATTCCATTATTCAGGCGACGCAGGGTTTCGTTGTGGAGGTATGCGTAGCAATCGCGCTGTCTCGACAGAAGTGAGATAATTTTCTTCTCGGGATTCCCCTGCTCGTCATAGGTTTCCCAAGTTGGCCAGTGATGACTGGAGAAGACCACCTCGGCTTTCTCACCGAACAAGGCAATGGCCTCATCCAGATAGCGCGACCAGAGACGGGCATCACGGACCGGTGCTCCGCGCAACGTCTGGAGATTGTGAAGGGTGTGTGTTGCATTCTCAGCCATGCAAAGCGCGTTCAGAGACGGGAAGTAAAAATTCATCTCGGAGGGCGCTTCTGTGCCGGGGGTCAATTGGCAGATGAGCTCCATGCCCTCAATCTCGGGCTCTAGCTTGCCATTGTTCTTGATGTAGTGGGTAGGCGCAACAAGCGAACTTGTTCCCTGGGACACGGCCAGACCTAGTCCGACTCCAATATGGCCATTAGGAGCGATATCCAGGGATTCGCCGTACATATAGACCGACCGGCGAGTCATAGCGTTGCCGGCGTAGACATTCTCGCTGACGGCGTGCTCAAGGAATCCCTCCGGGGCATAGATTGGTATATCCTTGCTGGCCGCGTAGGGCATAATGGCCTCTGCTCCTCCGAAATGATCTGCGTGCGAGTGAGTGTAGATTAGGGCCTTCACTTTGATGTTCTTATCTGGGTTGTATTCCTTCTTGTAATTTGCGTACATCTCAAAGGCTGCCTTTGCAGTTTCAACAGAAGTCAAGGGGTCAATAACAATAACCTCACCACTAGACCCGATCTCAACGATTGTCATATTCGACACATCGTATGTACGGACTTGGTAGATGGCACCTGCCGGGCTGGAAATGACTTGGAAAAGTCCACCCTCATAGCATAGCCTTGACTGCCTCCACAGCGAGGCATTGGCCACGTCCGTAGGAGGCTCATCATAATCTGCAAGGAAGTCATGGGCACAGTAATCCCACACAACGCGAGGTTCTCCGGTCTTTGATGGCCTGGACATGATCCTCTCGTTGGGGATAGACATAATCTTAAAGCGAGAGGCATTGATCCAGTCATTTTCACTTTCAGGGATTGAGCCCATGGTGATAACTGAGGCTGAGTGGGAAACAGGTTTTGTAATGTGTGTAGAGGATTTGGAGGAAGTGATGATCTGTTCAGCTAGAGTTTGGGAATTGGCGCAGTATTTATGCCGGATGGTAGCATATGGTGTCCAATGGACCCCGAACTTGAACCCCGCACCATACGATCATCTTCTAATGGCTCAGCTGAGGGGAAAGAAGGTAATTGTCTTTCATGGCGATTCAAGGTGATACTATGTCGCCGCAGTAACGTGCATCTATCGTCATAGCCACCAACGTTATCCTCGGCTGCCGACTAGGGTCGGAATTAACAGCTGAGAATGGAGGCACAAGCCAACTCATATGACTAGTCGGACGAACATGTCGAGCTAGGCAAGGTCACTGTAAGGATTATTCATTTAAGTAAGTTACCCATGGATGAGACACACAGAAGAAGAAGCAAGAGATAAAGCATGATGCCTGCCGGGATACTACTTCTTTATACATCCCATCAGGGAGTCGAAGAGAGACACCAAGGTGCTCGCAAGGACGTATATCAATTTCTGAAAATTAAAAGACACTAGACAGTTGGGTTCGCAAATGGTTGTTTGTGCTTCCAGCTTGATCTATGGATAATAAAGACGATCTATGCAGTTGGCCCAGCCCACATATGACCTCGGATACATCCTCGCCCGTCTAGAACTAGGTGCTGAGGTCTCGGCTCGCTTGCCTAATGGGTCACTCGCGTTTGTCTTCGTCGCAGTAGTTTATTGACCTTTGCTCGCAGTCGGGCTGCCATTCATGGTCCCCGATGAGGGGTAGATGCTTCACAATGCAGCAAGCGACCTGGGTGATCTCCTAGAGAATTACGAGAGTTACGTGTAGTATAAAATCAAATCTAGACTATCGTGGGAACTGAATCGATGATCATCCCGTCCAGCTGCACACTAGTAGCTCCGAGTTATGTATCCGCTGCAGGACCGAATTGATAGAACCCTATCAGGAATAGCCATGCGGCCCCTAGACATTTTGCCGTTTCCTTTTCCTTTTCTCTTTTCTCGTTTTATTCCCTTCTCTTATTTCCTTCATTGGATTTAGTGGTGTGAGCTGATGCAATTGGTATCATGCTTCAGCTCGCCAGTATTCTATTACATTGTCTCCTTCTCTTCCGAATTTCTTTCAAGTGTGACGGGGGCTTGCATTTTCTACCCCGCAGCTGCATCTGATCGCTTGGATAGATTTTGACAGTGAATCTAGCTTGGGAACGAGGGACCGGGGTTCTCTGTTTCATTTGACAGTGGCAAATCTTAGAATTCGTGCTATTAGGGAGTATCCTATCTAGCGAAACGTACTGTCTCGTTTACGGCTCCGTCAACTCCAGAAAGGGAAGCCAACCAGCGTGGCTAGACATTAAGACTCTAGATCATACGAGTCCTGTGAGGAGGGCTAAGTATAGTTAATTAACTTGAGAGGCATTCCTTTTCTTCCCTGGAAACACATGGTGATTCCACTCACTGTCTTCTTTCCTCCGCTAATTCTACGCTAGTAATGCACTATATCAAGTGCTAATACAATAGATAGCCCATTCTAAAAGAACAGCAGAAGTTGCATCAGCACCAAAGCACTAGCCTATAATCAATTATTGTTCGAATTGACTCGCCCCAAGTAAAATCTCGGAGTTCTTGCACTGAAACAGGTTCTATTTATCCTCCGACGCAACCAAGGATGCACCAATGCCTGGTCGATGAGTCCGCGAATGAGATCTTTCAATATTGTATTGACCATATCCGGTCAATTGGAAAAGGTTCGTGTGGGCTATGCTCTTCCGACCTCTCTTCCCATAACAAGTTTAAGATCTGACAACTAGGCTCATCATTGGAAGTTTGCTTTAAGAGCCCGTTAAAACCGTCTCGGTCGCCGAAATACGAAAGTTGGCGTTCTTCGCGGCTGCGCCAGTTGTCATTGCCAGCAAGCACACCTTTGATACACCTTCCTTTGGGTAAAGATGCAGCATTCTTACGGTCGATGATCTGAACTGTTTCAACTGAGGTTTCGTGACCATTATATCGATAGTCGACCTATTGTCTGACTTTAGGTCTACCTCCACTTCGCACATATAGCTTTGAACAAATCCGAGGTACTGATATGGTGATCATCCAGGCGAACAATGTTTCGGTTGTGTAATGCAGCAATACCTAGAAAGCTGTCCTTGAGAATTCGCTTTCTAGCCAGCACAGAAATTCCTCTCTTGGCAAGACTCAAGAAATCTACTGTTAAGTGCTGGTACACTAACATTCATTTACGTAGTATGTTGTCGCACGGAAGGCATAAGTGAGGGCTCTCGTACAACTGAGGCGTTCATTTCTCATTGAAGTTGAAGGTTTCCTTAGGTATGTCCTTTAGGGTATACCTCTCCTTTCCTGAACTATGCAGTATCAGCTTCAGTGCCAGATAATTATAGTGGCGAAAAATATAAGACATTGTCAATGATACGCGTCCCATGTGTGGCCGTTCCTGAAGAAACCCTTTTGAACTTATAGCGATGTCAAGTGGCTCCGATGTATTCAGGGGGCACGGAAACCGTTTTACACTTTTAGATGCCATGCAGTATGCGATAGTGCAGATGACGGTATATAAAGGAAGCAAATTCCAAGGCAGCAGACTGCCCAATAAATTTCAATGTACACAATTAGTATGTAAATTGTGACAGGTACTAGGTTAAATATTGACTTGAGCTATCATTTGGGATACTTCACACCCCAGTAGGTAACCAAAAATCTCTTTTTCCCGAGAGATTTGCCGCTACCCCGCAAGAAATCGGATGTACGGAGATGATGGATCATAAGTACACCTTTCCCCTAGTGATTGAACAATACATTAATTACTCCTCGTCTCCCTTCTTGTGGGGTTGTACTACATCTGCACAAATTCTAACTCTCAAGGCCTCAAAGAAAGCAAGATGTCCGTCCCCAAATACCAAACAGCAGCATGCATCGATCGCCCTCGGCCCGGAGCAAGACTCAACATCTGCCATGATATCCCCGTTCCCAAACCGAAGGCTGGAGAGGTGCTGATCAAGTTGGAATGCACTGGCTTCTGGTATTCTTCCTCCTAGTTTACCCTTACCTCACGTATGATCTGATATGTACAACCACTAATACGACCAACATAGTCATTCAGATCTACATAATATCAGCGGGGAATTACCCATGAGTACGAATATCCCGGGCCACGAGGGAATCGGCAGGGTAGTACAAGGTAAGTTCTATTCGGCTCTATTATCCAGAAAAGAAATACATTGACGACATCTAGTGGGTCCCAATACACCCGAGGAGCTGATGGGGAAGCGCGTTGGCGTAAAGTATTGCCCCTCACACAGTGCCGGTCCTACAGAGGTGTGATTAATAGGTATCAGATGGCTTTACAGCACCTGCAAGGAGTGTCCGACGTGTAAAGTCCAATATCCGAATTGTCCCAATCAGAGTAATTCCGGCCGGGTTGGTTCATCTTCCCATCCAAGGACAGTATCTTAGCTGACTGGTTCAGAACGTTCCGGGCACGTTTCAACGTACGCTTGTCTTCAAATGTAAATAGAAGACTAGGTACTAACAGGGGCAGAATATGTCGTCTCTCCGGCCGACTTTGTGTCACTCATCCCCGAGGACCTCAAACCAGAGGCCGTCGCATCTTTGCTATGCGGTATGTATGGCTTTTGCTTCCACTGCGATAGAGACCAGCGATACTAATTATGTAGCCGGGCTAACCATGTACGGCGCCCTGAATAAATTGCACAAATTCTGTCAAAAGGACGATTGGGTTGTGATTATGGGAGCTGGTGGTGGACTAGGACATCTGTACGAGTCGATTGCACGCAGAACTCGAAAAAAAAACCCCCCCCCGCTGACTCTTCCCAGTGGAGTCCAAATCGGCAAGGAAATGGGGTATAATATTATCGCTGTAGACAGGTAATGCACTCTCCTAACTAAGACTGAGTAAGAACAATAGCTAACCCAGTCAGTGCAACTAAGAAGGATATCTGCATCAAATCAGGCGCAGCGGCATTCATCAATTTTCGTGAAGATGTCTGTGAGACGAATCCCTCCTGAGCACGTGTGTGAAATTGACATCCAGACAGGTGGAGAAACAAGTCCAAGACCTAACCGACGGAGTGGGCGCGCACGCCGTCGTCGTGGCCGTCGGCCTTGAAGCCGCATACAATCAAGCCATGCGACTTCTTCGGCCAGTCGGCACGCTTGTCTGTGTCGGACTCCCCCGGCAAGGCTACTATATGCCTATCTCGCCATTAGACTGTGTGAACCGTGGGTTTCATGTTGTCGGTAGCTGTGTGGGGACTGAAGAGGAAATGCAGGATCTCTTGAGAATGGCAGCGAAGGGGCGGGTGTCTACACACTTTCAGGTTTTTGAACTAGAGGAGGTGAACGAGGTGATTGAGCGATTGGAACGATTTGCGATAGAAGGACGGGCCGTTTTGCGGATTCCGTCGGAGAGTCCGAGGTACTAATTAGAGTGTAGGCTGAATCAGGGGGAACTCGGATAACCAGTCATGACAGCGACTGGTCAACGATCATTTCGATAGAAATCAACGCATTCGGCCTTGCAATATATTCTGCATCAATAGGATTTGTCCGTTCGTTATTTAATTTCATCCTAATCCATTAAGTATTATATCCAACGACACCGTGCACCCCATGTCCGGCTCTCATTGGCCACGGTCAGCTGAGCGCGATAACCCTCACCGCAAATAAGAATTGTCAGAAACGTGAAGAGATCTGCAGACTATTGCATGCCAATTCAATCACTTCCAATCAATTTAAAACAACGTGTCACCTCCAGAAAGATCAGCCGGACCTGCATGCCTTTTCTACCAATCTCCTTATCGCAGCTCTTCACGGGGACCTCCGAAATGTAACACCGCATATCGATAGTATCACAGATCAATCGGTCAGATGCTGGAAAACGGCAATGCCGAGCGATGGAGAGCATTCGTGAGGATTATTTAAACCCGTTATAATCCCCCAGACAGAAGGCGGAATGTTCATCGTTATTGAAAGCCATTGCCGTTAATCCTCCCGTTCACACGAAATCTTGGAACCACGCAGATCGCGCCCCGTTGATCAAGATGATGTACAGCAAGGTATGATCGTCCACCCCTAGCACTCACCCCTCACTCCACGTTTATCTACATCTCCCGTACTCTTTACAATACATGGTATGACCGATATTGAAACAAACCGACAGCTCCTCACCCTCGCCACCCTCCTCCTCCCCACCGCCCTCGCCCTCCCTTCTCTACAAACCCGCGCCTCCTACACCTGCGGCAGCAACACCTACGCCTCGTCCGACGTCACCGCCGCCCAAGAGGCCGGCTACAAGCTGCACCAAAGCGGCGAGACCGTCGGCAAGAACAAGTACCCCCACAAGTACAATAACTACGAGGGCTTCGACTTCCCCGTAGACCCGACTTACTATGAGTGGCCAATCCTGAGCTCCGGAAATGTCTACAGCGGCGGTTCTCCGGGCGCGGACCGCGTCGTGTTCAATGAGAAGGATGAGTTGGCGGGCTTGATTACCCATTCTGGAGCTAGTGGAAATAACTTTGTTGCTTGTACTTAAATTTGATATGTGGTGGTGCTAGGATATACCATGTAGCTTTCGTCCGGGAAAAATATAAATATTATCGACGTAATTGTTGTTTGGCGGATTTCTAGTGTTATTGACTGGGATATACGTTAGAGTATTCTAATTATGGACTATTTACAAGGTTAGTAAAGTGTGGAACGCGTGTGCAAGGATTGTTGATGACTACCAAGTTATTAGAATACACCTGTTGATATTGGACACATTTCTTGCTGGTGAGTATTCATAAGACACTCGTATTGATTCTGAACGCCAAACAAAACTTAGAATGTCAAGTGTAAGTTTGGCAGAATATATATATTGAAAATAACTGTGTGCACCCAATTCTCGCACGTTCTTTATCACTACGTAGACCCTGCTAATGAACATATATATCTAAAGCGCCGGTACCTGAAAGCTACCTTAGTATATATATTTATCTATCTTGTGGAAGATTCTACGGTACAGCCACATCTAAGCCGGCCAATAGCTGTCTCACAATTGACTAATAATCCTAGCATTGACTTGACACATGACTATTCTCGAAGGTAGGAACATATCCTTATGATCAACGAAGTTTGTATACCTCGAAAGCTTCCATAATTAAGATCCGATATGAGCGAGCACGACAACATTCAGTAGATTATCCAGGAAACAGAATCAATATCCAATGAGCGCCCTCTTCAATGCAAGTCCATACAGAAAAAAGCGTATCTACAAGACGCACTGAGAAAGAAAAAAAAGATCAGTGGCGATATCAAGCGGGCTTGAGTACATCTACAGATCCATTAGAGCGGTGTAACGCACACCACATAATTTATTTCCAAACCGACGTTGATGTAGAGACCGCTACTGCGACGTGTATGTTACACATGCACCTATCTATATCGAGGTGTACGGGATTTTTATACAATACCGCAACAATAGAATCAGTCCTAGTAGCATCCACACAAAAATGAATACCATATCGGCAGGTACCTGTGTGAGGGCAACGGCTTAGGGAAAGCACTTCGGTCTCGATAGACGAGTTGAATATTCGGCATCGTCGGTGCTCGTCTCCAAAGACTATGGACTAAGCCCTTTTTTGGCGGGAATCTAGAAGAACGTTCAAGGAGCGCATGGAGCGTTCTCCCCCTAAAGTGAATACAAATGTCTGGGATAATTGGTTGTATTATTCAAAGGGGTGGAGGTAGAAGAAGGCGAAGGAGCCGCGTAGGGAGCTTAGGTATAAAAAGCCTGAGTTAGTTCCTAGTAATGTGCAGAGGATATGGACATTTGTTTTTGGCTTCGAAGGATTATCAGTATCGACAGAGTCAGTTCTATGCTGAAAACATCTTTCGGTGCAATTCTAACGCCTTGCAGCAATTGGTGACTTTTATCGAAAGGCGCAGGTGTTAATATGACATCCAAGAAGCCCTATTCGAGCTGATGGGCTATCTCTTGTCGAATATAGTGACAGGGAAAATCCTTGTATCTATTATTGATGCATCAAGCTGTATTAGTGTACAATATCGAAGAGAAATTACCGAAATTGTACTCACATGGCTTTACCTTGATTGGATTGGAATTATACCGAGAGCATTTGAGAGAAGGGTCAACCACGAACTCATTTAGTCTGCATTCGGGCCAAATAGTGAAGGACTTTAGAAGAGAGAGAGAGAGAGAGAAAAGGGGGAGGGAGGGAGGTAGGACAGGGCCAGGGCTGTCCTAGAGGCGGATAAATCCCGAAGGGGTGTTGGAATGGCTTCATCGTTGGAACAAGTTGCTACACCGAAATATCTGTCCAGACTAAATTGTACGCCACCTACATCCAGACCAGATGAGGTGCTCGGACTAATTCTCAAAGATGCGATCCTTGAAAAAGCACTCGATATTTCTGTGAAACCATCCGAACGGACCATACTGGGGATTGACTCATTTCCCCTATTCCTTTGTCTCCAATGTTATTTCATTCAAGTTCGTGATGGGATAATCCGTTCTTTCCATGGCACGGTAAAGGTTGACTTGATCAGTCTCAGTCTGCCACCAGTGATGGCCATGCGTGATGATCAACAACCCACATTTCATGTCTCTAAGGAGCTGATCGGCTAGGCGCCATGACCATAGGGCTAGTGTCAAATTCTCAACGTGATGGTGATCTGCTCTGGTTTTCTAGGCTCGATAAGGTGAAACGATAGTCTTGTCTGAACAAGATTTTGCCAGACCGTGAAACCGGCGGGACGAACTCTATGGCATGCCTGAAAATACGCGAACAAGAATCAAAGCCGGGTCCAGAATAGTAAATAGTCAATAAGATTTTGAGAGAGTTGAGTACAGTTGCACGGCACAACAGGCAGATACTATAGGAATGGGCAATTCAAGGCACCGGGTGTAAGTTTGCGACCTCGGTGAATTCCTAGAACTAGCATATGCCAACGAATGCGTACAAAAATAGATCAATGCATCGCTGGCTTCAGACAGCGAGCTGCTCCGAAGCCAAGGCGAGACTGAACGCAGGTCGATAATTTAAAATCAGGATCGATCGATTGCTCTCGGTTGGGTAAATTTCGTTCACCGAGTGTCGCACGTCCATGTCATTACCAGGGAACCACACTAGTGATATACGGTAGACATTATGGGAAACATGTCTCATCCAAGCGTTCTCTAACGATCGCAATGGTTTCCAGATTTGAGGAAGAGCATGGATAAAACTGCGGACTATAACGCTAACCACAAAACCTGCGGAACGTGCCCATGAGGGGCCAGGTACCCCTGGTGCAGGTCACTAAATTGCTCTAGATGGGATAATATCCAGGATAGCTGTCAATTGGTAATGGGCCGCCACCGATCTTGACGCTACGGTAGCTTTATGACTCCATAAACTACTAATGTCCGTACGATGACTAGTCTAGGATCAACATGAGCCATTCATGCATGGGATCAAAGCACAGCACACAGGGCTTACGTATGGTACTAAACAATGTAACCTCCGATTAGTAAGATCTCATTGAGTGCAAGAAGCGAGTAAGGAAATGCCACTTCTTTGTCACTTGAATTTCTTGGAGCCAAGCGTGACCCGCCATGCCCTCATTGGACCAAAATGCCGCGATATTCGGATAAATCAACAAAAAAAAATCCGCGTTGGGTATTTCGGGAAACTTCCATTCATAAGAATAAAAATTTTGATTCTAGCGAGATTGATCTGGCCAGGCGTGAGTTCCACGGATGGGATCCCCTCGAGCATGGATCGTGGCGGCTGCAATCCCAAAGTTGAGAACAGTAAGGAGCTGCAAGGACCACCTGATACGCCAGGGACAGGTTTGGCGCATGTCGACATCTAACGCGATTGAGAAAGAAGGAGACGCCATGGAGATTCAGTCTATTTTCCCCATCTCGAACATTACTCGTGGTTTCTAGAGGCAAGGGGATTGATTGGGATTGGACATTGGGCAAACTCAGAGAGACACTCGTGCTCACTAAAAGATCCGTCCTACCGAAACCGAGGCCTCCGGCTGAAGACTTCTGATGAGGGACTTTGGGCGAGTAGGAGTGTAGGTGGAAAAAAAAAAAAAACCTAACAATGAAACGGCACGGTAGTAATTTCGTCCTTCCCAGCCATTCTCTTCGAATAAGACCCTTAGGGTACCAAACATGGCCGGATCGAAAGGGTCCTTTTCGCCACAACCGTGCCCAAAAGTGGGAGTTCGACGGAGGGCGACTTTCTGTTAGGGCCCCTATAATGCCAAGAAATGGATCCGCAGACCAGAAGTCCGAGAGTAAGAGTCGAAGAGACAAATTAATGAGTAAACTGTGCGGGGTAGTCTACCAAGGAAATCAAATGGTGCAATGGAATGTCTCAGTTGGAGAGGGTCTAAGCAGGGACTAAGATTCGGGCCAAGTGCCGCTTAGGCGAATCCCCCAGAGACCAAAGGACAAATGAGAGAGAATCTGGGGGCGGCCCGGAGTTCTGACCCCAATGTTGCAACGCTAACACTGTGGCTTCCCCCGCCATTGAATGCTATTTGATTAAATCGGAGACGACGATTGGCCCTCCATGGTTCCCCCGAGAATGCTATTACTCATTGTTTTTCCATTTCCTTTGTGTGTTGCGTTGTACAGCATGGGGGGTTTCGCTGCCAGGAAAAGGAGCCCTAACATCCCTAAGCTTCTGATGGATGGGTGACTCTACCACCTGCACTACAGCCTTGCTTTAGGAACCCTAAGGAATGTCACAATGACATCCGAATTTTCTAAAACTGGCGATGATCGAACCCTCCAAATTTCTTGTCCGCACCAGTCAGAGGAGTCCAGACCAACACTCATGGTGACGATCCCTGCGACAGACCCAAATATTAATTAAACTCATCCTGATAGCTTCGTACGCCCCCAGACCAATCCCACGGGGCAAATTACGGGCCTCTTTTGACCCTAAACCCGATCCTGCTAAGAATACTTCCCCTGGCCCATTCTGGCCGAGGCCGGAGGGTACCACGCATGTGAGCTTCATTTGCGTCCGGCGTGTATATATAGAGTCCCTTCGAAGCGCCTCGATGGAAGAAACCACAGATCAGAGCTCTCCATTCTTTTGGCTACGTTCTTCTCAGCTTCTCCGCACTACGGCACTCGTTTGGACTTTGCCATTATTACATAGATTACCTTAATCTTAATTCAACCTACCGTCTTTTTCCATCACAATGAAGTTCTCCGCCATCTTCACTCTGGGCCTTGCCGGTACCGCCCTGGCAAACCCCCTCGTCGCTCGTGCCGGGCCCACCGACATCATCTCCGACATCAGCAGCAAGACTGATGCCCTCGACTCAGCCATCAAGGGCTACAGCGGTGGTGACACCAAGAAGATCGAGGACGCCTCAGCTGACTTGGTCTCCACCATCACCAAGGGCACCGACACCATCAAGGGTGGTCCCGATCTCAGCACCAGCGACGCTCTCGGCCTGACCGAGCCCGTCCAGGCCTTGACCAAGAAGGTCCAGCAGACCGTCGATGACCTTATCGCTAAGAAGGATGAGGTCGTCAAGGCCGGCGCCGGTGGCAAGGTGAAGGAGTCCCTGAACGCGCAGAAGTCTGCTGCCGATGGCCTGGCCAGCGCCATCTCCGGCAAGGTCCCTGAGAGTCTCAAGGATATTGCCAAGCAGCTTTCCGCTGGTATCAGCAACGCCATCCAGAAGGGTATCGATTCGTACAAGGATGTCTCCGACGGCGGCTCCTCTGCCACTCCCTCCGCCAGCGCCACTGGTACTGCCAGCGCTACTAAGACCGGGGGCGCTACTGCCACTGGCACCTCCACCCGTGTGATCCCCACCTCCTCCGGTGCTGCCAGCTCCTCCTCTGTTCCCTCCGGCTCCGCTACTGCCACCCGCTCTGGCTCTTCCTCTGCCACTTCTCCTCCCTTGCACACCGGTGCTGCCAACAAGGCCACCATCGGCTACTCCCTTGGTGCCGTTGCCATGGCCGCCATTGCCGTCGCTGTCTAAGCGGTGACTCTCATGGGAGGATGATCTCATCGTCCTAAATTACCCTTCTTTTTGACGATGGTGACGAAGACAAGCGCCATGACCACTTGGAACGATTAGGAAAGCAATGGGCTTGCTCTGTATATTTTATTTCTGTCCCACCAATTAATGTATCGGGCTCTGCCTGTATATACTGCGGCTGAATTGTTTTGATAGTCTAGTAATGGGATTATATTCTGAGAATTTGATGGTTTTGATTCCCTTGTTTTATATGGTAGCACTTCCCGGCTCGGAGGAATAATTGCGGAGAAGAAATTCCCTTTCACTCCCACAGTCTTCTTGCCAAGTCGAATGGTTTTGTCTAGCCCTTTTATATAATGTTAAAGAAAGATTCCTACCTCATAACAGCAGCCGGGCTAGCTCAATCGGTAGAGCGTGAGACTCTTAGTCATCACGGTATCTCAAGGTTGCGGGTTCGACCCCCGCGTTCGGCTACTCTTTTTTCTTTTTCTACGTGTCATTCCCGGTGGCTCGAGATTTTCCCAATCACCTTGACGAGCTACAGGGAATGGACGGGGTCTTTGAAGCTCATTCAGATGGATTGAGTGTATGGGAATACGTTTAAAATTACACACCTACTAGGTAACATGCGACCTCCATCAAATTCTCAATATTCGTTCTGAATGTACAATGTTATCCGGCCAGGAACAGAGACATAGATAGTCGCGGTATATATATTCAGGTACCTAACCCGATTGATGATATTTGCGCAAAAACCCCGAATTAGGAATGGCATGTCGCCTTGCATTATATAAGAGGCACCAAATGGAAGCGGAGAGCAGGAATGTTGCAATCAATTATTAGTTACGCCCCGATTTAATTGCGATGCCTAGGAATTCACCCTTCTACCGACCACTGAAATGTTAGCCTAAGATCATCTGTAACATGGAGCAAAACAATTCTTCTAATCCCTCGTCCTTTCCCGCCCGAAGCCGAGGGTTAACATGCCGACCAATTCTACGCTGGCGTCGTTCAGCAGCTCCGAATACGAACCTCTGCAATAATTGTGCCAACTTACCAATACGCGAAGCGCTCTTATATATCCATTCCGTGGACCTGAAATATCTCTATGGATTTTCTCACGTGGTCCAAATTAAACATGATTGCGTACTCTGCACGATGGCCATTGAAGCTCTCCAGGGCCAAACTAACCCTTTGTACACCAAAACGCCAGCCACAGTCGGCTTTTCTATTTCGAAGCACTCCCGGAACGTCATCCGGATCTATGATAAAAGTGATGGTCGAAGATCCACCGGCAAGATCCGAGTTCTAAAGAACGACACAAAGCTTCTAAAACCATGCAAGTCGGAGGAGCCTCCGGGTTTTGAAGAAGATTTCTTCGGTCGTAGGATTAACGACAGGCAGATCGATTTCAATCTCGTCCGTGCATGGCTTTACGACTGTGAAAACAACCTAGTCCACCACGGTGGAGCATCGATATCAAAGCCAATTGACCTGATCCTAATCGACGTCGTAGAGAAAAGACTCGTGGAGAAGAGCTCAACTGTCAGGTATCTTGCCTTGAGCTATGTCTGGGGTCAAGCCGGGGGGCTCCAGACAGTGAAGCAGAACTATGACTTATTGCGAAGAAAGGGCTCTCTCTCCCCAAACAGAAAAGATATACCCCGGGTCATTGCCGATGGCATGATTCTTAGTCGAAAGCTGCGCGAGCGCTATCTATGGGTTGACCGTCTCTGTATCATCCAGGATGGTACCGCTAAGCATGAGAATATCCAAGAGGCGGGCAAGGTCTATTCACATGCTCTCATGACCATTTGCGCACTCAGTGGGAAAGATGCAAACCATGGCTTACCAGGTGTTCGTCCTGGTTCTCGACCCCCACAGACGATCGAGCGAGTGCAGGGAGTCCGTTGTATGCCCGCACTCCCAAGCCTTCAATATGCGCTTGAATCTTCTCTTCACACAACTCGTGGGTGGACATTTCAAGAGGTTCTGCTCTCTCCTCGATGCCTTTTTGTATCTGATCGGCAGGTGTACTTTACTTGCTTTAGAGACACGGTTCGTTCCGAGGATGCCATTGCAGTACGTGACCTGTCTATCAGAAACGTATATGGTTTACTCGGTGGCGCTGGATTGTATGGTGGTCTCGTTGAACGCTATACAAAACGCAGTTTAAGTTATGACAGTGATGTTTTGAATGCATTTGCCGGTGTCATGACTATTTTGGGTCGTCAATATAGGATGGATGGCTGGGAAGAGCATGCTGCTGGTCTTCCTGTTCGGGACTTTCTCTATGCTCTTCTCTGGGCACCCTTGGGCACCCCTATCCGACGGACCCTTTTAACAAGGGGCCAGCCTCACGCAGACTTTCCAAGCTGGTCCTGGGTAGGCTGGAAAGGCCCCATATCCTATCAATCAGTTTCGCACTGGCGCGCTGATTTTACGAGCTGGGATCAAGTTCATTGGCGTGAGAGGGTCTTCACGCCAATCTCGATGAAGATTACACAACCGACCAGAACCCAGAGAAGCATATATTACCCCCAAGGATGTTCCCACGAGGACCCTTGTTTAGTTGCGATCTGGGAACGACAAATAGTCGACACTCAAAAAAAGCAGAAGGGCGATGTCAAGTGGGGCATGCTTGATTCATCATTCATATCGAGTCTCAGTGGACGGAGCATTCTTCAGTTTCGGACTCTTGCCATTTCAGCGAACTGTTTCTCCTATAGGAAGGATCGGTGTATTGAAAGGTGTGAAGATACTAATAGTTATCCCCTCTTTGACTGCCAGGATCAACTATGTGGAGCTACTATCGGTGCAGTGCCTTCCGGCATTGACAGCTTATATTCTAACTGCAAGTATGTATTCCTATGCTACGGTAAGGATCCGCTCTTCTCCTCGGCAGGGGTGAGAGTTAAAATTTACGATTTATTTTGCCATGGACCTCAGTGGTGCTGTGTTCCGTTCTTTCTGCTTATCCAGCCTTGTGGGGACTTTTGGGAGCGAGTCGCACTGGCAGTTATTGACCCAAAGGCGTTTGAGACACAACAACCTCAGTGGGAATATGTCCAATTGACGTAGTGGTATGGATCTGAACTATCAATAGTCAATTACCTACCTTTACCTGTATTATAATCTATTTTTATTCAAGACCAGGAACCGACAGTCTCCCTTTGTATCCCGCATCACCTCATCGTAGTTGCTATTCTTCTAGGACTTTCACCCTACTAACTAGAACGGTTACATGTGCATTCACCTTGCCAGGCCTAAGTACCTCTAAAGCTCGCTCTAATAGGTATAGCTACTCTGAATTCTTCCCGCGTTCACCGCAACTAACGCTAATAATCTCAGCCACCTTCTTTGGGTCGCGTTGACGGGGGCAAGGTAGAAATCGAGGATCTGATGGTCGTCCAATATAGACCATGCATTTAAATTGCGGGGAAATATCATCAAATTGAACGCCGTCAGCTATACTCAATGCAGAGGTGGAAGCTAGCTGAAAAAAGGTGAACTGAGGCATTATATCCTACTTCATGAATGTCAAGGTTGCGGTGTACTCCTTCGGCATACGGTACGCTACTCAGCTGCACTGGCTGCAGATTCCTGACATCAGATTGTCAGCAACAATCGCCATTATACATTATGTGTAGGACATACTATCGAAGCTTCTTTCAGGTGGCTAGCTAGTAGTTGCGGGCCAAGCGTGCTTCGGGGAATAACTGTACCGGATCATTCAAGTTTTTCCAAGCGTTCTTTTCGATGATGGTTGCTGCAAGCGCTGGGTCATCAAGGTTCCACGGCGTTTTTAACTAAGCCAGAGTGAATCGTGAGATTGAGTCACGAAGTGCTGGTCTAGAACTGTCCCTGACATCTCTACCAGCGGCGCTAGGTACTGATTGCGTAGTTGACGACGCTTGTCATGCATTGAGTATACGAATGAACAGGAATATTATCAGATCAAGTGGACTCGGTTGAGCAAAGGCCTCTGCCTACCTGCCAGAATCTCGGAACATAGCCGTTGATAGAGTCAAAGATCTTTTTGTCTATTCTATAGTTAATTCCTCTAGCTTTCAAACACGATACCCTAAAGGCGTAGTCTCACGTACTATAGAGCGGCTGTGGATTCCATATTAGGCTCCTTCGAACAAATTAGTATTGATTCCGTCTCAACTTCAAGTTGTAGGTTAAGGCGTCCGGGCTTCAGGGCACCTACCCACCTACCCGTAACAAAACACCCAACATTTGGCAAATGAATCCGTCGCATCTCGTCCCTTGACGAAAGAGTTGGCTCTTTAAGAGATACGATGTTCACGACGCGAAGCCTAACCCTGAGAATCAACCAAAAGCTCTGTACTAAGGGGCGTATAACCCTTCTTATGTGAAACTACTTTTCGGACATACCATCTATTTGATGCTCAACGCGCTTTGGCACATGCACCAACAATTTCGGCCTGATACAACTTCAAAGTGCAGGGAAATATCTCCTATATTAACCCAATCCTGAATACGATTGTGATATTTTTCTGTGAAATGGCAGCTTCGAGCATGCGCCAATAGTAGGATGATCTTGTGTGTGAGCTCTACAAACAAATAAACGCTCTGCTAGCAGGCTTCTTCTTGCCTAGGATGTCTGTCAAAACAATGATTCATAAGAGAACCTGGAACAGCCACAAAAGAAGGCAATTATTTCCACCATTTCATTCAAATGTTTGCTCAATTGTATTTACAATCCATCCCTAGAAAATGTTTATTAATTCCTGGGCCCCACAATTGGAGTTATCAACCCATCCTTCTACATCCAATTGGGATTCCTCCACTTCATTTTGATTCAATGTAAGATGCCCAACCCGTCAAAAGTGACCAATAATACTCGGCATAGGCGTTAGCATCAAACAGGATAGCACTTCACCATTGATACCCCTCATAATCCTTACAGGCAATGTAAACACATCGACCAGGGATAGGTCATTTTCATCATCGACACAGCAAGCCAAAAGTGCACCAGGTATCATGCCAAACACGTGCTTGGCAAGCTCATAAAATTCCGGCATTGGTTTTAAGTTGCCTGAGGCAAGTATACAGGCGTTCGATACTTGACCGGTGCTATCGTTCATGGTAGGATGTACTTCAACACCATGTATCTCCAGTAGGGGAGGCCCCCAACTGACATCTAGTCTTCCACAAGGAAAGTGAACTCTCCCCTCGACAGACGCCCAAGACCATGACGGCGCTAAATGATGTTGGAATGTGTGCGTACGGAGCCAAGAAGGTGCGAACCTACCTCGATACGCATCTACCCTAAACGAGGGTTTCTCATCCGCCTGCCGTCCCTTTTCTATGTAACAGAGGAGGTCAAAGTATAGGCTATGTTTCCATAGACCAGCAATGTAGTTATCGCCAAGAATTGCTTGCATTCTTGCGACAACTCCGGAAAGCGCAATCAGTTTTGTCGGAGCCCTTAGTCAAGCCGCTAACGGTGAATCGTTCAACCACTTTAGCCCACGGAGCGTATCTATTCTCCGGTACAGTGACTTCAGTCTTCCAGGACTTAGGGCAGAGTTTTGAGTCCTCATCCAGATCATCAGGCTCGAGGTTGATCACTTGTCCCAGTCCATGGGGAAACGCTTCACTTGCTTTGAGCTCCCGACACTCCCAGAATAGCTGAGGTTTGAAGGATAGCGTACGGGGGCGCAAGAGCCGCTCTTGGAGAACACATCCCCGCCTATTAAGTAACGTCTTGGTTACGCCCGAAAGCCAGATTCCAGTGTCAAGAAAATAATAAGATTGCCGATGCCCTTTCCATTTGATGTCGACCTTAAAAGGAGAAGTCAAAGAAGGATATCTATCAACGAATAACCTTCACTGCCCTCTGCTGCTCCAGTTGCTGCAATGTTGCAGTATGAATACTCATATACTTTTCCCATAGTAGCAGACTCCCGTAGCCAATCCGGCTCAGAATCTTGAAGTATGCAAAGCGCATCAATCCATACATACCGTACCTCTAGATATCTTGCGAGACATATTGTATCTCTGAAAGTAGCCGGTAAGTTCCCAAGGGGAATGCCTTTTTGATATTGAGTAATATTGTTAGACTTTAGTTTTATCGCCATTTTAGAGTCCCAACGATGGCTCAGAGCAATGTAATTGGACTCTTGTGCTCCAAGCTGATCTTCGGCAGTAAGAACGATGCGCGGGATGCAGCTTGTTCCGAGGCTACCAACGTCAATAAGTCGAGTAGGCAATCAATTGTCTTCGTCTCTGTGATTGCACATCTGATGGTTCTTGGTACAATTCTCCAGCTAGGAATTCATCAGCTTCCAAGCCGCATCGCATGATGTGCTGAGCGTGTTACTACGTTTACCATATACTAGATAATCCACTTCTGCATGGCGTTGTCATATATTATTAGACATGTTCTACGACAAGGGCAAACAGGATAAGACCATACCTTCAACTAAGACAAGTCTGATGCGGGATTGCGCCGGAGAAATGTATATATCGTCAAACCTGCGGGCTTTTTTGTCCCAGTGAAGGAGAGCCTTCACGCCGCGCTCCGTTAGCCATGGTCGGTCCTCGGTGACGGGTACAATGGCTTTATAAAGTGTCTCGCACATTTACACAACCATTGTTCGCGGACCACTGTATGTCCCTTATCGGCCGATCAGCATCTCTTATCACCCGTTCTGTCGTCCACTCTTGGTAAGGGCGATCGAACATGGCTGTACAAGTTGAACATAGGTTGTTGTTAACTGGGCTTTTGTTTTCCTCAGGTCCGCCAAGTTTGACTTGTCCAGAAGGCGTCTTATCCATACTGATTCAAGTGGACGAGTTAATATGGCAGCTTGGAAGATAGGAAATGGACGAATACCTTGTTCAAACGTTGGCTGGGATATGGAGGGGTAATAAGAGTACCGGAGTGGCATACATGTATAGAATGGAAGTTACCTAACGTAGTACATGAATCAGAGCTCTAATAGCCGGGCAACATTTCGATAGAAATACGATTGATGTTCTGAGATAATTGTTCTGTTGGAATACCGGCCCGCATATCTCCCGACTATTGCCACAATATTCCTCGATACTCAGATATGTAGTTGTCATTTGGTAAGAAGCTATCATATCTAACTTAGGGCTCACGTAATCCACACCTAGCCAGGGACTTTACCCTTGCTAGGCCAGTTACCACGTCACCAAGGTCTCTTTCAGGTCAGCTAGTTGGTCCATACGCGGTATTCTATTTGATGTTATCAATACTAACTTTTAACCCGATAAGTTTGGCACCAGTGCAATGAGACTGAACCTCAGAGCTTGGCAGCCTCGTTTCTTCTCTCTATTCAAGGATTCCCGTACGCCTAAATTAAGGCAGCCTCACTCAGAACGTCTTCTTCGGCTCCGATCAGATCTCGTTTAAGTGGGCCTTTCTTGCATCCATCAAGTTCCCAGAGGTTATGGTCGTCCGATTTCATAAAGCAAACTTGAGCCATGCAGTTTCCTCTTCGCCGGATCCGTTGTAGTCCTCCATGCCCTCATCTTCTTGAATACGAGAAGCTCCGTATGCTTCGTTGATCGGGAAGACAAGCAATACTCCATAACAAGGTGCGGGGATCATCGCGAGCAAATCAGGCTCGTCGATGCTGAAGACATCAGTAAAGGAAAGGGGCGTGGAAAGGCCTAGCCTCCAGGAGAGACTTGACATGAATTTCCGGATTATTCTCTAGGTAGGTCGATCAAAATAATTGTTTTCGCTAGAGTTCACGTACCAAGAGGGGTAAGGCTTTTCCTCTTGGTGCCGGGGGGAAGAGACAGGACGTTTGTTGAAAGGCTCGCCATGGTTAATGTCAAATCAGTTCTAATTAGGTAGTTGCTAGAAGTTCTAGAAAATTGGATATTCGGACAACGGAAGTGGGGGACTAGCCTATGTAACGTCGTCACAAAAGGCCCGAGCACCGAATACAGTGTGAAACAGTTTCTTTTAAGCTTGGAGGCGATTCTCTCTTAACTATCTTTGTCTTAGAAGGAAAGGTCGCGCGATTCGGAATGCTTACCTTCCATTCCTTCGTAACTTAGCGTCGCCCTAGCTGAGCAATAAGAGCCGCGGCCGAGTCATGGTTACTCCATATTAAGAGCGCCTAAATCAGGCAGCGATGCAAAGAGCTCGAATTAATATATCTCTTTTGTCCTAGGTTACCCCGCTTGCAGGCTGCTTTCATATTAAATATATGCTTTTATGCCTCAAATGTCCCAGTTCCTACGACTTTTTCCTTGAATATAAGTACAAGGGGAGTGAATTATTATAGATTCTGCGGTACTAGACTTTCTCTATGCATTGGCTTGCTGCTCTGCTGTGCACCTGGGCTGTCCCTAGTTGCATCGCCCAGCAAGCCCCGCTGGGTGACTACCATAGGTCGCCTCCCCTGAACGAGGCATTTGAGAACAAGGTCAACTGGGCCCTTGAGCGCTACAAAGTCCCTGGTATCGCGGTATCTGTGGTTCGCGGTGATGATATCTTCGTCAAGGTTAGGCCCTCAAGTGATGTCGATAGGAACTGCCTCTCACGCGGGAACCTAGGGCTACGGGGCCTCCGACATATCCGGAGACGTTTTTAAGCCCGTCACAGAGCGCACTCTGTTTGAAGGAGGCAGCACATCCAAAGCATTCACAGCGGCAGCAGTCTCCCTACTCGTAGATGACAACGAGAGCTTCCCTGACATTCAATGGGATACACCCGTGCATGATATCCTGCCAGAATTTGTCCTCGAGGACCCGTGGGCCACCGCACACGTCACGATCGAAGATATCCTATCCCATCGCTCCGGCTCGCCGCGTCACGACTGGATTTTCAATGCAAACATCACATCCCAAGAAGCCGTATCTAAACTTCGCTATGTGCCATTAACAGCCCCAATTCGCACAAAATGGCAATACAGTAACATGATGTTCGTAACAGCCGGGCTCCTAGTCGAAAAACGAACAGGCCAATCACTGAAAGAGTTCCTCCGCAGCCGAATCTGGGAACCCCTAAACATGACAGAGACCTATCTCTCCCCAGTTGACGCCCAAGCCGCAGGCGAAGACATAGCCCAAGGATACTACTGGAGCTCCGAAAGCCGCTTCAAAGATGCAGGTAACCCGTCGCTAGACAATCTCCGTGGGGCAGGAAACGTCCTTTCCTCCGCGACCGACTACGCAAAATGGCTGCGAGCTATGATCCATCGTCAGCCCCCACTCTCCCCCGCCGGACATGCCGCAGTCACAAGCGCCCATAGCATAGTCATCCCGGAAGTACTGGCCCCCTATTCGGCACCAACTCTGTACGGATTCGGATGGAACCTACAATCATACAAGGGACACGCCGTGGTCCAACACGGCGGTGCAATATGGGGCTTCGGAGCCCTGGCACTGTTCCTGCCCGACATACAGCTCGGAATTACCATCTTCGGGAATAACATGGTGCCGATGGGTGTCGTTTCGTTTCTCCTGGCTTATCATATTATCGATGAGATTCTGGAAATCCCGGAAGAGGATCGGTTCAATTGGAAAGAATTGTACGTGCCTTTTCTGCTTTACCCACGACTACACTTCTATGTCAGATCTCCACTAACAACAACCCCTAGAGCCGACGGTGCCCTAAACCTCACCATCATTCCACCCCCCGAAACCCTCTACCCAAAAATCCCCGACACACCCCTCCCGCCTCCTCTTCCCCTCTCTAACCTAACAGGAATATACACCCACCCAGCCTACCCAACCCTCAACCTGACTACAGACTGCACCCACAAACCGATCCTTCCACCCCTAACCAACAGCACAGAGACCCTTAGGCTATGTTCCTCTGTGGTTGACGGCGTAGATCTACCACCGTCGTTCTTGAATGAGCTTGTACACGTCTCGGGCGACCACTGGGTCTTCGGATTTAGTGTCAGCGAGATGACGTTGTCTATGAGGGCTGAGTTTCGGGTTGGTGCAGATGGATTAGTTGGGAAGCTGGGGATCGAGGCGGACGATATGATGGCGGGTTTGAAGGAGAAGATTTGGTGGGTGAAGAGTCAGTAGTCTTCTATTGGCTTAGAGCGGGTTAGGTGAGTTATGCGTTGGTGTGGTGTGGGTGTATGTATGTACATATTGGTAGGACCGTTGATTCGTGTATGTTTGGGTGGGATGAGACCTATGTACATTTGCTTTTTGCTTTGCGGTGAGGAGCATGTTGTTTCGTAGCTGGAGTTGAGAAATATACCTAGGTTTACGCAAAGTGGGAGAAGAATCTTTTTGAGGAGTCGACTTGTGTCCTGGAGTATTATTCGACAATAACCGTACTGATTCGGTATCTTCTACCTTCCGGGAGGTGGTAGTTGATCTTCAGTTCCTCGACTAGTGTTTTGACGTTACTTTTAGAGCGTTAGTAGAATAATATCGAAAATGTATCCATCGGATCTTACAAGCCAAGCACGGATGGTGATTCGCTGCCCTGAGTCTGTATCAGCACATAACCTTACGCTAAGAAAGAGTACGGTGCATCACATCATGGATATCGGCCAAACAGCAGAATCAGCACATGCGTCATTGCTGCAACCATTCTTGTCACTGCCGCTCGCGTCCAAGGGAGTGCAGTCCTCTCTTGCTTTGACAGCACGCTACCGGAAAGCCACCACCATCCACAGTGTAATCACCCGAGCATACACACGGAGCTTCCATGTGCGGCCTAACCCCCGGTTCTCTCTGGCAGAGATAATGAGAATGATGAATACTCAATAACTGAGAGCCTTTAAAGCTATTGATCCCCTGTGAAGAACGCCAATTGACATTGAAAATGGTCGGGAGAAAGCCATAAACAAAGTCACGGCACTAGACGCAACCCAGGGGATCTTTGTCTACTTAGATGACATGACCACTTCAGCGCTGCAGCGGTAGCCCTGGTCCAGCATGAACAAACCTCAGCATCAGGCCAAATCAGTATTGGGCCAATGGATATCTTGACCCTACACACGGCAGAACTTATCGGCGTATTTTACGCAACCAGCCTCAAATACCACATCGAATGTCGAAATTGACGGCAAGCAGGGCATACCAGAATGCCACAGTTCTCTGAGAAGCGTGCCCGCCGACTCTGCGGCCCACCCCGGCAGTGCCAGGATTACCTTCTTATACAATTGAGGTCTGGCTATTCGTGGCTAACGTCACGGTTTCGAGAAGATGTCAAGCGCGTATGTGGGGGGAAAGAAACTGCAGTTCATGTTCTGTTGGGCTGCCCGAAATTGACATCTCTGCTGCAAGGTCTACGGAGAAAGGTTGAGATGCATTCAACAATGCTGCATGTATGTTAGGAGGATAGGAAGAAGGTAAGGATGGCAAACCGAGAACCCACGCAGGAGGACGCTACTGCTGCGGTCCTGCGTTTTTGCGGAAGCAATAAAGAACAAATGTAAAAGAAAATGGCAATTAAGAATATTGAAGTTTTGGCCGTGGTAGGTTAAACCCGTTGTGTTGTGTATTTGGCTGAGCTAAAGGGCCCCATCCGGTGTTTCAGCATCCCACTCACCAGTCAAGGCACGGTCACCGTCGACAAAGCTCCTGGGCGTGAGCCCAGGATCCATAATATACATAGATGGCCTGCCAGCGATTCTCGCTCTTGCGCCTTCTATAGTTTTGTTGAACTATCTTTTTTATCTAAATGCTGCCTTGCACATCATGAGATATTCTATTTCCTAACCTGGCAAGGACTGGGATTAACCTCTGTTGAGACGGAGCTCCAGTGCGAAATTTCGCCTTGTTGATAACCCTATGGATGTTTCAATATGCTATTTCTACCTATGTTAGGAACATTAGCTCGGATTGATATTGGCTTCTAGAAGGTAGAGACTTACATTGTCCGTTTTCAGGTTCTAGGCCTAGACGATTTTGTCTTTCTCGATTCTGCACTGGACCATGGATGCGGAAGTTGGCCGAAGAACAGCCTCTGAGGAGCCATAATATCTGCAACTAACAGCTAATACACTAGCTGTGGTATGCAGACATCACATGGAGGCATAGCACTTTAAGCTTTTTCTCAATCCCGTGTGTGTACATTTTGCTACTAGTATAAAAACCGTCCAGCGATTCGGAACAGACTGTTATCGGCGGGTGCAATCGGGTTGCTGTACCTATATTCCATAAGTGCCGAGCCAAATACCGACAGAAGGGGTTGACTCTGTACACTGGGATAATCTTCTCATAAAAGATTGAATGATTGGATAAAGTATACCCGGGAGAGATTTCTGGGTTCAAGATTGAAACTGTAGAATATGTAACAGTGACGAAACAAACTAATGTGACTTGCCCTTATTGTGAAATATTATGACCACGATATATTTCTCCACGTGATGAAGGAACAGGCACCTCTAGTCTTGGAGGGTTCAAAGAGAACTGCAGAAACAAACAAAATCCAGAGAATTTTTAAATAAGAATAATCGTCGAAAAGAACAGCGATCGCATCGAATCAAATTACAACACGATAGTATTACATGCTGCGAAGTGCTGTAGAATGTCATGTGCGGGGGGAAAGTCCTTACCGTTCTGGGTAGGTGTTCACATGACAAGATCCGAGAGCCCTAAATCCCTGAATTGCCTAAACGACCTTTTCCACATTACATAGATTCGCTGCATGTATCACCTCATAGTTATTACCATTCCAGTTTAGCCTGAGCAGATGTTGTGCGACTGTGAATGAGAAACATTCCACCAGTTTCTCCTGGGTAAGGAATACAACATGTTTTCCCCCATAATCATGATGGATTCAAAGAACGCCTCCATGGAGGGACTATAACTTATTGGAAAGACGATCTACAAGAACAATGAAGAGGACGCTGTGGCGTCTTCGGTGCTAATGAATCATGATTCATGACTCGGATCTCGTCAGCCACAATTAGTGCGGAGCTGGTGGGGATACTAGTACACAGTAGGTAGTCTTGAAGATCCGGTCGAGAACACACCAAATCGCCATACCAACTAAGCAGTATGTACACTGTCCAATGAGTAAATTGATGGATGCCTGTTATCTGGACCTTTCCAAACATTTCTCTTATGTGAGAGTTTTTCGGCTCTTATTCCGAATATATGGTTATGACTGCCTAGTAGGGAATGCTCAGAAGTCAGCATCATTGCTGCAGGCCGGATCAACATGACACAGACGCCTTTACCATACCATACTGGAGATCATGACATAAGTGGTGGAGACCCCAAGGGTTTTGAATGCCGTAATGCGTAATCTATCGTATAACCGGAGCACCGGCGTTTCTGCTCCGAGGCCTGGGAGCTAAGCCCCTGACATCGTCTTCCACCAATCGCCGTCCAGATCGACATGGCAGAGTGAGGCGTCAATTCTCCACTCTCTTGCCCTAGTTTTCTTCCTTCGGTGTCTTTTTGGAATGAAAATGAATTCCTTTTTATCTGAGCTTTACCCTACAGGGAGAGTGATGTATGACAACAATGAACGCCTCCTTACATAGTCAAGTCAGAAAAAGCAAAAAAAAAGGAACTAATCCTTTGTGGGACCAGACTCCCAAAGTTGAGTTCCCCCCGATCGATTTCTAAAGATGGTACCGTGCCAGGGCAGGATCCCGCAAGAAGGATGGAAAGCTACTCTGGGAAAACGAGAAGAAAACAGGAGATAGAAGACTTCTCGGAGATAAGGCCAAAAGATGATGACAGAATACCCGACCGTCCAGCATTCTCCGATCAGATTACGATAGGGCCGACCAATTCAATTATCCCTAGGTATTAACAGCAGACGTGGCGTAGGGTGTCCGCTCCCAACCAAACGTCTCTCATTCCAACCATGAATTTATTTTTAACGGCGTCCTGGACCATGGATCCAAATGGGTTCCGCATTACGATGATCATTCCGTCTTGGCAAGCATCATTAGTTGCGAAGCACTTCCCGCCAAGGGCTCTTAAAACTGAGGCAAATCTCCGGAGTATCCCCTGAAGCTTGTCCTGTTCCTTCTCCCTTTTCCTTTTCCTTCCTATTCTTTTTATATTTCTGCAATAATTTGCAATTACTGCCCAGGGATTCTGACCTAGTCCCCTGCCCCCGTGACCACCGATCTCTGGTTCTGAATTTATGCGTGAGTTGCTCTCCACTCCACTCCACTCCACTCTTCTTATCTGCTTTCCCGTTCTGGATAAAAGCTTCTTGCCAGCTTCAAAGCAGTGAATTTGCTCCCTTAACCCCTCCCAACCGGGTCAATACCTCGTTTGCGGTGCTTAACTGACGGTTTGATGCGACCTCTAGACCGGATTCACTCGTGGGCGAAAGCTCACGCGTCCTCTCGTGGTTCTGCTCCTGAGACCCAGACTCCTTCTAACACCCTTCGTCCTCCATCCACTTCCGGAGTGACTGCACCCACCGAACAACATGGAAAAGTGAATGAATCTGCCGGGACCCCGGCAAGCTCGGGGTCGAATCCTGAAAAATCCGATGGGGAACAAGAGTCCCCTCCTAACCGAGGCCTTCTCGTCCGTATGAAGGATGGCAGCATCCGGTTCTGCAGTCATACGAAGAATGCCCTGTGCCACAGCTGGGTCAATGTGCTGCTCGTATTCGTGCCGGTTGGCATCACCGTCCAGGCTGTCGGGTTAAGCCCGGCGGTGATTTTTGCCATGAATGCAATCGCCATCATTCCTCTGGCCGGTATATTGAGCCATGCGACCGAATGTGTCGCCAGTCGACTGGGAGATACCGTCGGTGCTCTCATTAACGTCACTTTCGGAAACGCAGTAGAATTGATCATCTTGTAAGTTTGCCCTTTCCCTGTTTCCCTTCCATCCATAGCCAGTGTGCTAACTTGCGAGCAGCATGTGAGTTTTGTCTTGGTCAAGCTTCGCTAATGATAAACTAATCAAGTCTTGTTCGACAACTAGTATTGCTCTCGTCAAGGTATGTGTCTTAGTTCTGCTCTGTCTAGGAATAATGGCTAACATGTGTAGAATGAAATCCGCGTCGTACAGGCTTCCCTGCTGGGCTCCATTCTAGCAAATCTACTGCTTATCATGGGAATGGCCTTCCTCCTGGGAGGTCTCCGCTTTCAGGAACAAGTAAGTCCGCTCTGCCAGTTGGTGCTGAACAAATACCCGGTGTTAACTGTTCACCTAGATCTACAATAGTACTGTTACTCAGATGAGTGCATGTCTGCTTAGCTTGAGTGTCATGAGTCTGCTTTTGCCGGTTAGTACTCTACCTACGATTTCCCTACACTTTAGCTTGCTGACCTCTCCACGGACCGCGTTCCATGCCTCGTGGTCGGACAAGGCAGTAGCTGATCGATACACCCTGAAAGTCAGTCGCGGCACCAGTGTGGTAAGCGGCGAATCATCTCAGCGCCCCATGACGATTTGATTAACTTATGTATAGGTTTTGCTTCTAGTCTACGTCCTGTACATTATCTTCCAACTGAAGTCCCACTCCTACCTCTACGCCAGTATCCCACAACAGATCATCGACGAAGAATCTCACCCGGGTGTGCTGGCCGATTTTATGAACCATTCATCGGATTCTTCGACCAGTTCGTCCGACGAATCGGACGATACCACAACTTCATGGACCACCGCTAAGCGGATCAAGAGGGCTATGAAATACCGCAGACATCGGAAATCGAGTACGAGCTCCAAGGGCACTGCCTCCACCCCATCGTTCCGCAAGCAGGCTCTGGCGGAAATGCCATCCACGGGAAGCAGTGAGGCGCCTGGTTCCGTTCGCCGTTCGACCTCGAACCCCACAGATGATCCATCATCCTGTTCCATTGTTATCGACGATGACACCCGCTACGAGGCAGATAATGACGCAAACCCTTTCGAACCTCAATTCCGAGACTTCGGCCAGGAGACAAGTGCGGTCAAGCTCTCCAAGAAAGAACTCAAAGCCAAACGGCGCGAGATGCGGAAGCAACAAAAGCTGGCGGAGAAGGAAAATGAGAAGAACGTGGCGGAGAGTGTCACCAAGACACGACCACTGAAAGCCCGCCCGTCGGAACCCCCCCTCGAGTTGAACCCAACGGACAAGGACCTCGAGGATCCAAATCTGCCTAAGGGACGCTCCCTTTTCCGCCCTGCCATCCCATCGCTGCTGTCGAATACTGTCTTCTCAAGTTCCCAAACCCCTTATAATGTTCGAAGTGATCCGTCCGGAAACTTGCATGGCCTTCGACGCACTAACTCTCTGCCTACACAAATGAATCGCCCTCCACCCGTTGGAAATGCGGTTCAATTCGCCCGAGGCGCAGCCCGCATGCCCACGGCCGTTAACCCCCAGACCTTACAACCACCGCCGGAAAGTCAGGAGCCGGAAATGTCGCGTACAACCGCCGTGATCATGTTGCTTCTCTCTACAGGTCTCGTCGCCGTCTGTGCAGAGTTCCTCGTGGATGCAATTCCTCAGATGATCAAAAGCTCGTCAGTCAGCGAGGCCTTTATCGGTCTGATCATTCTCCCCATAGTAGGCAACGCCGCGGAGCACGTCACCGCGGTCAGTGTCGCCACTAAGAACAAGATGGATCTATCAATCGGTGTATCAGTTGGTAGTAGTATCCAAATTGGTGAGTGGCCGTTGATATTCAAGCATAACATAGCATATTGTCTCTAACGACCGACAGCCATTTTCGTCACCCCTCTGGTCGTCATTATCGGCTGGTGTATGGACAAAGACATGTCCTTGTACTTTACTCTCTTCGAGACCATCTGTCTCTTCGTCACGGCTTTTGTGGTGAACTTCCTGGTGCTGGATGGTCGCAGCAACTACCTTGAAGGCGCCCTCTTGATCGCCGCTTATGTGATTATCGGGTATGTGAACCCTTACCTACTACATCCTATATTTCAAGGCTAATCTCTATGTCAGTGTTGCTGCATTTTTCTATCCACCCGCCAGTGAATCCAGTGACGTTGCTAGTGCTGGGCATTAGTTACGCAGCACATTCCGACATAGTTGACGCTAGAATGGATACTGTCGGAATTCCCTTTCCTGTTTTCCACAACGCATACGAAGTTTAATGTAATCCTTGGATAACTTTCTTGTACCATGACAGGGAAAACGGGGTTGGTTGATATGGGACAGAGGTGGACTGGGCGGCGTTGGTACTACCGCCAGAATGAATTTTGCTTCTCTGAACAACAGATAGTTGGACGGCGATTTCTACTTCTCTATCACATATTTTCGATTTCCTATCACATACTCTGTACGCTTCAGTTTGCCATTTTTAGTCAGGGTGCATATTTCTATCAGAATATCTAGTTGTCTGGGACGCTGAAACAAGTTGCACCATACTATCTGTGTGTTGTAAATTCCATACGCTGGTCCTGTTATTGTTGCAAGCGAAATAATGGCATCGCGCGTGAATAAATATTACCCTCTTTATAGATGAGCTTGTTCTACCTAGCTAATTATATCAACTTCTGCGTCTCGCCAACATTGCCCCAGAGACATACAATCAATCCTCCTGATGAATATCAACCTGCACACCAGGCGGAAATACCACTTCCTTCAGATCCTGCACGGAGACATTTTCCGATCCCACAAACCTACCCAACCAGTGTCAGCATGACCCTGCCATATGTAGCAAGTATTCAAGACCATACGAAGTAGTATGTAAGGGAGGCAAGCTCTTCGTCGAGATGAACAACGTCTGCTCTGTGGCTCCCTTTTCAGCGAATTTATCCTTGGTCCTGTATCCATGCATTAGCAATACATATACAATGTCGCGTAGAACCTTGGAGAGTGAGCCAGACGTACATTTGCTCTATGGTGCTTCCATATTGCTGGTATGCTTCGAGGGAGTCGTAGCGGATTAGGATTGTCTATAGTTTGTTAGGATTATTATGTTTTCAATACATGGTAGGAACTAGAACTGACGAATCGGCGCATCTTTTTGTCAATATTTTTGTCGTGAAGACACGATTGAGACTGTAGTTGTGGGGTGTGGGGAAATGATTGTTGTTCATTTGAGTCCTTGATATGTCTTGATATGTTGCTGTGGTGATGACATCATGTGCTATTTTAGGAGCCACACGAGGAAAACGCATATACTATGTATGATGTAGAGGTCCCTGGACAAGGATTTCCCAGCCTACAACTAAGATAAGCCCGCTCGTTATATATACTACGTCATTTGGTGACGGTGGACTCAAAATCAGGACCGTATCACTGGACAAATAGACCTGTCATTTCGTACTGTCGCTGCAGCATGAGGTACGGACAACATGCAAGACACAACACCAATAATAAAGACAGACGGATAAGAACACATGGAGAAAGGAGTCCGTCCTTACTCCGATCGCACAGAAGTCCTCGGTTCAGACACCCCAAGAGCAACCTTTCCAATCGCCTTCCCGGACTCCAGAATCCGGTGCGCCTCCTTAACCCCTTCAAGGTCCAATTTCAGCCGTTTTGTCAAATGGCACTTAATCTTGCCTGCATCGATAAGCACCGAAAGCTCCTCCATCATGTCCCCCTGATTGGTCTCAACCCCATGGTACAGCCTCGACCCGAGCCAACACCAAACGAACGTCAAGGATTTGGACATAAACTGAGTCCCGTACATACTCATGTCGGCCGACTGAACAATCGAACACACCTTCCCCAGCGGCGCGATGATATCCGAACAAACACCGAGATAGCGCGCCGTGGAATGCGTAATATAAACATACCTATCCCGAGTCAGCCCACATTAATCCCAAAACATTGCATAAACCCACCTCATCGGCACATTAAGTCCCAACCCCTCGATCTGCTCCTTCAAATCCCCCCGGTGATTCACAACATGCGTCGCACCCATCTTCTTCGTAAACTCGATCGTCTCAGGCCTGGACGCCGTAGTAATCACAACAGGTAACCCGAGCACCCACCGCGCAATCTGCGATGCCATCGCCCCGACTCCCCCCGCACCGTTAATAATCAGTATGCCTGCGCTTTCACCTTCTTGATCTCCAGCCTTTCCACGAGGGACTCGTACGCAGTCCCATATGTCAGCGGCATGGCGGCCGCCTCGACGAAATCCAGCGACTTAGGCTTATGTCCGACCGTGTCCTCCAACACGATCTGATACTCGCTGTAGGTGCCTTGCTTTATCGGTGATGAGACGTAGAAGACTTCGTCACCGGGTCGGAATCGGGTGCATTCTGGGCCAACCGCTTGAACTGTTCCGGCGCCGTCGTAGCCCATTATATGGAATGGGCGGGGGACGAAGTTATAGTAGTCTGTATGCCTTGAGCTCGGCTTATGCTTTCTCATACAGCGGAGTCACTTGTACCTGGAGCGTCATCGTATGTTCCATTCCGGACTTTGAGGTCGATTGGGTTGACGGCGGCTGCTTCGACTCTAGGAATGAATGTTGTGAGCGGCATGGTACCTATGATGTAGAGAATGTATAGAAAAGTCCTACTTGATAAGAAGTTCTTTCCCTTGGGGGTTATCCGGTTTTGGAACCTTCCGACATATCAGGTTTTCTGTGGGCCCGTACTGTTCGACCCCGACGGCGTTCATGGTTGAAGGGCCCTGAAGTGATGATTCTACCAAAACGGAATTGCTGCTTTGCGTAGGATTGAAATGTTTTGGGATAGGGAACTCGTTAAGAGTAATGTCGAAGAGCGGCTTGCTGAATGATGTTATTATGATGTTACCCGAACCAAGCCCTAAGGCGTCGTACAACAAAGGTTCAGAATGACAACGACCTTCAGCACAATTAGTTTGATTCATGGTTTGGTATGTGTAGAAGTATTTATCTATTTGATATCGAGGTATGAGATGCCGACCGCATTCGTATCCGTTCGTCAAATCCATTCATGCCTGCCCCCAATCACGGCAACAAACGGTGGGAGCATCAACTGTTAAAACACTTTCGGATAGGGTTTTCGAGACCACTGTTGGCGTGACGCTTCTGCCTTCAAAAAAAAAAAGAGCCATGATTCAAACTCAGGTCTACCCAGGATGAAATGGCGCGTATTCATATATTTCCAGACACAGCCATGAATCAAACATATTGCACTGTATGAGCGTATGAGCCAATAGGGAACACAAAATCGAACAGAGTTGGTGGAATACTATCTCTGTACTACCAAAATCACGGCTTACTTGATATCCTCCGACACTATGTTTTCAAATTCGGCTGAAACATTTCGAAAGCTAATTAGGTCCAGGGAGTGGGCATTCATGCTCCAGGAGTGCGGCAGTACACCGTGGAACCAACCCATGGCGGCGTCATAGCTAATGCTGTACGTTCCAAGTCATCCTCAGCTGTGATGTCGGCTCCGTGCTGAAGGAGGAGATGGATCCACCCCCCCTCTCCTGCCAAATGTCCAAAGTCGAACCAAAGCGATGAGGATCACCTGCAGCTAACAAAGCTGTTCTTCCATTCCCATCACGGAGTTCCAGATCCGTAGCTGCATAGTCGAGCAGAAGTTGCACATTCACGTGCCCTCTGTTGTATGCTGCCCAACGGAGTGGTGTCATCCAACCACGCTCAGGTCCCATATTTCACCAAAAGACCATGTTCAAGTAGCATTTGGAGTATGCTTGTGTTGCGAGTTTTGCGTGCCGCAGATGATAGTGGTGTTCCCCAATACTCATGAACGATTTTTACCTCGGCCCCATTTGCGAGCAGCATTTGGACCATATCTAGGATGCGCGTCGATGGAATCGACTAGTGCTCCGTTGGTAAAGGAAACATGAGAAAGCACACCCTTGCGATGGGTTAGCCATGTTCAGCTGACGTGGCGGGGTTCCTCACCATCCCAATTCCTGTACATTCAAGAGGAAAGTGTACCCTCCACGTCTATAAGTCATGTTTAACGAGTGACATTGATTGTAGATTTTGTCTTTATAAATACAGCCCATATGTACAACTAGCAGTACTTCCTCCCCCAGGAGAATATATCCCACTCCTGACCCCGAATAATTATAATAATCAGCACACAGCCATATTATTTCCCAGTAATTCTCTTTTGTTCTTGTCCCAAAGACGCACGATATGACTCAATATCCCTTAAAATCCGCTCACAATTAAGCCAGATGCGCCGCCGGTTCTTCAGTGCCAAATACTCCCGCATGGAAACATCAGCGTATCCCTCGATCGCAGAAGCATCCTTCAACACGCCAAAGAGATGGTTGAATTGAGCTCTGCCCTGTGACTGAGGAGGGAGCTGCGATAAAACCGTTTCCGCACACCAAGGCACATCGAAGAATAGCCGAGACTCCCAGAAACTGCGTGGCAGGTTCCCCGCGCATTCTCTGAGATCAGGGCTAGCCAGGAATAGGTTCAGTACGGACTCAGTGGGAAGACTCTCTAGTATGTGGTACTGTAGTTCGCGGGGAATCGATGAGAGAGGGTTATTCTGAGTTGTGTTTGTCGAGTACAAATGTGCATTAATTGTATCGGTGTGGAAGGCAAATGAATAACCATTGTCGGACTCGGTTGATGCCTCGGTGATCAATGGCTTTAGATCGAATGGCCCACTGGGGTCCATCACGGTCCACTTTGTATTGTGTTAGCCTTGTGTCGGTGAAATGAATGGATAGCGGCCTGCTTGACAGACCTCAGAATACTCCGAAGGAACCCAATCACCGGCATCGAACCGTTGCTTCCTACCAAAGGTATCACCGTAGCCCCAGTCGTAAGAGTCACTGTTACGGTCCTTCAGGCCTGATTCCATGACTGAGACGAAGTCGCGCAAATCAAGCGGCCGTGCTGCTGACACCGTATGTTGATGGACAAGCTTCAAAATTTTTAGACAGGTGTCGTGAACCAAGAACCCATCCTTATTGCATGTTAAGATGTTCCCGCCAGGGTCTCTAGGGTTTTCTATGCATGGATAGAAGAAGCGACCAGACTGTGGTTTAAGATGCTCTCCCTATGTTTAAGGACGTATTAGCTCTACAATGGCGCCGTTGATCAGGATGTAAAATAAAGACATACAAGAGGAGTCACCATAGGCAAGTCCGCGGAATCTTTGTCGGTGAAAAGATTAGCGTCTGGGATGTTGCGACATACCAAACGGACATCACCAAGCCACTTATTCGCCGAAGGTTAGTGACGGTCTTTAAGTACGATAGGAACAATGATACAGCACCTTAATATTCTTCAGAGAAATATTCCTCGCATCATAGCCCAACATCGAGGGGCAAAAGGGCGAATGTCCACTCTGGTCCTTATAGTTAGTTTGTTCTGTACGACGAAATTCCAATCTCGAAAGCGCACTCTTTCATTTCCCTGACATTCACAATGACCTTCATATGCCTCGTAGTTCTCAAATTGTTCCTCTTCATCAAGATGCTGCAGAGATGCGCGTGTGATGAGCTTCCTGAATGCCGGAGGACCTCCGCAAATGTTACAAAAGAAAGCACTCTCATCCATAACCGAAGACAGTGACCGGGTGTAGCGGGATCGAAATTTTTTGGACCTTTTTTTGCTATATGGATATCAGTACAAACCAGTATCGGCGTTGATGTTGGAGTCACAAAAGCTGTTGTTGCTGTAGAGTTAAGAGCATATGGCGGGAGAGAGGTGATAGTATAGCTACCAGAAGCTTTGACACCAGACGTCATTAGCTAAGATACAGTCCCACTTAAGCGCCAGAGGATTAGCCACTAACATACTTAAAATAGATTAGTATGCGAGGTCCTAGAATTAGGCCTATCGCGGACCCGCGTACGCTCTACAGCCTATACTTAAAGCACCGATCATGATTCGATCAAGAAATCAGGCCTCTTTTTCCAAGACTGCGAGAATCCAGAGTCAGCGGCAGATCTCTACGGGAACCGAATTCCGCTAATTCCGATAGCTATAAGCCCGCAACGAAGCCAACAAATCCAACTGACTTGGCCAGAGTTGAAATATGCATAGTTGGACTAGGAAAGTGCTCTCGTGTCGCAGAGTTCACCGGTAGCCTTGCAAAGTCAATTGTATTGAATAATTAAGACCTGTCTATCTGTGGTGATACTGGGGTATCGTTCTGTACAAGGTGTTATGCATTCAGTGACATAGGGTGTGGTCCGGAGTTGTTCGCCTGACTCGTAGAAGTCGGGCTCAGAAATGGCGGGCAAGGGACATTCGTACTCAAGCCATCTCGACCTTATAATAGGACATCTTCCAACTTGCAAATCAACTCTTAGAGTTATGCACACTTTAAACGAAGCATTCCGAGTCATAGTAGAGTATCGAGGGCCCTTTCCACGTTAGGGAGCAGTGAGGGCCAAATTTCCGGTCCACAGGAGCAGAGAGTGCAACAAAGCGTAGTTGTATCAGTTACGGAAGTGGATTATTCCAACCGATCAGATTCAAGCGAGCAGTCTACCGTGGTGGCTGGGACCCCGATCATGCCTCTCGGTTATTAGTGCATTAGCTCGGCTGAGATAAATTGGGGTTTGCCAGCGGCTCGCATATCTTCGCTGGTTTGATTTGCCTACGATGGTTAAATATACTGACTGGATCAAATTTACGACGTTAGCGTTTCATGGAGTGTGGGATGGTGCTGTACTATGAACTTGTGCTTGGTGCCACCCTAGGGACGGGATGTAGATATATGTAGAAGATATGGTAATAAAACTGTATCCAACAATTAGAAAACGATAGATTCGATAATCTTTAAGGGTTGATTTTCTACTATCAAGGCTTCCATTCATTTGAAGACTCTGTCTTTTTGAGTACGATTGATATAGATCAAGAATGACCGGCCATCCCCGAATTATACGCCAGTTACTTTTCCCTTCTGAATTCAGCATTTGAATATGCCTGAAGGCCTGCCATGAATAAACTAATATCCAAGGGCCCATCTGACGGTACATGGCTATTCTTCTAGTTAGTATCGCTTGTTATGAAGGGGCGATTACTCACAAGATCTCAGGCTGTTGTAGCTGCCACGGGGGGTATCCGTGCAGAACTGCCTCAGGACCACAAAGGAAAAGGAGGTCTGGACTGACACAAACATGCCTGGTTAGGTAAGTTGCAATTTTCTCACGAGTGACACCTTTGCCTTGGTGCACTCTGTCTTTTTCCAGTTGCATTATCATCTCGGCCAGCGCCTCCCGACCGTCACTGCGTTGGAGAACACGCAGGTGCAGTTTACTATCCTCCGGCTCTGGGTGTTCTGCACACATCGAAGTCTTAGTTGCAATGGTTGGTGCTAACGTGTGACAATGGATTCTCCAAAGCCTATCAAACGCCTTGTTGTTTCTTGGGATGTCGCGCAATAATTCTCATAGTATATGTAAACCCTCAGAATACTAGATATGTCCGAGGAAAAAAAGCATACCTGATTCTTCGTATATGCTTAGGTCCGTAATCCCAGCTAAGCAACACCACAGACATAATCTTGCAGCATTTTGGACCAGCAAATCCAGCTTTGGCTGAGAAACATCTCTTCTATCCGCAGTAGATGGCAGTATAGCACTAAGATGCTTGGGCACCTTTTATTGCGCATATTTTCTGACCTCGTACTGTAGCCCCAGTCTGACACCAAACAATGCTTCCATCGACAAATCGTACAGAACAATGTCGGACGAATATCATGAAGCCAGAATAAAGCCTTCAAAATAGAGAACAATAAAAGACATGCTCCCGAGGAAAGGGCTTTTCGAAACCAATTTGGGGTGACTGCCATTCTCGGGCTATTTGTCAAAATTAGAAGAGAAGAAAAAAGCTATCGTCGTTTTAAGACGGCAAGGGAACATTTGGATATCAGCGAAATGCATCGACAGCGAACGGAATCGTATAGGACATCTTAGAAGCAAGGGATAACGATAAATCAACTCTGTGCTGCAGACAGTATCATTCCGGTAGACCCCCTTTCCTTGGCAGACATGTTAATGATATGATGACTCTATTTTCAACGAGCTAAACAGTGAAAGTAGGCATGTGGAGAAGATTATAATATTGCACGGGCTATTTTCCTTGCAGCCATAGTAGTATTCATACCCTTCCAGCGTGCCTTACCTTAGCCGTTATGCTGGGTGGGTCGTACTCCAGGAGTCGACATCTTATCTACTGAGCCTGAATATACTAAACGCTAGTAAAATTAATAAAATAAAATAGACAGACTAATATAGGAAAACAAAGGAAGCGAATGGACGTCGTTCACCAAATTACTAATAGTGTCCTGGTAGGCCCTGTTTATTGGTAAATTAACGCCTTGCCCTGCGCTTTCTCTAGATATTGTAGTACTGTACGCTGTGCTATATTCTAACTCGATATGCTCATCATAACGATATAGTCTAGGTCAACTACAAACAAATTTATATAGCAATCCCTTAGTTTCCGTCCTATCATCATTTGTTTTCTTGCTGTAACCATACTTTGATTATAAAAGCGCGTGTAGTGATGAGGCAGAGACGGGCAAGCCCGATCAATGTCTCTCCAGAGCAATAGTGCTTGGTAATCAGGGGGTGCTATACTTACGTATTTTCTATCCCAATAACCCAATTAGGTTTCACATATATCTGCATGAGAAACATCATTACATTAGCCAAGGCATAGAGAGGTTTAGTCTGCGAGGTTGGTTAGGTTGGCGTTCAATCCAATACTCCCAAGATGCTGTCCAGTCTCGTGAGAAAGTTGCACCGTGAAACAGATGGGTCTCTTCACGTATCAATTTAAACGATGAGATCTTGCCTTTGGAAGATATTGGAATACTTTGGGGATCGACGTTCAAGGCCCCGTTCAAATGAGACAACTCATCGAGCACCTTACACAGTATACATGATCGGAACTGACAGATGCGCAAATTCTTCTGAAGGATCTTCTTGAAGAAAAGTGCAAAACCTATGTAGCTTCAAAGTAAGAAAAGTTATACACTAGGGAGGAGAGTGAAAGAGGATTAGATTACATAACTTACTGGGATTATTTTTCTCCTAACGGTCAGGGAGGGCAGTAGTGCCTTTGCTATAATCTTCCTGAGTGAAGATCGTGTCCTCAAAGTTCTTTAGTTGCTACATGTAGTACTCCGGTGGGTATTCATTATCTACAAAAAGCATGGCCGCATCGGCAGGGTCCTGCTGTTGATCTTCCCCATCCCTAAGCTCGGTTACATCAGTATCGTATCGACTGTCTTCAGTATTTTCTCTACCGGAGTCGTCACTGTCATTGAATGACTAGTAGTCCGCCTTTCGGGTTCGGCGAGCGGTAAGACGCAGGTATTAGCAAAGAACAGAGAGACGCTAGTGTATAATTTTTGAGACGGTTTCACATCACCTTAATTAAGGCCCCGGCTTGACTTGGCAAATCCAGGTCTCAAGCAGGGCTATTATATATGCAGAGTAGTGGGTCGGATGGGCAATGTTGGAAGGGAGAACTTTAGCAATCTGATGGCAAGCCATTATTTGCTCTGGGAGCCTCGAGAGGGAGCCATTTTCAGATCCCTTGTGAAACAGGAGCACAGTGGATAAAAGGCAGAAACAGTGAGCCTAGGCAGGCGACTGAGTATAGTCGTTGGGTTCGTCCTGGTCGGTGCTGCAGGGATGTAGGCGTCCGATTGAGTGGCAGAAGGGTTGGTAAATCGATGACCAAAGACAGCGTCGACTGCAGCCGTTTGCTCCGTCCATTTGCTGCCTTCTCGTTTAAAAGGCGGCAAATGGGCTAGTCCGCCCTGGCTAAATCTGCTACGGTGAGGTCTTCTACCACAAGCTTCTATACCTTCTAGTTCGTTTTGACAGTAAAGTCATCCTTTCCTCTTCCTCCATCACGGTCCTTCCAAATGAGGTCTTAAATAAGGCATCTTGTACACTCTTGGCTGTTTGTGAAGTGCTTTGCCATACTATTATAACTAGAGAACTAACGTGCAATATGGCAGACTCTCTGAGAGAGATCGAAGCTTAATACCGCCTCCCCCGTCTCCCGGACCAGCGAATAGATGTGGGTCATCGAGTGCCAAACACACTAACATCATTATATCCGCTTCTACAAGATCATTCTCTGCCGTATCATCGGGAGCATCATCACTCAAGTCAAGTGCATTTTCAGAGACTACGACATTACGAGTCAAGGAAAAAGACGGAGACGAGTGCTGGGTATGTGGTTCATCTCCCGTTCAGATCCGTCATGTTATCGCTCAAGGGGATCAACAGGTAGGCATCATGTATTTAACTAGGCGTTGAAGTTATGATAACAGTTTACAGACTGACCTCTGGCAATAATTTGGTCTGTTAGACTTTCCTTTATCTTCAAATATGAACGCAATTCCTCTCTGTCCCACCTGCCATCATCAGTTCGACAGCTCCTGGGACCCAAGGTTTGTTTTTATACCTACAGATCTTCGGTTTTTCATTGAATTCGAACTCAAGGACCGCGAGCGCCGGAAAATACTAGATAAGAGAGGCAATGTCTTAAAGCGAGTGGTCCCCCACCTCTGAGATATACAAACAACACCATGTGGTCAACGGGGTAATCGCCCCTGGCGCTATTGAGGTTCAATATCGCCCTACCTTTCTCAAATCTTATCTTTATAGTGGCCGACTGCCATACGATCCTGTTGAATATTTATCAACGCCCAAGGAGTGGCACGGAGCACCCTTGGCTTACCTTCGGAGGTGTTTCCCTCTATTAGGGAGTCCGCGCCTATTAGACAAGCAGATACGCATTAAGCTAGAGCAGCTGCGTGATCTATACTTTTTTTAACGAGGGAGGAGATTCTCCACACTTGCTTAACGAGCTGGTGACGCAAACAGAACCTGGACATGGAGGAGAGAAACATAGTGGAAGGAAGCGACAGCATAATGACGATCTTTTGCCAAGTGAACATCGATCGCCGAAGAAGCAACAAGGCCCTCAGCAGGGGGTAAGCTACAGTCAAAAATGAAACTACATTCTGTCCAATTCTTCAGCGAGAAGTGCGTGCATACTGGAGCTTGGGACCTGTGCCTACCGAGGAGGCAGTTCGTCAATTTGCCCCACTGATTGCCCGATCGCTCAATTCTACCCTTGTTTAAGTCCGTGTCGGGCGTTATTGTTTTTCTATTTTTGCTCCTGCACTCGTTAGCTCTTCAATTTAATCAGGGATATCCTTATAGTAATCAACTAACAGCTTGTGGAAGCAGGACATGTGCAATAAGTCATATCGAAAATGAGAAAACCTTACCTATGTTAGCAAAGACCAAAGGTCCAAATAGACGCTTACAGCGTAAATTCTCCAGCTTGTTTAAAGTAGTATTTTAGGGTTTAGTATGTCCGAGGTGGGCGTTGGAGCTCAAAGGACACCTCTCAAGTATCAGTAAGCATCAACGCCAGCTGGAAAGAAAGACCGACAATACTTGCTAGCGAGCCATTATGTTACATTTTGAAGCCTATTTCCTTTAGGTGATTGTCACAATGTGCGTAGATAGTATTCTGAGTATTAAGGCATCTCAAAAAAGCGACACATAGGGATGGCTTCTCCATACCACGAGCCCTACGAGCTCCCCAACCAGTTGATGTTACGATTGACAGCACTTTTCAATGAGAGATATGAAGGAATCAATCCAGATTAAAGGGTGTAATTTTGGGAATAATTTACTGCAGGCCTTAAACCAAGACCCGAACCCATTGTGGCTAAAACGAACCCGAACTAATGCAAAAGTCCCATTCTAGAAATACGAAAGAAAAAAAATGCCAGCTCATCATCCGTTACCCCACTACCAGTCATCCGCGGGGGGAGAGTAGGCTTCACGCTCGCCCTCATCGTAATGGTGGTAAATGTGCTGCTCCACGACCTTATGCTCAACTTCCTCTTCCTCTTTTTCGGACTCGGAAGATTCACCTGCATTTTGCGTTAGTTTGTGTTTTACAATTAATTCAAACCATGGTATTCATATATATATATATATATATATAAATATATATTCTCGTGGTGGGGTAAAAGTAGAATGTATACATACCGAATTCGTGTTGGAGGACAGCTCCGGCAACACCGCCAAGGGCCAAACCAGCCGCAGCTCCCATCATCATCTTCTTCCGGTCCTCCTTCTTTCTCTCTTCTGGGCTCTTGTAATCACCCTGCTGGGGAGGAGGGTAATATCCTCCGTCCTGAGGCGGGGGAGCGCCGTAGTAAGGGCCGGGGGGAGGAGGGCTGATGGGGCCTGAAGGAGGGGGGCTCATGATAGCGGGAGGTCCGCCGGGGGGACCCATATCACGCGAGCCGTCGCCAAACGGCTGCTCCCACTGTGAGTTACCGGTAGCGACCTCGACCCAGAAAGCACGACGGGCGTTGGGCTCCCATTCCTGGACCCAGCCGACGGGAAGAGGCGGCGGGGGTATCTGAGGAGGGCGGGCCGAAGGTGGTGCAGAGTAGGGGGGGCGAGAATCGAAGGAACGGTCTGACTCGTATGGGGGTCTCTCGTAAGGTGGGCGTTCCGATGGTGGTCTGTCATACGGAGGGCGCTGGTCGGGAGGAGGCTGTTCGTACGGAGGTCTCTCGTATGGGGGGCGGTCATAGGGAGGGCGCTGCTCGTATGGCGGACGGTTGTCATATGGAGGACGCTCATACTGAGGCTGTCCATATGGGGCTTGAGGAGGGGCACCGCCGCCGTAATACGGGGGGCGCTGCTCGCCGTAGTACGACATCGTAGATAGATAGGTGTTGTGGGGGACGAGAAATGTGAGGCGATGGTAAAGGGAAATATGTGAGAGGAATAGAAGGAATTGAACGAGGGAATGCCGTTTGGGAGCCTTTAAATATATCCCTCAATCTGGCGAGGAGGGGGAAGAAGTAGGCCTACTACTTAGGTTAGGTCTCAGTCACCACACCCCTGTATGGAGTCTCCGATGCTAAGTTAATCACAATGAGACCTCAGGAGCCTCCGCAGGTGCCGGAGGATTGGAAACCATTTGCTGACAGCGACATACCTGACACTAGAGTATCCACAGCATTATTGGTCGCAATGGGGAAGTGTCAATAGTCTGGCGTTTGGTAGTGTTGCAGATCTGTCCTTTGAAATGCAAAATTTAGGCAGATACATATTGGATGACCAGACGCCATCCATACCCCTGATCGTTCCCCATATTGAAGCGCTAAGTAAAGCACAGGACCAAAAGCCAAGGGATTCATCCGGATCCCGACGTCCTCAGGATCGACTTGCCACATTGAGATCCCAAACGACCAACTGCCGTCTTGATTGATTTCGCAGTTACACCGTTAGGGAAGACCAGCATGACATGTTCGATCATGGGAATCAACCCCACTATCCTCCGTTTTCCTCCAAAAAGAGCTGCCTGTCGAGGTCCCTTGGCGCCACTAATGATATGATGCCAACATCCAATCGGAGCCTCTGCTCGGGAGGCATCAGCCACACCGGCGTATCACCATTTCGGACCCCGCCAATGATCCTGCGAGGCCTGGGGCAAAGCCACAAATCGCGCATAATGAGGGGGCATTCTCATACATTGCTTTTGTCTGCGTATTTTTCTCTCTGCATGACTTCAGAATGCCCTATATCACATGCCGTTGGAGAATAAAACAACTCCTTTGATTTGATGTAGGGAAAAAGAAGGTAACAAGGTAGTATTCCGATGTTATAAAAGTCCCCCTTAATTTAAACCAGTAAAAGGTCAGCCGATTTTTCCCCGGCATCTTCGGCATCAACAAAGTAGAAAAAATCTGGAGACTAGCCACGTGTGAGTCAGCCAGTGGCTGGGGCCAGTACGCCCAGCCACACTCGGTTCCGGAAGATTCCTTTGGGTGTGGATCAAACGTTCCTCTCTTTGCCCCTTTTTTGCCTTGCTGTACGTGGTAAGGTGTTTGCCTCGACCCACTGAGCACTAGTACCGATATGGCAAGCACGATAGAAAATGCGATACGTATGTACCCCTATGTACCGGAATTTCTAGGCTCTAGCGACTACCCGAAGGAGACTAGCCGACACTCACGGGACTACCGACCTACCATATGGATGGTAGATGGAATGGTAGATACTATACAGGATATATAAGGACACTTATTCATGTACTTAGTTTAGTTCTTCGTGATTAATACAAATTGTTACTACAGAGTTACCTTTAGTATCAAGACCAGCATCAACTTATTTGCACTCTTCTAACTATTGAGTATATATACTTGATAGACCTGGCTTTTTGGACTTGAGCTATTCACAGATTAGTTATCAAATCTCGAATCGCGCCTCGGACTAAGGTCACCTTCACGGCACCACAGCGTCTTGTTACAGAATCTCAGGGGGTTCTGACATTCCGGTTTGACCCTCGCTACGCAGGCGCAGCTAACTGGTCAGCAGAGCTCCAGCCCGAATACCCAGGCGTAACACTATAGTGATAAAACCCATCCAGAGACATTTACTGCAATAATTATAGTAACCCATTTACAATTTCCAGGCTGAATAGTTTTAGCCTAGCTCTTTCTAGCCTCTGATCCACAGATTACTTTAACTGTAGATATACACCTATCTAAAGGCCAGTCTTACCCATATTATAGATATACTGATTACAGATACCGTACTTTTAAATTGTATCAAGAAATCTTGTATACCAGTCTTAAATAAACCCTGGACCTTCACATTTTACACGCTTATAGTCATGTTTTCGACTATATTTTAACTTGAGTTCTTTATGGCGGCTAACAAAGCGCTGCACCCAACGCTCACCAAATAAGCTATTAGAGAAGAGATTCGGGCAGATAATAATAGCTGTGCCACATATCGTACATGTAAGACTCCAGAAAGTAAGCCACATTGATACATATCAAGAATCTGTATAGAAAGTGTAGATTCTTTAATATTTGTCAATTTGCGGCAGTTGACAGTTATATTCTTTCGAGATACTATCCCATTAATACGTGTCATTAAAGTGCTCGGAGGAATATCAAATACGGCTGCAGCCTTCCGAATTGATGGAAATTGACCCTTTTTATAAGCTTCATGAGCCAGCTGCATACGTGCTTCTTTTGATATATCAGCCATGATGTTGCTGTTGATAAATCGGATAGAATTATGGAGGTGGTTGAATCGTGCCGTCGGCTGCCCAGCTCGGTGTTCGACTACGTTATTGTATGCGGCCAGGCCCCTCTAGGAAAGGAACAGCCCCACGACGTTTTCTCCCTCCTTCCACTGAGACAGGAGACTCGCTCTAGCTATCATGCTTTTTCAATCTCTGCACTTGTCTACACACTGGTCATATCGATCCCAATCCCACGGCTGGTTTGTCATACGTGACATCGGGTGACAGAAAGATGAACCGTGGATTCATCCGGTACCAGCTTGACCCTGGCTTCGCGCCTCCTCTCTAGCCTGTGCCTTTCCTAACTAGAACAGCTCGTCATGAGGGAGGAGCAACCCATAGTAGGGCATCAGGTTTCGTCGTGACCTTGTGAGTGGAGTGGGCCTCAAATTACGGTCCCATAAATCATCACCCCTGACGCCATGGCGACCACAGACCGGAAACGAATGCCTCCTCCGTCATAGCCTTGCTCCTCGTCATCTTCTTCGCAGATTCGCTCATCGTCCTCTACGCGAGTCCATATGATGTCGGTAGCGTCTTCGAATCTAAGCGCATTCTCAGAACCGACCAAGCTGGAAACAAAGCGACTCGCCGGTTGCAATTGTTGGGCTTGCAACACGAAACGGCCGCAGATCTGTCATGTGTTTTCTCAGGAAAACACGCAGGTAGAGTTTACTTCTGTCTGTTGTAAAAATGAGCTGACAAGTCTATGTAGACAGACCAATGGGTGCAGGCCGGTCTGTTTACCTTCTCGTCCAAGTCCGCCTCGAACGCTATACCTCTTTGTGCATCCTGCCATGGATAGTTTGGTCTGTCCATCGGCCCTGGATACGTCTTCTTCCCCGCCGACCTGAAGTTCTTCATTGATTTTGAAATGGAGGATCGTGGACGGAGGCGGATCGCAGCAGAAACTGGCCACCCGATCAAGCGACAGGTCCCCACGGCTGTTGAATACCGAACACACCAGCAGGAGAGTGGCATGGTTTGGCCAGGTGTTGTCGGTGGCCTATATAGGTGCGTATTCCTGAAGGACTTTCTCCATGATGGCATTTTTCCCGATTTGGTACGGTCGTTTGCCACTCCCAAAGAGTGGCCCGGCAATCCGATGGCTTCGATCAGACGGGCTATTGCGGCGCTCGGCAGCCCACGGTTGTACGTTGTGGACCCTAAGATCCGGAGTGACCTTGAACGATTGCGAGATCTTTACTTTGGTGACGAATTCCAGAGCCCTGTAGATGCCCGTCTTCGCGACATATATAAACTGGACGCTAAACTAGCCAACAAGCAGCATTTAGAAGAGCAAGATGATTTAGGGTGAGCAGAGAAGAAAATGAAGGGCCAGAAGGCCGAACACAACATCGATATTGCGGAAGGGATGGGATCAACAAACCAATTCCTGATGTATCCGGACTGGGTGCTAGGGCCAGATGTCACTACCAACGAGGTAGTGCAGTTGTACGCCCCCCTATTTCCTCCTGTCTGAGGGGCCAATTGCGCCAAAAACAAGCATGTATCTACCATTCGCTCGATCGGTGGTGCGTTGGAGCTTCTTATTTGCTGTAGCGTTACATAGCAAAGATCCGACACAAAGCATAATACGTCCATGGATGTGATGCCAATATTTGAAAGAGGCCTTCTTTAAACTTTTCCGGTCTACTAATTTCTGTGTGGACCCTAGTATTACTACCCTAGTCAGAGGGCTCCTAGTGTATACATATGAACCCTGGAATTACGGCCTAGTCCATAGTGTACATCATGATTATGGTTATGATTCAAATTGGACAGCTGTGGCGATGTCACTGTGGCTTTTCTCAAGGGCCAGAGGACGGAGGGATCTTCCATATCATCAACAGCGACCGCGGAAATGAGTGGGTTTACGAAGACATCGAGGTTGGCAGTAGTTCCTGTCAAAAGTGGCTCTTCCAAGTCCTGGGTAAACTTCACAATGAGTGATACACACTCATATGCTGAGCACACCGAGGTGATTGGAAATTGAAGCTTTGGAAAGAGCAATGGAAGTTGGCAACAGTCACGATCTGGTCCTCAGTAGGCTACGTGAGTGTAGCTGATATAGACTTATTCTGCCTTTCTTCCCCTGCGATCACAACAATATAGGATGACGTATCTCCGCGGGCTAGCCTAGACTGTTTGAAGAATTCGCCAACCAGAAATTACATCGGAATATCCTGTGTCAGTCTAGTAGGAATATAATGAAATATAATGTCAACACATTCATTAAAACATTCTCGACATAGGATGTAACTCCAAGTTCCTTATTCTCCTATTTAGGAAGCCAGTAGTAGGGATACTGATCCCAAGGCGGTTGAGAGGGCCATCCCAACATTGTCGCCTGCGCCAGCGCATATCCTGAATCCTTCGCATGGATGCGCTCCTTCAAGTAGATTTAAGCTCTGAAGCTGCTCCAGTAACTGTCGTCAAATCTAGTTGATGGCCTGCTCCACTCACTAGGGGCGCCGGTTTACTGCCGCATCGGTCTATCGTTGCCTAGAAGTGAGTTTTGATTAACAGGAGCATGTTCTTGGGGCCAAACACGAAACCGCTCCTCAAGTTATGACAGCTAATATGTATACACATGAAGTAATATAAGTAAAAAGGTATGTTCCTAAGAAGTTGGCTCAAACATTAACTGCCACCTAATTCTCTATTTCTCTTCCGTTTTATTACTTCTTGACCTCGCTCTTTCAGACTATTCCCTAGGCCCAAAGTACCACCGAATCTGTTACGTTCTCTCTCCTTTCGACATTTCCTTCCATGACTGAGCAGTATCCAGTCCCAACTCCCATTCTAGGTGCCGTGCTACTAACCGGAGGCAACGGGTTCATTGCCTATCATATAATCGACAAAATCCTAGCCACAGAACCAGACTGCGCAATACACTCTCTAGAATCAACCTCGACCGGAACCGCCACCCAAACCCTAATGTCCATTACCACCGCGCCGATCTATCCTCCGCAGCAGACGTAGAACGGGCAATGCAAATCGCACGCCCAGTAACAATCTTCCACACAACATCCCCCGAGTTTTCCGACGTCCCCGAGTCAGCCTACACACGGATCATCGTCAACGGAACACAACACCTTCTCAACTCCTCCGCCAAATCGGAACCGTAAAAGCCCTGATCAATACCTCGACTTCGGGAGTCATAAGTGACAACCACACTGATCTCCTCAATGGCGCAGAAGAGATGCCATTTCTCCGACCCCCAAAACAGAAACGCGCGTATACTGCCTCGCCAAGGCAGACGCAGAGGAAGCCATCCAAGCCGCGAATCGCAACGGTGGTTGCGATGACCACGCTATCCTAACCTGTGCACTGCGTCCCTGTCTCACGTTCGGTGAGCACGATGTCAGCGCCCTGGGCAGGATGGTTGCCGCTGCGCGACGGGGTCGCTTGCGGTTCCAGATGGGGAATGGCCAGAACCCGTACGACTTCATGTACGTTGGTAATCTGGCCGATGCGTATTTGCTGGCGGCACATGCGTTGCTTAATGCGTGGGGAAGGCTACGGCATACTGACCTGTCCGTTTGGGTGGATGGCGAGGTTTTCAATATCTCGAATGATGATCCCTGGCTTTTTTGGGATTTTCAGAGTGCCGTATCAGCCTTAACTAGGAACCCTATCCGGCCGGAGGATATTGTGGTTATTCCGAAATGGGTCGGACTGGTCATAGGATTTTTGGGAGAGTGGGTGGTCTGGGCTACCTCTGGTCGTACTAGGACGGCTGATATGACTCGTGAGGGTATCCGCTTTAGTACCCTCATCCGTACGCTTGATATCAGTAAGGCCAAGCGGGTACTGGGGTACTGTCCTGCGGTTGGGGTGTAGGATGGCCTCGAACGCAGTGTGCATTGGTTTATGGGCCTGCCTCAAAATCCTGCGTAGGGGTGCTAAGATTCCAAATAGGAATGTCTACAGTCTCTGGAAAGATTAGTAGTATACCTATAGTATATAATTTCACCCTCTCTGTAATGTGCAGTGGAATCATACTTCTGCCTCCACATCTACACTAACGAGTATTACGTGATTTCTGGGGGCTCTGTTTATTATACTGTTCCACTTTACTATAATAAAATTTATATCCTATCTCATATGTCTCCTATTGCAGAACCAGTAGACATAACGGTGTCTTAGGAGCTAGCTGCTCCAATAGATCCCTACAACTAGTAGAGCTGAGAGAACGCTTAATGTACATTGAAACTGTATGCCTAGTAATGTCGATTGAGATAAATGTTGCATTTGCGATTATAAATGTTCGTAACTATTACCCTTGAAGAAATTCTGCAAGATTAGATAGTTGAACGATACACACAAGACCATTAAGCGAATCAAGATCCAAATGACACTCTCTACTTCCGACACAGAATCTCACCATGCAACAAGCCAAACCATCCATGCTCCCCATCCACAAACTCCTTCCACCCATTGGAGATCCTATCCAGCTCCTCCTTCGTTGCGAACCCTTTCTCGACCGCTGTCTTCGCAAACCCCGATGACCTCGCTCTTTCGCCCATCGACCCACCCCAATATTGTCTCTCCTCGGGGGTACTAAAGCACCACGAACCAGTGCTCTTCTGAACTTTTGAGCGCTCAAACCCCGCCTCCTCGGCCCACACATGAATCGATCGTCCTGGATGAGGATTGCCACCCATAGCCTTCGCCATCCGCGTAGTAATATCAAGCCATGCCTCGATGCCCTTGTTTTCAGGATACCAAGTCATGGCGGCTGATTCTCTTGCAGCGACAATACCGCCGGGTTTCGTGACACGACGCATCTCCCGTAATGCCTTGACTGGGTCCGCAATATGCTGTAACACCTGATGTACATGAACTATATCGAAGGTTTTATCGGGGAACTCGAGAGAGTGGATGTCCCCCACACGGAATTCAATGTTCGTTACCCCCTGAGACGCTGCCAGCCCGCGGGCTTGGTCTAGCGGGTCAGATACATATTCAATACCAGTAACATGGCCTTGGTGTGCGCGGCGCGCGAAGTCGAGAGTAATTGAACCGGGGCCACAGCCAATGTCGAGGATCTTCGAGGTTGGGATTATGTATGGGAGGAGATAGGCGGCGGAATTGCATGCCGTGCGCCAGTTATGGGTCTGAAGAACAGACGCAGAGTGATCAGTAGTGTAGACCGTCATTTTCGAAGATGTATAAGAATCTATAAGTTTGTTGAATGTGGAAATGCGAAGAAACGAAAGTTGACGTCTTTGGAGAGTATTTATATAGAACCAGTTTGCCAAGACGGGGGTGGAGAAGGGTCGGAGTACCGAGACGGAATCCCGAATGTGACGTAAATAAAAATCAACAACCATGGATATGGGCGCAGACTCCGAATAGCATCATTCCAAATTCGTCTGTTGACTGGACCCAGCGCTCAATTCGTTCCCGTCGCTGGGTTGAGCCCGTTTCTTCTGATCTCCATAGCTCCGAAATCTCCAACATCCCGTCTTCCCACCTTAGGAGATATCTGTCGTATTCCTTGTTCCAGGTTTCCCGATCCTGAGCCTCCCATAATGATTTGTTGCCCGGTGCAAAGACTCCTCTCATCTCGTCTGCGATGAAATTCGGCAGTAGTCGATCTGCGTTGTAGACGCCGCTAAATATGTACATTGTGAAAATGGCGCGACGTTTCGCGGCAACCACAATCCAGGATTCCCAGGTTGGTCGCGTGTGGGACACTTCAGCAGCGCAAAAGAGCCCGTTCCGAGCGGTCCGGAAAGCCAGTTCCATAAGGGTTATCATAATCTTATCGTTGATGAGGGAGGATCCACGAGGGGAGAAGTACAACATAATTGTGTATATCAAGTAGGCTTGGAAGGAGGAGAGTAATTCGTAATCATGTTCAAGATGCTGAATCCATTAGTTCATACAATAGGAATGTTTTAGGTAACAACGTACCTCATCGGCCAATCTCTCCATTTCCTTTTCCAACGTATCTACCACCATCATCTCACTTCCAGGTGCGGCCTGTTCCCACATCCGGACGAGACTGTAGCAGTTCGCGAGCGCCCGAGGCATCTCTTTCCCGTCTATCTGTGAGCGGTGAATAATGGGAGGGACATCCTTGTCTTTGAGCATGCGCCGGGGATAAGTACTCAATATCCGTGAGATGTACTGCAACGTGAAAGGGTGATAAACCTTGGGTACTTCATCCTGTCCCAGCGGCGGCAGGATATATGGTCTCAACCAGCGATCCCGGATATCTTCTGCGTTTGCGCTTGGAACCAGATCTACCGTGTGAAAGTCAAACTCATCTCCATCTCTCCAACAACTGGGGACATGTCTTCGCACATGCACTTGACTGGCCGGGCTCCAGGCTGTGCTCGAGGGAGTGGTAGCATACGGCAAGGGTATTGGCATAGTAGGTGCTGGATCAAAGCGAGGTGATGCATATATCGCCGACCCGGGGTATGAAGGATCAGGATCTTCCGAAACTCCCGCTTCACCTGGAGGCGAATCCCGTGGCAACGCCGAGGCTGGATATTCGCAGACTCGGCCAGTTGACCGGCACCGCGAACAAGTGGGCTTTTCGAGACTGCACCGAACTTTGGACTTTGTACAGCTGTTACAAGCTTTTTTTCGTGGGGGACGCTGCTTGGATCGGTGGCTGTCTGATGTGGGCATGGTTCACGATATAGTTGGTACGGTTTCGTGTGTGATGCTGTCTTCGTCAAGTTCGGAATTCCGATGCATTAATTGATGGACTACGGATGGGTATGCAGACCTGGTAGGTCAACCTTATTTGTAATCGTCAGTTCAAGCGCGTGTAGGGCTTAGTGCCGGGTGCCAGCTCAGCGTGGTCTAAAAAAACCTCGGCGTGGTCTAGAATTCTGCCACCTCCACCACCGCCTTTTTAGACCACGATGAGCCTTTTCTTGGCATATGCTCAGCGTGGTTTAAAACTAAAATGTAACCAAATTTTAGACCATGTTGAACCCCTTCACTAAAGCTTGACTACGCTGACCTTTTTGGCTTAGCGCCAGTCCCTCAGTCAGGGCATATACTGAGCATATGCCCAAAATATAAACCTGCGAGATATCATTCACTGTATCATTAATATATATAACCATATTTGCTAATTATATTAATAACACAAGCAGAATTTATAACACATTATAAATAATTCACTATTCTAATTAAGTAATTAAAATATTGGCCGTGTTTATACTTATTTTTTAGCTAATAAATCTAATCTTTCTTCTTCTCTTTCTTCTTCTCTCTTCAAACTCCCCTTCTTCAGGAATTCTATTAGGGCTATGCCTTGTCTATTATAGTGATGAAGCCCTAGTATATATACTCAGCGTGGTCTAAAAATCTTCTAAGAGTCTCATCATGGTCTAAGAACACTGACTAATCACTTAGACCACGATGAGCCTTTTCTTGGCATAGGCTCAGCGTGGTTTAAAAAGGGCGGTGAATCTCGGGGCAGAATTTTAGACCACGCCGAGCTACCAGCCCATCATATATCCATAGCCCAGGAAGGCTTGTACTGTTTTCTAAGGAGCTCTATTAAATCCTTTGCCTGGAAACACTCCGCATATTCCTCGTTCCCCGGAAGTTGTATCCACTTTCTCATGAATAAAGTCGCGTACTCCAGTGACCTATGCTTCCATGTCTTGTAGTATGTCGACACGCATGGCTGGTATTCTTTGTACATTGGATCACTCAACTTTATACCTTCAAAGGTAGCTTGTATAGGTTGATGGACCCGTGAGTTTGATAGCCCGCAGATAAATTACTGACGGGAGTATTTTAAAAGGTCTTGTAAAGCATCCTTTTTATTTCGGCTTTTATACCCTTCTGTGGACTGCCCTTCTGTTGAGTACATACTCCCATAATTGAAAAGATTGTTTGACGTTTCATAGGCCATAGGTAGTGGCGAGGAAGGTTGGATATATGAGGAAGAGGATTGAGAGTGCAGAGGTGTTGGATCAATTATTTCAGGAGAATAGAGCTCAGTGTTCCTCAAACGTAATGGTGGAGGATTGGAGATAGCGCTGCTGCCTCGTAGTCCTTGTGGTACTCTCATATTTGGTTGCGATGGAGGCTTGGGGACGGTATTGCCACCCGATGGTGTCGCTGTTGCTGTCATATTCGGCTGCGGTGGAGAAATGGGGACAGCGTTGCTGGGTAGTGGTGCTCGTGGCATGGCTTTATCAGTTTGTATTGGCGTTCTTGTCAGAGTGCGTATACTGTCTCTCCTGGCCTGTGTTATTGTACGCACGGGCTGAGAAGCTGAGGATAAACTATGTATTGTCCTTCTCTTGGTTTGAGTAATATTATTGGGGGCCTTGCGTTTAGCCTGGCAGATATTAGAAGGTATAAAATTAGTTCCGCATTGAACTTACATTATTAGTTAATTTTAAAGGACGATAATCTGAATCAATTGATCTGGTGTCAATTGCCCCAGCATCGGGCTGTGACAATTCCTGTGACTCAGAGAGCTCTGATTTATCCTGTTAGATATATTAGAGTATAAGGATACTAGTAAAGAATCAAACCTTCTCTAAGTTCATGTTGCATTTGTGATTGTGTATTCTGCTATAGATTCTGTGTTCTAGCCCGAGTAGCCATAACACTATGCTGTGATACAGATATCATGGAAATGATAAAGTTACCAAACAAACTGCACCTGAAAGCAAGTAGCAAAGCTACCAGGAAGAAGCTACAGTGGTTTAGTAAATATGTTCTTACAAAACTGAAGTCGTAAAATTTTTGGGTGATGATAGTATAGTGCACTAAAAGCAAACAACAAAGAACAATAAATATAGAACACGCGACGCGACATAGTCCTGTACAATACTATTTCCAAGTAAAATAAATATTAAGAATAGTCTACTGTCATAAATAATTCATAAGCTACATTGCTACTGGAGAAAATAGAATATAGAAAGATATCTATATTATACTCTGTACAAACTCTGGTATGTATTTTTTATTCTAAATTTTCATGTTTTTTTTTCTTTTTTTTAAAAAAAGAAACCACCCCTCTGGAAAGTTAATCATGCTTTGTATTGGCCAGCGCGTTGCCAGCGCGTTGACAGCCGTGTTGACTACCAACTTATCCGAGTTGTCCTCCACCGAAACAGATACCTAGCTATTTAGAAAGGGCTGACCTGAAAAAGCCTTTCTCAGTTCATTCCTCTTCCGCCTCCCCTTGCAGCGCCCTGGCAATTTTATTAAAGATCTTGTCGTAATCCTGTATGTCGTTTGGATCAGGAGCCTGACCCTCTTCAAGACGGACCAACTCCCCGTTGCGGATCACCCAACGACTCAAGTCGCCAGTACAATCCTCGGACTGTGCATCACCGTCACCCTGGGCTGATAAAGAAGTCATCTCGATAACGAGCGAGGAGTACGCCTTGTTCTGTGTGCGGTTGCCGAGATACATATTAAACGAGTCCTCGACGCGGTATTCGTACACCAAGACAATCCGATCTTGGCCTAAGCGGCATGATCTTCCTTGTGCCTGCTCCCTTACCGCTTGAGATAGTGATGGAGAAAAGAAATGGACATTACGACACTTGTGCTGGAGGTTCAGGCCTGAGCTGTTAGCCGCAAATAACATGATTAGGACCTTATAGCCGCTGTCATCTCTTGTAAAGCTCTCCGTCATTTTATATCGCTCACTGCTGTCCAGGCCACCGTGAAACACACCATAGCTTATTCCAGCCTCCTGGAGAACCGCGGCCACATACACCTGTTCTGCTGGGTACATGACCCAAACTATTGCTTTTTCTTCAAAGAGGAGGACCTGGTCCCTGATCGTTGCCAGCATGGCGCGCATCTTTGGAGAGCCTCGCAGCAAGAACTCGAGACGTGCGGCCGGAGCGCTCTCCAGGCGAGACTTTGCTGTTTTGTAGAACTCCTTGACAGTCACAGCTTCCCCAACAATGGACTTTTGCTCAATCAATGTTATCCAAGTATCTACTAATCTGCCTTGATCAAGTAGCTTGAGGGCTTGTGGGATAAATGTCGACTGGAGCGATTCACTTAAAAACATGAACCCCAGCCAAGAGGATAGCAGCACAAGATCCCTCAGCTTACTGCTATTCCAGTGAAACTTTTTATGGTCGTATTTGTCCCGGACAAACAAGCCACGTTTGTGTTTCTTTTCCCTTGCCTTGTATGTGAACAATTCATACTTGTCAAAGGCAACCTGCACCAGCTTCTTCTGGGATCCAGGAATGTCTTCGCCTATCATCTGCCCGTTTTTAAAGGGGATACTCGAGGTGATGCTCCTCCTAATCATGAAGACGGCAAGGATCCGCCGGAGCCTTTCACCGGCTTGTTTTGACGAAATCCCTTCGCCATACACCATCTCATGCACTGCCACGTTCGTACACAGGTATGTCTCTAGTGGGTGGCCTGATTCCATTTTGAAAAAATCCTCAGCTCTCTGCAAATTGTGTTGGTGGATCAGTGCACTGTTCCATGCGTGGGGGTCTCTGAACAACAGGGGCATATATCCCTTAAAGTCTAAAATGCTGTTGAACCAAGGCATTCCTGTAAGTAACAAGTTCCAGTCTGCCTTTAACCAATGACAAGCAACGGACAGGAACGATGATGGGTTCCTTAGTGTCTGTGCTTCGTCAAACACTGCGATGCCAAAAAGACCGGCCAGATCATAATCCCAATTATCTGGCATTCTGGGAGATTGAGCATTGAATCTGTGGCCTTTTCCTTCAAAGACTGCTTTGGCAGCTGCCGGTCCATTTCTGGTATTGAGTGTGCCATAGGAGGTGAGCACTACAGCTCTTGCACTCTCTGGGCCCCCGTTAAACAGTATGTGGTTGCGGGTCAATTTCTCATCAATCATATATGTGCTCACCGATGACTGTACCCTGTAATCACCATGGTAGATATAGATGTCGAAGATATCAGTCATCCCGTTGATTTCCTGCGCCCACTGAGCCACTAAGCCGGGAGGTAAAACAATCAGCGTTGGTTTGCCTTTTGGATACTGTTCTTCATTCCGCTGAGCCTGCGCACACCTGTCGTTATACTCAGTCCAGATCTATACTATAGGTCAGTCTGAAAAAAAGGTCTATTCTGCCCACCCCTTATACTTACTGCTAGCAAGAAGCCTATGGTTTCCCAAGTCTTCCCCAATCCAACCGCATCTGCAAGCATTGCACCTTTAAGAAACGCCTTCTGTTTGAATTCCACTAGGGCCCAGATCGCAACTGGTTGCCAAAATTTTAGCGTTGTCGAGCGTCTCATTCCTCTCATACGGGGGAATTTTGTGCTCTCAATGCGGAGCTTTTCACATGCCAATTTGACTTTCTCTCTCTGATACTCTACATTGTTGAACCAGTCGCGTTTCGCGTCAATTATGAGAAGACTGGCCTCTGTTGGCTGCATGACGTGTGAGACCTGCAACTCGTCTCTGATGACTAAGTCATTGTAGTCTTCACCCTGTTGGTACTTCGCGGGATCAAATATGTCTGTATGTAATTCATCACCTGGTCGCGGCTTCTTTTTTGGCGTGTTCCGAAGTATATCCTCCAAGGTCTCGTTCTCCGGGGGGGTGAAGTGCACGTCCTCACTTTCTAGTGCTGCTGCCGACTCGTGCTGATCCATATCGATTACTGCCGAGTCCTGAGGCAGCCGACGGCACCGATTCAGAGCCCTGACGATTATGAGGTACTGCCAATATGGGTCTCTCATATCGATGGTCTCTGACTGCCGATTAAGTTTCAGTCTCTCCTTAGGGTGCAAGATCTCATACTCCCATTTCTTGTTTGTTACAGTCTTGCCCTTGACTTCGCAACTAAGATCGCTGATGTCGCTGATGTCGCTAAGATCGCTATCACTTATTTCCTTAGTTTTCTTCCTTTTTTTGCCAGTCTTTTGCTTTTTGCTCTCCCCTGTTACACTATCCTCTGTCTTGCTCTTGCTCTTGCGCTCCCCTGTGCATATCCCATATAGAGTCAGCCAAAAAAAGGTTTATTTGACTTGACCTATAGGATCACTTACCGCTCCTTCGGGATGTTCCAAACAATGCAGTTCCTCCAGTCGGTTTTGATATGTAGCTGGGTGTATGAAGATGTCTGCACCATTCCTTCAAGGCCCAGACAATTTGATCCATCTCACTGTCACTGAGGTTTCTGTTAAAGAAAACCCCGTCGCTTGATCTCTTATTCTCATGTTTCACCCACCACACAAAGCAGGCAAGGTGATCGGCTTCGTCCCAGCCCTCTTTATTTCTGATCCTGGCGGAATACCTTGTTCTTCCCATACTCTCCCCAGCAGCCATCCTCCCTTGGATAATCCTCAGACCCGGCCCTCTATCCGCGGACTGGTTCTTGATCCAATCATTCCAGAGTTCTGCCCAGAACGGTGCGAAGAGGTTCGATTGTATCCATTCTTTCCATTCTTCCTTACTTCCAAGTTTAAGATCATTCATCAGTTGCTTCTGTGTTGGTGCTTTTATCTTGCCATCTTTTTTACCCCTTGTATCCTCTGCTGTATTTGTTATATTCTCTCCTTTCATGTGGCTATATTAGGGTCCGTCTGAGAAAGGGTTTTTGGGGGGGGTGGAGGTTGTGTTTCTCACCTAGAATAGCGGCATAGTCAATGCTGACTTGCTCGTCATCTGAGTCGCTTTCAGGTCCCATTCTGATGCTCCTTTTTTCACTTGACTTGAGACTCAATAGGACCACTAGCTGAATTATGATCCCTGTGACGTAGAATTGTGAATATGCGTTGATACTGTTAAATATTGAAAAAGTATTGGCAGGTAGGGAATATGTAAAAGATGAGGAGAAAAGGAGAAGAGAAAGATTAAAAGAAAGTAGGAGGATCATGCTTAGTCGTCACTGAGGTGAAAGTGAATGAAAGACAAAGAGAACAATATAATTTGAAGTAAATAGAAATATCATGATTAGTTGTCATTGAGATGAAAGTGAATTAAAAAGTTGTAGCGTCAAAAATTAAAAGGAATATTATTATATAGGGAATAAATAAGATAGTGTATGACTCCTAATGTTCAGATTACTTAACTATTATATATAGAGAGACAACTGTTTAGGAAGAGTTATTGTTCTGTTTATAGCTTTATATAAATCTCTGCTTAACTATATTTTTATTATCTTGGATATGTATATCCATATCAAATCACAGTACAGATACTCCATATAAGTTGTTACAGAAAGCATAATTTACATAACTATTATATGACTAAGAAATTGATTTTATTCAGTTTAAACTATCAGTAACTGTCGGTAACTCTTCATAACCTGACCTAACTAAAACTGAACTAGTCAGCAACTTCAGGTTGCTGACCCCTTTGACCCCTATGTCATCATTGTGTTTCCTTGATTCGGGTTGTTTTGTTTTGTGCCTCTTCACGTGGAGTGGCAACTAGTGACATCAAATTTCACTTGATCGAGAAGATAGATCAGCACGAAGCAGTAAGCAGTACTAGCAAGTCCATCCTCCCTTCACACTCATCAAATCATCAAAATACTACCTCGCAGTAGTAATACCTTGCCTATTGTAGTTAGGGTACAGGGCCCGTCTCGTCTAGGCGGTACACTACGGCAGTTTCTTTTCGGGGAAAGCGCAACAACGTCACAACACAAAGAAATGTATGCAAAGCGGCCTGAGGCAATGGTCAACATGTGCTGTCGAAAGAATGGTTTCAACAATCGCAATTCTGTCAGGACGGTCTACACCACGAGCACTCCTTCAATTACCGAAATGTTCCAGGCAACGGCATTATACCACCCAATCTACGCGACAGAACAATACGGATCCTGGACTCTTGCCCAATCGCACAAGGAACATCCAGTACGCCTTTGACCCAGTCAACATTCCGACCGAAAAACGGCCATCGAACCCTTTCCCATTCCTCGGACGCCAGAGGATCGCGTTTCCTATATTCCAGCATGCGAACGCCATCGCCCCATCCACCATTGGCGTCCCATGGCCCACATTGCTTCCCTCCTCCTTACAATCGAAATACTGGATAGAAGTGGAAGAGGTGGCGAAAGCATTCACGCAAGAAATCTTAGCTCGGCGATCGAAGGACAAGGAAACAAAATATTTTGATGCGATGATTGATGCAGCGGTATCACTTCTCGTGAATGCGGTGCCAATGGGAAATTTAACGAGGATGAAGATACTCACAAAGCTCTACGTCTTTTTCTTCATGAGTGACGGTGAATGAATATATGGATGCTGTTGGTTTCTCGGTTTTTCTAACCTGATTACGTGCAGATGTGGTTGATTCTGGAAATGTACTCTCTGTCCTCGCCGATTCGGGTTGTCCAAGATCAACGTTAACACACTGATACGGCAGCGCGTGACGATGATTTCAAGCCATGACGCATTGCAACAGGAGCCGGGATCGGATATCACAGTATACGATATGCTAGCGCGTGAGATACTCTCCGAAGATACTATTCAGGGTGTACGGTTACTAGAGAGTGTTATATCCTGGGTATCGGCGACACAAAAGAACCCCCCCGAGAGCTTCCCCACACTGAAGGATTATATGACGTATCGGGTGGGTGATGTCGGGGTCCGGTATGTCCGGCAATTACTGTATAATGGGGCGGATCTGACCATTCTAGTGCGGTCTTTCGCAGCGTGGAGTTCGCTTGCGATATTCCCTTGTCCGAAACGGATCTAGAAGCCGTCTCCCGTCTCCGATCCCTGTGCGAGAAGCACTTCTTACTGACCAATGACCTGTACTCCTACGCCAAAGAAGCGATCGCGGAACAGACGCGCGGAGATCCTGTTCTTAACGCTGTCCGAGTCGTACAGCGCTTCATGAATACTTCCGTGGCCTTGGCAACAGCGATTGTCCGACAGGTCATTCGGGACGTTGAGCACCAGATGAACGACGAATACGAGCATCTGGCTCAGGGCGCTACCAACGCACAACTGACATACGCACAGGGGCTCATTACCGCTGTTGCAGGGAACATGTTCTTCTCGGCCACTTGCCCTCGCTATGCGCGAGCCGTCCAGGGGTCCAGATTGCATGCATAAACCCACTCGTAGATGAGATGCCATGGCGCATCACCATGCATTTCTACACTAGTACAATGGAATTATATATGTATTGATTTGCTAACCCCAACCGACCATATCTATGCATACAGGGTGTATCTCAAACGACCAAACAAAAAAAAAAAAACCATCAAAACGAACGAAAGGATAGGGAACTGCTAGATAATCCCCTAGAACTTATAAACCTGTCCCTTCTCAAAGCCCAATCGATCCAACACACCCTGCTTTCCAGTCAAGGACTGCTCCATAGCAGGAGGTCCACAAACAAACACCTTGGCACCCTTGCCCTGCTCCTTCACAACACCCTTCAGCAATTCCTCCGTCACATACCCCTTCTTGAAACCCTCCTTCTCGCCCTCCAACTGACTCACAGCGTACACGTAGTCAAACCGCCCGGGAAACCGCTTCTTGTACTCCTCTAATTCCTCCCGCAGCAGTAGATCCTGCTCACTGTTCACTCCAAACACGAGATTAATCTTTGTCTTATCGTCTGGGTTATCCAGGATCCCCTGGATAAGCTGGTAGATGGGGGTGATGCCCGCTCCGCCCGCGATCGCATAGATCTGGGGGTATTGGTTGGGAACCCAGGAGAAGCCCTTGAGGGCCGTGAGGAAGGTGAGAGAGTCGCCGGGGACGAGCGAGTGGATGTGAGTGCTTGCTTTGCCGTTGGGGTATTGTTTCACCATCAGCTCTAGGGTACCTTGTTGGTCTTTTTTGGGACCACGGTTAGTCAGGGTTTCGCAATAGTATCGCGATAGATAACGGAGGTCACTCACTCAGATCGCTGATGGGCGTATACGGCCTGACAACCGGTAGCCACCGACCATTTGGTCGCGAGAAGGTAAGCAATGCCGCTGGTATACGTTAGTATATGATATATCGGAGCTGCGATCGTAAGAAACAGAAGAAATACGTACAAGTCAGCGACAACCCGCTCCGCGCATTCTTATCGGGAAACTCAAAGACAAGTCGCTTCGTGTTATGATTCACGGCCTTAACGCTCTGCAGGCGCAGGGTCGTAAACCCAAATCCAGAGAACATAACGGGCGGTTCGTTGGATTCTGCGTGAGCGTGGGGGAGCAGATATGATCGAGCGCAATAAGCACCGATACCGAAGACAGCGAGCGCAGAAAATAGAGTAGTGTTTGTCGCGAGGGACTGAGGGAGTCGTCGCACTTGAGACATTCCCGTTCCGATTGAGTGTACGGGGAGGGGAATCGGTGCTTCTTTAAAGTTGGTCTAAGGCAAAAGATTATATGCTGCGATGTGAGGTAGCTACGGGTTACAATCTATTTATATGCGCTATTCGCTGCCTAATGTCGATCGGACAATGCAGACTCCGAACACCGAGTGTTACACGAAGAAAATACATATCTTAGGGAGCCACGACATAACATGGATGTGATCCGGCACTGTTCTGGGGCAAGAGAGGGTTATTATGGGAAGTTCATAGGTTGGGACCAATGAAAGTGGTGGTCAGGGTCGGTCATCGGACACTGCGGATTTTGTCGGGTTTTGTCGGGTTTTGCAAACTCGTAGTGTCAGACAAAGGCTGGGTTTGCTATTTACGTCTAGTAAGAGGAGGCTGTGAGACGCAATGGTGGCCCCATAAAATACAACCCCGTCAGAGTTTGAGAACGGGAAGAATACGTCCAATCGTTTACATTTGTTATGCTTTGATCCTTGCTTAGTGCGAAGCGGCTCCTCAGAGTAATTCAGATAAGCTCCACAACCCTAAGATTGCTGCAGATCGACAAATCCAGTCTAGCTAAGTTGGCTCGACTCTGGGTAAATAAGCCTCATGCAGGATCCGACAAAACCCGTGCGTGGCATGACAGCCGGCTTGGGATGGACTCAGGCCTCCAACAACACCAATCGTGGGGCCTCGCTAAGAAGAAAAGTACCTATGAGGAAAGGTTATGCTGATGATGATGGCAAGGCGGCAACACAGCCTATAAAGAGAGCAAATGTGTGAAACCCGGCTAATTCGGCACTCATGCAGTATAAAAACAGCGTCAAGATGTTGGGAAATACCATATATATAAGGACGGCTGTTGTGAGGCAACCAATGGAATGAGAAGGCCATAAGCTACTAAAATCTCACCGGGTCAGAGGAAGAGCCAGTTCGGGCATACTTGTCGATATCAGTGCTACGGGCTGGATAGTTGCGTATAACTCATTTACCTGCATTAGCCAAATGATCTCTCGACCTGATAGATCTTTTTCAAAGGATTCCAATCCAGGTTCCCCCCTCTTTATGTAGGATTTGACAAAGCTTCTCCTGACGTAATGATTTCTCCCGTCACATAGCACTTGCAGGGATCTTTTAGCGAGTGACCTTGGAAGCACAGGACTATCTCCTCTTCGTGGCCTGACTGGAGGTTGCATCGTGGGACTCAATATCCCGCTGCTTTTAACTGGGGGTTTCAGCATTCCACGTGATTACACGTGTCTCCTGGCTAGACCGGATCCACTCGTTCCGATAGAGTGGACCTCCTTGAATCATCTGGTAATCTGCAGTGTTTAATAGAGAGTACGTCAACCGCATACCAGTCCTAAGTACTCGACTGTAGAGCCTTTCGATTGGCCTAGCTGTAAGTATCCTTCTAGCTATAAGTCATGGAGATTTCCCCGCTTAGAGCTCCCAACACAAAACATGGCTATAAACTACCCTAATAGGCTCACAAGGCGGAATACCTGTTTCACAGTCTGATGAGGATCCCACTCCTAGTGGATCCTCAAGTTTGGGGGCCGGACCTCCCCCGAATAGCTGCTACGAAGCGAAGTCTGAAGGGTATCTCTTGACTCTATGTCTATCTTTGTCTGGAGAACAAGCTAATATACTGTAGCATAAGCAGAATGATTATTAATCCCCTTGGTGCTTGAGCAAATGTAACCGGAACTTGCTGGTTCAGAAGTCTGGTATAACTTCGATTTCGACGCCTTCTACTGGGAGAGCATAATATCTTGTTGGTAGAAATACTCATGTTCTCGAAGAATGTCTTGCAGAATGGAATTCCACATGAATGAGGTGAGATTTTAGCGGCGTGGCCTGACCTACATTCTGCTGTTGCATCTCTATCAACAATCCACCAACTAACTTTACCTTCGGGTTTTGTTTCCGTCCCAAGAGCCGTGCAGGTATCTAATTATCTGTCTAAGCCCGGTTGTAGATAAAAATGAAAGTGATTAAATACCCAATTGAGCCTCCATTATATATCTTACACCGTTGTTCAAACGCTAGAGTCTTATCCAAGAGAGACAGAGGCACTAAACAAGTATACAAGCAAGCAACTATGGTGCTGCCTATCTCTCGAGGAGTATACTTCACCCTGCAACCGACAGGAACTATACTGTCAGCAACCTTTGAGAATGGCAAGATCGCAAGTCAGGAGACCTTTCCTGATGGCCGCTATCCTCAGAACTGGGTTGATACACTACGAGAGATGGAAGCCACTCTGGGCTGCACAAAAGATCTCGACCTTCAATGTGATATTTTCGGCAACCAGTCAAGCATCCAAGAGAGCACGGATTGCCCCTCTGGCCTACTCTCTCCGAGTGCCACATCTGCCCTAACGGAGAGCTATATCGGAAACCTCGAGGTACCGTCGCCCCAAGCATGGCCTCAACCTTGCCTTCAAATGCAAGAACAAGATAACATGCACTGGTCATCAACAATGAGAGCTTCGCCAATGCCAGGAGCATACTCGACCGTGTGCCCCTGCACAGCCACCCATACACATGAACTGCCTGGGGAATTAGAGTACAATTGCTCCCATGCACCATCGGTGCAGAAAAGGCCGAACTGGAGCTCCAAACGAATGACTAAATTGCAGAACCTCCTGTCTGCGATTCGCAATCATTCTGTCCCAACCATGGAAGAGCATAATGGACAAGTGGATGGCCTTTACAATGGCTCCTACATTCCCGTCTCGTTGCCCGGAATGCCCATCATGCAATTCGCGGGAGTGCTCAGTCGACTTGGCAGTGTGTCAAACACGCTGGGGTTTGTGTACGGTATGCTCAGCTGGGAGATTTTCATGAGGGAGGAGGAGAGACTTATCAGAGAGGAACATATTTCCGTTGTCCTTGCGGCGAAACAGGTATGCATTTCGTTCTCTTGCTTTTCCAGTTTTGATAATAACAACTCCCAGGTAAATCGTAAAATGGCAGAGCTCCTCAAGCACCCTGGCAAAGCAAAGGACTGGGCAAGCGATGGCCGAAAGGCCGCCAAGATTGTTTTCGGCACTCTGGAAGGATGTAGCAATGCAGTCAAATCGTTCGCTCTCTTTTTGCTCGGCAATGTTTGCAGCCTTGACAGTATGCTGAAAATAGCACACTTCCCTATCATCCGCAAAAACTTTCAAATGAGCTTTGCCCAGATAGTAGCGGAACGCACACCGCAATGGGAGGCCTTAGAAGCGCAAGGCTATAAAATTTTTGACTATGCAGAATTTCTAAGACATCGTGGGCCGCCAGTGAGCATGTAAGTCCCACCTTTCCCCCGTGACTAGAAAGCCTAATCCTTGCTAATCTTGACAATTAGTGGAGCTCGCAATGACCACTTACTCAGCCTGAACTTCGAATGTATGACACCCAACAGTGCTGGTTTAGTGACCGACTCTGCGTCGACAAATGGTTCAGTGTCTCACGGCTCAGACTTTGGCTCATCGTCGGTTTCTGAAGTGGATTTACATGTGCCAATGCCAACAGTTCACAGCGTTGAATGGCAATACTCATAAGGAGCTGGGGAGCACTCACTCAATTACGATTCCTTCCCTTTGTTACTATACCAATGCTTGGAGGGCATCCCTTCAACGTCATCCTGCACTATTTTCTTTCTTTTATGATTAAACATGCCTGCTTACTTTATTCCCCTTCTGTTTGTGACCGGTCCTACATCGGACTACTTCTGTATCAAAAGCCTCGTATATATACGAATTTCGTTTGTTATCCAAAAGTCAACGAGACATGACCCACTTTCATTTATTTAGTTTTTTGTATATTGAGTATATCTAGTAAAATCTACTGCACAAATAGCCGCGACTGTATTCGTATTTCTAGTACACTAATGATAATGGATGGCTGTTTTCAATCTTCTGTTTGTTCACTTGACTTACCTTTTGATCGCTCCCGATTACATCTTATAGTGACCTCTATCAATGGCATAGCATTAATAGCATTTCATAGTGCATAGGGTTATCTCATTCCATTCTTACCTTAGGAAATGCTAAATGGATACAGGAGTCAAGAAAATATGTTGAATATATATAGTTAACTAGATTCATATGCAAATCTTGAAAACCTTTCGCTACTAGCCTGCTACAAATATTCAGATAGAAACGCCAACGGTCCTGTGCATTATATGTCTATATTTATTGAAGACTTTTACCCCTATTATCCTACCATATCTATAGCCACCCGCCTCAAATATCAAACCCTCATAAAGCCTGACCCCATGAGCTCTCCCCAATCTCCATTTCATCCAAAAAGCTCTCCCAATTAGCCCACGCAGTACTACGAAGCGCCTCAAAATCCGCATCCCCAACATCCATCATCCTCCAAGCCCCCGACCACCGATCAGTAGATTCCAACGGAAGCACACTATTCCCCCCTGCAACCCCCATCTTGGCACCTACTGGATCCTGGCCCCCAGCCGCAGCCAACTGAACCCGCTCTCCGGACGTCACAGGAGTAACAGGACCCTTCTCGACCTCCACCGACGCACCCAACGCACTCTTCTCCTTCTCCTTCAACGCCAAAACCCTTCTCCTCTCCCACGCCCTCTCCATAAGCCTCACAATCGGCCTCCACGGCATCTCCTGCCTTATGTCCGCTGCAAAACCCACAAAATCATGATACGCAAGCTCAACGCTCCACCAATACTCCTCCACCACCTCCACCCGTTCACAAAGACACAATTCCGCAGCCGCAACCGCAAGGGCATGCCACGGCGTAAATATCCGCGCAAACCATCGCCACGGCTCTCCCCGCGGATCCTTCACCGCAACTTGACACTTTGTCAACACGTCCACCGCCACGCGCAGAATACTGTACCCTTCCGGAGCGCGCGAGTGCGAGGGATCATAATCCGGGTGTTTGTGAAGGGGTCGCACAGCCGCGAGCTGGAGACTCGAAGCGATGCATTCGGAGACTTGGACTGCGAACCAGTGGAAGGGGATCGTGTCCGGGGAGCAGGTGACGAGGAGTTTGGAGGCGGTGGCGCGGAAGTCGTCGACGTATTTTTGGCGGCGGTTGAGGCTGGTTATGCCTAGTTCGGCGGAGGCTTCGAGGAGGCGGGTTACGCCTTGTGCGCGGGAGAGGAGGACGGCGAAGGTTGTGTCAGTGAAGGTGGGGGATTCGGGGGGTGTGGAAGGGGAGGTGAAGGTTAGGGTTGTGTCATTTAGGTTGGTGGGGGGTTTGGACTGCATCCAGCTGAAGGGAACGATGGGGGTTGAGGCGCGGTCGAAAGCTACTTGAGTGTCTAGGAGGCCGATTGCGAAGCGGAGGCGGCGGCGCATTTCCAGTTCGAAAGGGCGGGTGGGCGCTGTTGGGGGGTCCATGTTGAGAGATAGGGATTGCGCGACGCGGAGGGCGACGCTGAACATTGTCCAGACTCGACGGCTCCTGTCGTGGGAGCGGGTGGAGATCTTGGTGGGTGTTACTTCGGGGTGATGGTTTGGGGGGATATGGAAGGGAAAGTCTTACCAGCCAGATAATGAATGCTTGGAGGACTGTTAGATCTTCCGACGTAACGAAGTCGGCATTGCCCAATGCGGTTTCACAGGCAAGCCGATATCTGGAAACAATCGGAGGCTTGCTCGATTCAAAGATCACCATACATTGTGCGTCCGTGAGACTGCATGTTGCAGCATAGTACACGGCGTATGTTAGGGCTTCGACTGCTGGGTGTCGATTGTGGTAATCGAGGTAGGGTTTGCCTTCCCGCAAGTAGCCTGATAGGGAGGGACGGTGAATGATCTTGAAAACGGGATCGACTTGAACGAAAAAAATGTCCAATAGTTGGTCCTTGATTTGTGTTGTGGCATACTCCCCAATCCAGGCAACTGGCGAGCTACTCGTCTGCGACAAGGAGCTCATAGTCTGATCGTCCTTGAAAATGAAAGGATGTAGGTCGGGTTTCGGTAAGTTTGCAATATTTGGGTCATCAGGACCTTCGTATAACATGCGAGGCTTTTTCTTCGGGCGATCTGTCTGCATGTAGTCCTCTTCTGGGCTTCCATGGTGGGAAGGTGAAAAAGGGCTTTGTCTTAAAGGCGTCTTGTCCTCTGGACTTGATACTGCCACAACGGCGGGTGTATTGCTTCTTTCGGGTACGAGACTTTCCATTTGATGCTCGAGCTGCGTTACTCTCGCCCACAAATCTGTCACTGATTCACTCGGCTTCTCTGCCGCTCCTCGATATCGACCTCGAGGAAGCCGCGCTCTTTCTACCAGACCGCATTCAATGCCTAAGCGCTGGCAGTTTGTACAAGGGCTCAGCTTGTCACATTTAATCTTACGCTGACGACACTTTTCGCAAGTCAAGCGTACTATGGGTTTGGGACCTTTCCCAGGTCTAGTTGTGCTGAAGTTGGACTCACTTCCCGGGTGTCCCATCGTGCTTTGGCTGCTCTGACTCTTCTGGTGACTTTCAAGGCTCGAAGATAGATATAAGTCGCGTACAAATGTTCGTCTGTTCCTCCGAACCCCTCTCTCGCTTGAAGCTCAGCTTAATTGCAGCTGCATGAACTATCTAGTCCTTGCCGCAATAACCCTGGCTTCTAACCCGTACTGACATAGTCGCGAGGCTATCGCGAACAGCGACCTTCCCTAGATATGCACACTAAATGCTTACTCTCCCCGCAGGAGTTAATATCGGGGTGACTGGTGGATCGGAGATTAAGATATTACTCCTTTATTTTCGATCTTCTCTATTCTATACTCAAAACCAACAGCTTTGTTTGAATACTGTAATCGATAGGAGACCTTGCAAAAGTCCCGTACGTAGCCAATTCCCCATGAGAGACCGGTAATATCTCCACCCCATGTTTTATGTCATTTAGCCTCTGTCCTGTCTTTCTCCTTGAGGCCTAAACGTATCCACCGGCACTAGTGTAACAATGAAGGCCTGGCGGGCCTCTTCTTATTCAATTTTTTTTAGATTATTATAATAATATTTTAGTGGTCCGATTACCCCACCGACGTTGATCTTTCCACTTTCCGTTGATTCTCTAGTCCCAAGCCGCCGTATGCTTGGTCTCTCGTAGCCATGGGAATGATTGGCGGCTTTTGGCCTTCCTATCCACAACACACACTAGACACCTTAGTTCTTACAAGGATGTTAATCACGATCATCTAACTAGATCATAATCTCATTATGTAACGGGCTTCGAAACAATGAAACAAAAGCGGGGACCGGGAAAACGAAAACAAGATAATGGTCTGTTAGATCAATTTTTACTTTCATTTCTCATGCACGCTTAGCCACAATACCACTATCGCTTCAACTCGATATACTGTTTCACGAGATCAGTAGTCATCTCCTCAAGGGTCATAAACTTGAACCCGAATGTGAGCTCCGTATCTGACGAGTCCATAGGCAGAGGATTAGAAGGTTGCTCGCCCAGCACCGTGACACGGCCATTCTCAATCTCCTCTGCGAAATTCTTCCGGATGAACCCTGGGATATCCTCGAAGGTACCGGGCGTACTGGCGATGAAGCTCCGACAGTGACCGGGCTGAACTACGTCCGGTTGCTGCAGGGACTGGACCTGGATGCGGGCGATGTCGTGGACGTCGACGACGGCGCGCATCATGCTGGGGTAGGGCGACTTGTTCCCCTGTACGACCGTGCTGAGGACTAGGCTGTTGGTTGTGTTGAATAGGGCTGCGGGGTCGTTTCCCGCGCATTCGGCGCGACCCAAGACCCAGGAAGGGTGGACGCTTACTACCCCGAATCGAGGGTTGTTGTTCTTCAAAAAGGTCTCGGTTACTTCGAGGGATGCTACCTTTGAGGCGACATACGCGACGCCTGCGTGCGGGAATGGTGGGGTCGGTGGTGGTACGCGGTGCTTGGGGGTGAGCGGGTTGTTTGGATCTACGCGCTCCACGCCCGCCCAGATCTTGGGGGAGACGAAGGTTGCGACCGAGCTGGTGATGACAACGCGCCCGACGGTAGTGGTTGTGGCGGCTGCTTCGAGGATCTCGAGCGTGCCTCGTCTGGCGGGGGCGAGGAAGTCGGCCTCGGCATCTAGGGGGCCAGGCTTGGTGAATCGGAGGGGGGATGCGCCATGGATCACATAGCTTGACCCCAGGATAGCTTCGTTAAAGGCGCCCGGGACCGTAATATCTGGGACAATGGCGATCTCCACTAGTGGTTGTTGATTGTCTGGGGTTTGCAAGAGTGGTTGGAGGGCAGGTTGAGATAGGAGAGCCTCCCCTTTCTCCACACTACGCACTGCGCATCGGACGCGGAACCCGGCCTTGAGGGCATCTAGCAGGGTCTGGAATCCGATGAATCCCGTAGCGCCGGTCAGGAGCACTAGCTTTTGGTTGGACGTAGAAGACGACATTTTTCTTTGGCCGCGTAGATTTTGGTACGCACTATCCATGTATCTTGGCTGCGGTATGATTGTCACCACGCACACCGATACATTATGACAATAAATATTAGAACAGGGGATGAGTCACAAACTCTGCCCGCGACCACGCCGTGCTTAGCACGGAGCTCGTTGCATGTAAAGTGGGCCTCGATGTTGGGGCCAAAAAGGGCCCCTTCTTAGGCTCCAAGTCATATTGGCAGGGATGATCGGCCGAGCCTATAGGCACAGATGTATTGTTAATTAATTTTCAACTTCCTTCGTCCTAGTCCTTCCTCTAAACTCCTTCCTTTATGGCACTGTCAATTTGACCGTATAACTCACAGTCACCAACAGCACAATCATGTCCCAATTACCCAGTCGATTCCCGCGAAAGACTGCCGTGGTTCTCGCGGTGGTCGGCGTGGTCGGCGTAACTGCTGTTCGAAGAGCTTCGTGCCAAAACCAGGCCTTTGCAGAGTCTCCAAAGCCTTGTGAGCGTGGTCCCTGGGGCCCCGGTGGCCGCGGGGGGCCCGGTGGTCCTGGCGGTCCTGGAAGAATGGGCGCCTTCACCACTCTACGCCTGGAGAGTTCCGAACAAGTGAACCACAACACCAAACGTCTTCGATTCCGGTTACCAGATCCAACCGCGAATACTGGACTGACCTTGACCTGTAAGTTACCCACAAACTAAAAATAAACCCTAAAAAAATTAGAGGGCCTCCGGTTAACTTCATCCTAGCGGCTATCATCACATTCCACAAACCTAAGGACGCCTGGCTCCCGGTAATCCGGCCCTATACCCCAATCAACAACATCAGTAAGGCCTCTCACGAAACTCCACAATTGCCCTCACTCTAACATTAAGTATCAGATGAGCCTGGCTACATCGAATTGCTGGTCAAAAAATACCCCAATGGCAAAGCTAGCACATACCTCCACTCTCTCCAACCTGGTGACACACTGAACATTCGCGGTCCCATGAGGAGATACCCCTGGCGACCCAACGAGTTCGAACATGTAAACCTCATTGCCGGCGGCGCCGGCATAACCCCCATGTACCAACTCATCCAAGGCATTCTCAACAACCTCGAGGATAGAAGCAAGATCAAGTTGATCTTCGGCGTCAATTCCGATGCGGATCTGGTCTTGAAGAATGAATTGGATGCGTTTGAGAGGAAGTTCCCCGATCGTTTCAAGGTTGTGTATACGGTTTCGGACCCAGGCGAGGGGTCACCCTTCCCTAAGGGCAAGATTACCAAGGAACTGCTGGAGAGGGAGTTAGTGGGTGCTAAGGATAGCAAAGGTACCAAGGTATTTTTGTGTGGGCCACCGGGGATGGAGGCGTCTGTTGCGGGGACGAAGGGACGGTTCTTTGGGCAGGCGGGAATTTTGGAGGAGATGGGATACTCGAAGGAGCAGATTCAGAAGTTTTAGCTTAGGTAGTTGTTGCATGTTTGATAAGGATCAACGCTCTTTTAGTGGGATTTCTTTCGTTCTACTTTGCATGTAACTCTTCTCTTATGCCGCGTTTGTACTTCTTTCCGTCGAGGTTTAAATAAATAAAAACATACATATATATATTACAATCGTGATTAACATAGCGTAAAACAAATCGGTTGTGAACTTGGGCTCTAGAGTTGGTTCGGTTGAAGAACTATAAAAGGTGTTCAGAATCAATCGTAGCTGTTGTCTAACTGACTAGGTAACTAGGCATTTCTGTTGAAACTGTAAGGTAGGAAAAAATACCCCGGGCCAGCCTTCGTCTACTTCAGACAGACCCTCGGCCTGTTTTGCAGTGCCAATGACCCTAAAGATGTCCACCGAGCAGTTTACCTATCCACTAACCGGCTCGCCGGTGTAATTCAGATGACGCTTAGCTTGCAGGTGAGTATATCTGATGTCCTTGATGGGCAAACCAAGTGTCTGACAAAAGTTGTAGGACCGCAGTTTCGAGCATATGACGCCTGAAGAGTAGGATAGCGCAGTGGCGCCCAAGGTCACTGGAAGCTGGAACCCCCATTTTGAGGCACTGGACTATTTTGTGTTTGGTTCTATCACGGGAACTAGGGGTGGGAAATTGAAATCGCCATTGAAATTTGAAATCACTAGTAAAATATAAGATATACTATAGCTATAGGCGGGCCCTATTTTTATAGGGATTTTATAAGGCATTTTCAGGCTCTTTATCTTCGGTACTTCGATTTAAAAGCAGATTAGAGATTTTAAGCTATTAGACGAGTCAAATTATCATACAAATCCCTAGAATTTTCTACTAGATAGTCACTGCTGAGCATGCCGCTATAGATGCTCTATATCCTGATAAGCCCCCTTGGCTAAACGCTTCCCTCCCTGATTATAGTTTCTAATCCCAGTCCCTCCGTTTATTCCTATCCCAATTGTGGCTATCGGTGAATCCGTTGAGGGATTGGGCAACAGATTTATAGGGGGTTCGGCAGCGGATTTGTAGAGAGGTTCAGTGGCGGACTTGTAGAAGGATTTGGAGGCAGATCTGTTGAGGGATTCAACGGTAGATTTATAGAGGGATTGAAAGTCTCTAAAAGATAGTCCTGGATATACTTCCGCTATAGAAGTCTCTATATTTCCTTATCTTCCTCGTCAAGAAGAGTCTCTTGAGTGATTGTAGATAATAGACCAGAATAAAATTATCTCTTATTTACCTGAATAAAAAGTAGCTTCTCGATACACTAAGATTTCAGGGAATTCCGAGTTTTTGTATACTGTAGATTTATTTGTGAGAAAGCCCTCTCTGCAGCTGCAGAATTAGCAACAGTATTATAAGGTTAACAAGCAAAGAGTATAAGAAGAGAAGAGAATTCTATCTATATAATAGAATTAATTAGTAGCTTTCTCTCTACTGTGGAGACTTAATTTGCTAGCTCAAGCTAAAAGAGAGATAGGATTTTAGCTTTTCAGTAGAGAGCATTATAGAAAGCTCCTGACTTTTTTCAAAAGCGTAGAAATACATGCCATACAGAGATATCCCTATTTTCTGAAGAGCAGAGAATCCCTTCAATATAGTATCAAGCAGTTTGATCAAGCTTCTCACATGCCCTAGCAGAGTCAAGATAATAGGCTACCCAGTAAAGAGACACTAGCTGCTATAGTATTCAGCTCTGCCAACCTATACTATCTAGATAGAAAATAAGATCTCCTCTAAAGAATATCTAAAAAGTTAATATTAAAGACTCTCCTGAAGAGCTAACTATCTTTATACAATCTTAAAAATAGATAAGTTTTGTGCTTTAGTCTCCTTCTGGACAATATAAAGAGACCTTAGAATTTTAATTATCTCCTTAAGTACTCACTAGGATATAGAGTTATTAATAGTCTTGATTACTTCTCTATCTCTTGCAGATATACGCGCTGAAGAAGAAGATAGAGCCCACCCTAGAATAGTACCTTGACAGTTAGAGAAGTCGGTATATTAAACTGAGATTCCTATCTTATAATTACTGACGCAATAAGAGCTTTTCTGTGGCCCTATTTCTCAATCTACTTTACCTGTATTCTTGTGTATTCAAGAGAAGATTAATGGAAGAGGCTTATAACTTCAAGAGCTACTTTAAAGATCTCTTTTACCCATAGAGACCTTGAAGCTTTGGAGTTATGGATATCTGCCATAACTAACTGTAGACCATGCAAGTCACAGGGTACCATAAAGACATGCTTGAGCTCTGGTTTATTGGACAGGATTTTCCATATTGACTTTATAGTACTGCAGGTATCTGTTGTTGATTCTCTTCCAGTCTGCAGTATCATCCGGCTGAAGAAGAAGGTCATGAAATCTCTTAAAGATCCAGCTTCTAATAGTAGTAGCATCTAAAGCCTTATCTTCCATATCCTATAGATAAAGAAACCATGACTTTGTAGTTATTGTGACTGTCATTACAAGGACGAGCACAATCAGTTTCACCACCTAATGCACTGTTGCTCTTTCTTAACACCACTGCCAAGATACTAGCCAGAAAACAAGCTGCACTCAAAACAGCCCGCTCAGCATCACCTAATACACATAATTACCGCTGAGGATGTGCCTACGCCTAAGCATTGTAGCTATTCGCACCAGTTGAAACAGGAGATGTAAGCGGCTGACTACTCAGTTACCAGAACGGGTAACGACAAAACTTTCACTTTTGAACGACTATCGTAGAAGTCAGTAGAAACATCTCAAGTGTTCTGCAACCGGTATCAAGGACATAAATTCTATGAGCTTCCCAGGCTCTCTTTCTGGAAAGGGATTAGAATATAGAAGAGAATGTGGTACTGTATTGATTATACAGTCACTTAATTAAAGCCTGAAATAAAGGAAACTCGACCAGATGCATGACCAAGGGCAAGAGTACCAGCGTTGAAAGCCAAACACTCTGGGCGATAGTTCGGTGGAAGCCATAATATGCTCCTATTCTGAAGAAAAATCCACTGGTCTTGTAGTATAGATAGCCCTTTAAGATTAGCTCCGGCCCAGACCCAATGAGAATGGCCCTCGAGGGTCTGGCGCAGCTCGCCCATGCTAGGATCCCAGAGCTTGATGGTCTTATCCTGAGAGCCGGATGCTAGCAGTTGACCGTCTGG